CACCTGATTCGTCAGGCTGCTCAGCTCCTTGCGTTGTGTTTCCATCTTGTCTGGTCAGTTACTCACCTTTTGGAAAAGACGAAAGTTTATCACAGTTATCTGAAAGTCATCAGTAACATGTTATAGCAACAGTAACAATTATTGTACTTGTCTTCGGATTTCAGTTAGCACTGTGTGGAGGATCTAACTCACATTGCCATCTTGAAGCTAAGCTAGGTTTACAAGTAATGCTAATAAGCCAGGACCTTAGCATAAAACCACAATGCTCTTTTAGCTAGTGATGAGCACCAGATTGTTTATCTTGATGCTCATACACTGTATGGTAGTCATTTTCTCTGCAAAACTTGAAACTTGATGCAAATTTACAGATTTTCCCCAATTTACATTTAATTAATTTATGAAAAGAGATGAAATAGCTAACCCATATCCTAACTCTCAACTAACCCAAAGGAACGTAAAGGGATACCTAAAGCTAAGGACTGTTAAGGGGGCATTTGATTGGCAAGGGTAACCAACCCAAAGGATCGTAGAGGGGTGTTTCATCGGAAAGAGGAACCTAACCCTAATGATTGCAAAGGAGATACAAGGGTTCAGGAACTAACACTGAGGAATGAAAGATTGCAGAGGCACCCGAGATCAGTGAAGCGAGAGCCACAGCCAGCAGCCAGGGCCACTTAAGGGTTTAAGCTTCGACCAGAAAACTTCAGTCTTGCATTTCATTTGCAAAATAGGCGAGACAAATGTCGGTCCAAATGTTACTAGTTAGTCACTAGTGTCAGACTGTCAGAATAATTTATTTATTTTAACCCGTGTTCAGTTATACACTTCCTTTGAATACAGCCACTATTTGTCTTTGTAGTCTCGTGGGGAAATCATTAAGCTGTGTGTACTTTACCCAGGTAACGGGTACGATTTCTGTCATTCTAGCATATCATAGCCAGAAGATCTAGATCTGCCACAAAGACTGAAGACGCTAGATGTCGGTCGGACGTGATGATCGAATATGGAACTATAATTATAATTGCAATATTCTGATTTGGAGCAGCTATACACGGTTGATTGAATTGCGCACATTTCTATAGAATGCAGTAAAACAAATGACGTGTTAGAACATAATACGTTACCTTATCGATGCATTTAAAATAAATATAATTTATTTCGGCGCCATGTTGGCTTAGCCGGTACAATCCGAGCGGCAAGTGGCAAGCATTGTTTACTCGAACATTAGTTCGCGAACAAAGCTCCCAACAGGGGTATCACAGTCCCAGGACTCTCTACACTGTCATACAGGATGGTCGCGAATGTGGCACGCTGTGTAATGGAGCTTACTACGACCGTAGCTCGGGAAAGTAGCCGATAAAAGCAGAATGGAATCCAGATAAAATTCCGGGCAGGTTCATGACCACTTTACTCCGGGCAAATCAAACAAATTCAGCTTTACGATTTATGATGTTGAGAATAAAAGTCAGCTGAGTTTTCAGTGTTGAGATATATTATTTGTAGTCTGTCTCCAAGACCCCAGAGAACACCTTTAAAAAGGAGTCCAACTCAAGTCTAGTCTGATTGTAGTCTTACGGGGAAATCACCTCTGAAATCAAGGATTGTTCTTGGCTCCATTTGGAATTTGCATTCTTTTTATTTTGTAGATATATGTTTTTAAATAAAATAACTTTATTTCTAGGAGTAAATGTCAGTCTATATCATCGGTAGATTTCAAAGCGCGAAATTTAGCATTTCAAACTACCGCTTCCCCGTTTGGTACCATCCTTATATCCTTGATTTACACATTGAAAACTGTAGTTTATCTTAGTGTTCACATGTTTTCATCGCTGCGTTGTCTCAGACCCTATGATAAGGAAACGTCTAAGGCTTATACAACATACGAACAGCTTCACTATTTATACCGACTGAGGCGGATAAGATATACTATAAAATGAATTTTGAACTCATCACTCACCCATCAAACTATCCGGCTATCGAACATTAGTTTTCTTTCTTGCACATTTTGATCTCAAATGGTGTCGTCCAAGGACAGTAAACAACAACACTGTATGACACAGTTTAGATCTTTTATTAATCCAATTTACCATCCATTTAAATCAAGACCTACAGTTTATACCAGTACAATACGGTCTATAGGCCACAAGCAGCCGGAGTTAGATCATGGGGACTTACAGTACCAGTAGTCGTCTTCGTCGTCGTCGTAGTAGTAGTAGTAGTAGTAGTAGTAGTAGTAGTAGTAGTAGTAGTAGTAGTAGTAGTAGTAGTCATCATCATCATCATCACCATCATCATCATTTATGTATTTACATAGCGCTAGCATCCAACTATTAGCTGTCCAGTAGCGCTTGAATAGGATCTACAGTTTTAAAAGAAATTGTCGAGAGGAAAGCATGCTTGAGTTTTTGGTAATTATTTTGAAAATGCTTCTATGAAAGACGTAAATTTTCAACATTCTTCCGAATGATCCTAAGTTCTCAGCACATTTGAGTTCCTGTGGAATGGCGTTCCATGATGCAGGGCAAGAGAGTATGTCCCATCACCCGAATGGGATTTGGGTATAACCAGCTGGTGTTTGTGTTCAGATACCTGTAGGAGTCCTCAGCAAGGAATTACCACCACCCTAACCTAGGTAGTTGGAGGCAATACTGACACGAATTAAAAAATATGCTCTGATACGCAACGCATTTCAATTCTAGTTTTGCTTTGTTGTTGTTTTTGTTGTTTAACGTCGCACTCAGCATTATTCCAGCTACATGACGGCGGTCTGTAAATAATCGAGTCTTGACCAGACAATTCCGTGATTGACATCATGAGGTTCGATCCACGCAATTGGGACACGTGTAGTTTTGTAATTAAGTTTGATACGTCTACGAGTTTGTTAGTATAGAATATTAGTTACATGGCCCTGTGCTCAGTGAGGTAAAGTTCTTGACACAGTAGAAGCCATTACCTAGTGACCTGGTGCACTTCCTGTGGATGCACGTTTGTCTTGCAACATTCGTGTTATAACAGGTAGCCATGAAGTAGCACATAGGTGTTTCTGAGATATTACAGTTCAACTGTCCCTAACATCGGGGGACACGGGTGACCCAGTCGTCAAAGGCGGCGCGATTCGCTGTGCAGAGTTGCGTCCCCTGGGCACGCCAGAAACCTATGATCATGGATTCGAATCCCGGTTCGCCCCTATTATGTTTCTGGGTTTGTCAGCACCATACCCGTGCTCGTGGTTTTCAATGAAGTGAAAAACGTCTGAGACCTGCATCACTTCGGGCTTTCCTCCCACATAAAGCTGACACGCCGTGATATAACCATCTTCCCGAGGCAAGTGAGTTAACTGACTGTTTATAGTCAGTTAACACCCTTGCCCCGGGAAGATGTGATATAACTGGAATACTGATAAAAGCGGCGTTAAACCCCACTCACTCACTAACACCGGCCATGTTGATAAGTCTTCTTGTTGGAGCGATCACTTATATACAATAGCTACTTTTATGCCCTCTTTCACGTACTTGAACTCACTAGATTGGTTAACTTAATTTTGTTCAGCCGCCTATGTAATACAGGCATGCTTGTTTGTCTGTCTAATCAATTAAAATTAATGCGTCTTCTACCACCTCCGTGGTCTAGATGATAGAGCATCTGCCCCATCGAACCCACAATCATAGGTTTCTGGCGTGCCCAAGGGACCCAACTCTGCACAGCGAATCGCAGCGCCTTAGACGACTGCCCCCACCCCCCTTTCCAAGAGGTGAGTGCTCTCTAGAGTTGCGTTGGGTGGTTGTGTTTAGGTGGCTGCATGTTATTTCGATGTGGGTGAGTTAGGTTTAAGGCCGCTTGAACAGTTTTCGTTATATCACAGTTTGTCCTTTTAATGTGGGAGGAAAGCCCAAAGTGGTGCAGGTCTAAGTCGTTTACCACTTTGATGAGACCCACGAGCACGAGCAGGATTATGGTGCCGACAAACCTAGAAGGGACGCAACTCTGCACAGTGAAATAGGATCCATGCGGTGAAATGGTCCATCCATGCCCCTTCAATGCACATGGTTTACGTGATCCTTGTGTATCAAATGCACACCTGGAAGCAAAGGTTGAAACAGGACTGTGAAGATCCGGGGTAGAATAGGTCTTCAGCTACCTACGGTTGACGTAAAAGACGACTATGCTTGTCGTAAGAGACGACTAACGGGACAAGCACCGGTAGCTGAAGACCCACAGCTAACCGGAATCTTCATGAGTGTAGACAAATATATATTCATGGAACCTGTGCGTGGACAGCACGTTTCAAGGTGTTTTCCATCTTCGCTAATCCAGGGTATGTTATCTACACTTGATTATCTTAAATACCCTGGGTGTTTGCAAGGATAGCTTGTTTCGTTGCTTGGTTCAGTTTGTTGTATCAGTCACAGCTGTGACTTGCGTTCATCAAATACTGTTTTTACAGAAATGCTCTACTCAGCACTGATAAGCATGCTGTTTTCTGTTTGATGGATTAAGGTAATGATATATATTATTCCACTGGGGATGGGCGAGGTGGGGTGCGGTGGCGCAGTAATATTCAGTTGCATTTTTGGAAAGGGGTCTGCAGTCGTATTAATTTACAGTATTTATGACAGTAGTTACTTCTGCATATTTTTGGTGAGGGGTAATATTTGCAGTGTATCATACCACATGGCATAAATATGAGAAGCCAGATATATTATTGTAATTTTGCAAACCAAGGAAACAAAAAGTTCTATCAACATTACAAACTGCCCCACACAACACATCCAATAAAGAACACTGAACGCAAAGAAACATTATTTCTATTCACTTAGTGAGTGAGGCAGGACTCGAACCCGGGTCCTCGGTGTGAGGAGCGAACGCTTTAACCACTAGGCTACCCGACCGCCCCTTGTTATAGATAGAAGATGACAACAGTGATAATTGGTTGAACACAGTATTCCTGGATTTTGCATTACCAATTCTTTTGGGAGGAAAAGAGTAAATAACAAATGACATATCTTTCAAATATGTATTTATTAACAGGTTTTTGTATAACATGAAAACCAATTGTTTTCATTAATATCATTTTACAAGAAAAGGCGATTGTTGTACACAGAATGAGAGTCTGAGTTGATAAATAACATGAATAGTTCGGTGATTCACTCACTCACTCACTCTACAATCAAACGCAATCACTCACTCGTGGACATGCCCTGGATCTCCTGCAACAAGCTATCACATTACACATAAGGGTAGAGTGATGGTGTGTAAGAACTTTCTGGTATTTGCACATGTGCATTTTAGCAATTCTCAATGCTGATTGGTTAATTGAAGCCATATGACATCACAGTGCTTCTTTTTTGAGAAACATGAGATGATGTCATCCACTGTTCACGTCACAAAGTGATTACCTTACGTCATCTCAACAACAGGCTGCCTTCAGTGACTTCAGTGACATTTCTCTGTAGGGATGACATGATTCTGGCTTCACTACATAGAGAGAGCTGCCATCGACCGATATAACAAATTCTACATTAGAAGGTTCATGCCATACTTAAATATCTGAAATGTTCAACATGTGTATTTTTGGTCATTAAGTTAGCAGATAGGATGGGAATTCGACCATTTCCTAATACTTCCAAGTTCAATTCAGTTTGTTGGGCGGCTGCTGAGACTGAAATATCTGTCTTTGCGACCTTACCTTGATACATCAAATGCAACGTTGTCTTACACCCCTCATTCGGCCCATGTCTAAGTACAGGGAGTGAGAGAGCCCGCTCAGTCCTTGTTTTATCCCCTTTATGCCGACGTGACAGGGGGTCGAATCCCATACCTTCCACTCTCCAGACAGATACCCTATCCACTGGATCGCGGAGGCCGCTCATACAAGTATGTGACAGTGGAACACCATGACGTAATGTTGTCAGAGCACTATCAGACAACTTAAATTGAACTATATCAACTATATTTCTGTTGACGTATGTACATCTTATGAAACAAATTGTAACTGAAAATATAGAACAACCAATCAGATGGTTGTTTATGTAGATCAGAGTAACCAATGAGATCTCTCCATGTGGAAGAGTCCTGTCCACTGTTTAAATGTTCCACAACCATGTTCTTCCCTTAAACACACAGGAACATGTGAAAACTTGACAACAAACAACAGCACTTTTTAAATGAAACTCAAAATGAGAAGATCCCCCAAAATCCTTTCCCCATGGGGATGATAAGCACCAAGTGTATTGCTGAGATTTCCTACTCCAAACAATCGTAGACCGTGTTCTGCCAATGTTCCGCCAGTGTTCTGCCAGGGTTCTGCCAGTGTTCCCCCAGTGTTCCGCCAGCGTTCTGCCAGTGTTCCTGTGTCACCGGAACAGGCTGTTGGCGCGGACCTTCTTGCTGATGACTGGCGGCCGATTGGTGGACATCCAGCCCGGAACCTTCCTCTTGAAGTTCTTCTGGGAGCTGCCCTGTGTCTGTGGAGACGGCACCGACTGCGCCTTCACCAGCTTTGGCTGAAACATAAGTGAAGTGAGATGAAATTTTTTGGGGTACCTACCAAGGGGTTTGTGGTTAAAAATTATGGTCAATCACTTCACACTTCAAGAGAAACTTACTTTGTTGCCCGGTGATGAGGACCGTGATGGCGGAGGGGATGTGATGCTGTGTCCAGCAAGGAGTACCAGGTCACCTTGTTCGTTGACTTCCTGTCCGCACTGCTGGACGAGGATGGCGATGACCACCTTGATGTGATTATACTCCACAGACATGGGAAGCTGGTCCTTGATCTTTGTTAGACTTCCAATACCTACAACATAGTCAGACTTCCGATACCTACAACATCGTCAGACTTCCGATACCTACAACATCGTCAGACTTCCGATACCTACATCGTCAGACTTCCGATACCTACAACATAGTCAGACTTCCGATACCTACAACATCGTCAGACTTCTGATACCTACAACATCGTCAGACTTCTGATACCTACAACATAGTCAGACTTCTGATACCTACAACATCGTCAGACTTCCGCTACTTACAACATCGTCAGACTTCCGCTACCTACAACATCGTCAGACTTCTGATACCTACAACATAGTCAGACTTCCGATACCTACAACATCAACAGACTTCCGATACCTACAACATCGTCAGACTTCTGATACCTACAACATAGTTAAACTTCCGATACCTACATCGTCAGACTTCCGATACCTACAACATAGTCAGACTTCCGATACCTACAACATCGTCAGACTTCTGATACCTACAACATCGTCAGACTTCTGATACCTACAACATAGTCAGACTTCTGATACCTACAACATCGTCAGACTTCCGCTACTTACAACATCGTCAGACTTCCGCTACCTACAACATCGTCAGACTTCTGATACCTACAACATAGTCAGACTTCCGATACCTACAACATCAACAGACTTCCGATACCTACAACATCGTCAGACTTCTGATACCTACAACATAGTTAGACTTCCGATACCTACATCGTCAGACTTCCGATACCTACAACATAGTCAGACTTCCGATACCTACAACATCGTCAGACTTCTGATACCTACAACATCGTCAGACTTCTGATACCTACAACAGTCAGACTTCTGATACCTACAACATCGTCAGACTTCCGCTACTTACAACATCGTCAGACTTCCGCTACCTACAACATCGTCAGACTTCTGATACCTACAACATAGTCAGACTTCCGATACCTACAACATCAACAGACTTCCCATACCTACAACATCGTCAGACTTCCGATACCTACAACATAGTTAAACTTCCGATACCTACATCGTCAGACTTCCGATACCTACAACATAGTCAGACTTCCGATACCTACAACATCGTCAGACTTCTGATACCTACAACATCGTCAGACTTCTGATACCTACAACATAGTCAGACTTCTGATACCTACAACATCGTCAGACTTCTGATACCTACAACATAGTCAGACTTCCGATACCTACAACATCAACAGACTTCCGATACCTACAACATCGTCAGACTTCTGATACCTACAACATAGTTAGACTTCCGATACCTACAACATCGTCAGACCTCCGCTACCTACAACATCGTCAGACTTCCGCTACCTACAACATCGTCAGACTTCTGATACCTACAACATAGTCAGACTTCCGATACCTACAACATCAACAGACTTCCGATACCTACAACATCGTCAGACTTCTGATACCTACAACATAGTTAAACTTCCGATACCTACAACATCGTCAGACTTCCGCTACTTACAACATCGTCAGACTTCCGCTACCTACAACATCGTCAGACTTCCGATACCTACAACATCAACAGACTTCCGATACCTACAACATCGTCAGACTTCTGATACCTACAACATAGTTAGACTTCCGATACCTACAACATCGTCAGACTTCCGCTACTTACAACATCGTCAGACTTCTGATACCTACAACATCAACAGACTTCCGATACCTACAACATCAACAGACTTCCGATACCTACAACATCAACAGACTTCCAATACCTACAACATCGTCAGACTTCTGATATCGACAACATTGTCAGACTTTTAGCTGTTTACAGTATTCCAGTTATATCACAGCATGTCAGCTTAATGTGTGAGGAAAGCCTAAAGTGATGCAGATCTCAGACGTTTACCACTTCAGTGAAACCCACGAGCATGGGTATGGTGCTGACAAACCTAGAAACATAATCAGCGCGAATCAGGATTCGAACCCACAATCATAGGTTTCTGGCATACCCAAGGGACGCAACTCTGCACAGTGAATCGCGGTACCTTAGACGACTTCCCTTACTGAACTAGGCTGGAATTTTGCGGCTCGATCGTAGCGCCACCAGTGTCTATCATGAGTTATGTCCCTTCTATGTCCCTCCTATTGACCAAACAGATTACATCTCTCATATCACTTACATTTGCTTCCAACAAAATGTCACCTAATCTCACATCACCTGTAAGTCAATCACATCACCAGTGAATATTGACAGCTAAGGGAAGTAACTCTGCACAGGAGTGAGTGAGTGAGTTTGGTTTAAAGCCACTTGTATCAAAGCATTATCTCAGGAATATTTTGGCTTATTATTGAAATGAAAGCCCGAAGTCATGCAGGTGCTTGAGTTTTACATGGGTATGGTGCAGACAAACCAAGAAATATGTCCACAGCAAACCTGGGATTCAAACCCATGATCATCAGATTCTGGACCGACCAAGGGAGATAACTATCCAAGCTAATTGTGGTGCCTTCTGTAACTGAGCCACACATGCCAACATAAAAGATCAGCTGAGTCATGAGATGAATGAGTGAGTGTGTATTGTCTTCTGACACAATCAGCAATATTGGGATGTTTGTTTGTTGTTTAACACCTCACTCAGCAGTATTCCAGCTATATGACAACAGTCTGTAAATAATCGAGTCTGGACCAGACAATCCGGTGATTGATGTCATGGGCATCGATCCATGCAATTGTGATACGATGACATGCATCAACCAAGTCAGCGAGCCTGACCACCTGATCCTGTTAGTTGCCTCTTACAAGCATAGTCGCCTTTTACGGCAAGCATGGGTTGCTGAAGACCTATTCTAACATAGTAAACATTTAACATAGTAGATAGAAGTTATCAGCCATATTTTTTTATACTGACACAGAGAGGAAACAGACCTCAATGTCACTGAAATATATTACGAACCACTACAAGTAAATGACGAATACTGATACAACACTTGAAGAAATGTCATATTTTGGACTTAAAGATCCACATTGAACTTAACGGCCTTGAGATGCTGCTTGCAAGCTTGATCTTGTCATCGCTTTAATGTAGATCCTCTCTGGCTTAAATTGCTCTTGGGACTTGAACTGACTTAGACACTTTATTCATGGCAGACACTGATACAAGCACTCTTGCAAATCAATCCCCAACATCAGCGGCAGATGCCGATCGCTCCACAGACCATCATGCTCTTACAGGAGTTAACTGGCGGCCTCCGGATGACGTCGGTGATCTTGCTGAGGAGTTGAGGAACCAGTCCCAGTCGCTTCATGTCCACCGACAGCCCGACCTTGAGGGCTTCACACAGATGAGTAACAATGGTGGACGTCTTGAACCCACGGAGAGAGGCTATGTCCTCCTGTAAGAAGACATCCTGTCAGTCAGGAACTTTAGTTCATCAAGTAGAGTGAGTGAGTGAGTTTAGTAAAATCTAAATATTTTTTACATTTGTATACTTATCCTGCATTACTCCGTATTGCATTTACTGCTGTCTTTGACAGAGAGACGAACTGTGTGAGATCCAGCTGCTGAAGAAAGTTGTTTCCATCCGTCCAGGAAGCAGCGCCCCCTCCCACACAGTCGGCACGTGACCCGGAAGACATGACGTCATGTCAAAACTCATAACTGCTTTAACATAACATCGGAAACTTCGTGGGGAGGAAGCGGAGCGCAGGGGGGGCACTTAGACTTCGTAATGCAGGATAAGTATACAAATGTAAAAAATATTTAGATTTTACTAATTTTTTTAACTTATCCTGCATTACTCCGTATTGCATCTTTATCAGACGGCACGGCCGGTGGGCATACCTTCAGATGTGAGCCAGAAGAAAAACCCTCGACAAAGGTCCGATGAAATCGCACCGCATGGACAAGAGATGACCGGAACACCAGCGACCATTCCTGTCAAAGGAAACGAGAGTCGATGCAAAAGAGGGAACCCGAAATAGGTGACAGAAATAGTATGAGGCGGGAATGCCAAAACTAGCACTGACCTAAGAGCGAATGCGGAACGCAGTAGAGCCCTCTAATCTGTGGTGACAAACACCAGAGAGTTCGACGGGCCCCGCTCAGGGTAACGGAGAATCAGTGGCGTCGGGGGTTGGTGACCTGTTGAGCTACCACCAGGGGACCAAAACTATGAACGCCAGCGACATCTTCCAAGGCTACATCACGGAGGTAGTGGTTGGCGAAAACGGTGTCGGAACGCCAAAAACAGCCTTCCATGATAGATTTGAGGGAACAGTTACTGTGCAGAGCCATGGTAGACGCGACCGCCCGAATCTCGTGGGGGTTGTTAGCCTTGGGGGGGTCCAATCCGGCGACTTTATAAGCTTGGAGGATGACCGCCCGGAGCCACAGGGAGATAGTATTCCGGCTGACCTCCGACAGCGACGAAGGGGAGACCGGTAGGAAAAGGCGTTTCCTAGACTTACGGCAGGCTTTAGATCGTCGCAGGAAAACCTTCAGGGCCCTAACTGGGCATAATAAAAGCTCCTCCACGTCGTCGGCACCCACAATCGACGAAAGTGGAGGGATGGTGAAGGATCTATCAGGCTGTCCGGGGAGTTGATTCTTTGCGATGAAGTCCCAGCACAGCCCAAGATGAACTGCTCCATGAGTCCCGCGTTCGAACCTGACCCGAGAGACGTCGAGGGCGTGGAGCTCACTAACCCGGGCGGCCGTAGCCAAGGCCAGTAGAAACACCGTCTTCTTCGTTAAGTCGTAAAAGGAAGACGTGTTGAGTGGTTCGAAGAGAGCCTCCCGAAGAGCCTTTAAGACCACATTCAGATCCCACGCAGGTGGTCTGAACTTGGCTTTCTGGTCGTCGAGACGAAACGAGCGCAGCATAGCCTGGAGTTCGGGAATTTTCGTCATTCTCCGGTCGTCCGGAATGGCAAGGACGGAGTTAATGGCGACCAGGTACGTGGAGATGGTAGAGCCTTTTAATCGACGCGTGCTGCGCAAGTACAGAAGAAACTCAGCCAGGAACTGCGGGGATGCCGTCATCGGATCCTGATGCTTGTCAGAGCAGAACGCCTGGAACGAGGACCATTTATCATCATATAGTCCCCGTGTAGATGGACGATGGGCGAAAGCAATAGCCTTGGCTGCTCTAGTCGAATAGCCCTTGGCTCCTAGGGCTTTTTGCAGATGTGCCAGGCGTGCAGATGAAACCGAGCGGGACTTGGGTGGGGCAACCGACTGTGTGGGTGGAGCAGAAGGTTGGACCACGCTGGCAGTTCTAGAGGGTTGTCTCTGGCGACGTTTCGGAGGTCGACAAACCAACTTCTGGCCGGCCACCTAGGCGCGACCAAAATCAGTGTCAAGTGTCGAGTGGCCTGGATCTTTTGAAGAACCCTGGGAAGGAGAACCGGAGGCGGAAAAGCGTACGCGCTTAATCCCTCCCAGGGAACACTGAAGGCGTCGACTGCTACAGCGGCCGGATCCGGGACCGGCGAGATGTAAGTCGGCAGCTGGCAGTTCTGAGACGTGGCGAACAGATCGATGTTTGGAGTGGCGATCGTTTGACAAAGGACTGTGAAGATCTCTGGGTGGAGTCGCCATTCGGTGGGAGCCACCTTGTCCGGCCTGGACAGAGCGTCTGCCAGAACATTCTTGCAACCTGGAATGTGCTGAACAAGGAATTGCAAGTCTAAGCGCTCCACCAGGTCGAAGAATCGGAAGGTCTGGTTGAGCAGGGACTGAGAGTGGAGAATACCCTGATTCCTCAGACACCACACCACGGTGATGTTGTCCGTGGAGATGGTCAACTGGGCGTGACGGAGAATGCTCTGCCAGTGGGAGACGGCCAGTATGAGAGCTTCGAGTTCGAGGTTGTTGCTGTGCCAGTGGAGTCGATCTCCGGACCAAAGCCCAGCAACTGTTTGAGTCCCCAGATGAGCCCCCCAACCCTGTTTGGATGCGTCGACGAACAGGTGGAGGGAGGGCTGTAGCGCGGTCAAGGAGATGCCGCCGCAGACGTTCGATTCCACCGTCCACCATCGGAGAAAGGGGTGGAGGTGGACCGGGAGGACGATGAGGGACTCCTGATCCTGCTGCCGGATAAAGGGTGCGAGAAACCGTTGAATTGGACGGAGTTGGAGGCGACCTCTGGCAGTCAGGTCTTGAGCCGACGTGAGGAGACCCAATAGAACCTGCCATTGGCGGAGAGTTCGAGCCTGTTGAAGGGCAGGGAAGAGATGAGCGAGGATTTTCAACCACCTGTCTCTGGGGACTTGAAGGAGGTCCTGATCCGTGAGAAACAGGCCCCCGATAAACTGCAGACGGAACGATGGGGTCAGCTCCGACTTGGTCTGATTGACGATCCAACCCAACTGATTGAAGAGCCGCAGGGTAAAATCCCTGTGACGCAGTAGCAACGCCGAGTCCCGATTGTTGAGGAGACAATCGTCGATGTATGGATCGAAGTTGATGTTCCTCAGGTGTAGGTAGGCGGCGACCGGGCGGGTGATCCGTGTGAAAAGCCACGGGGCCGTTGAAATTCCAAATGGTAGGACCGCCCACTGGTAATGGGTACCATTGAAAAAGAACCTGAGGAAGCGCCGGTCGTTGGGGTGGATGGGTACATGAAGATAGGCGTCCTGGATGTCGAGGCTGATCAGGGAATCGCCAGCTGAGATTCTCGTCCTGAGCAGTCGCAACGTCGTCATGCGGAAGTAGGGAGGACGTTCCAGGTAGTGCCGGTTGAAAGTGGAGAGATTGTGTATCATGCGCCAGCTGGTGGTCCCCTTCTTGGGCACCAGAATCACCGGAGAGTAAAATCCTGGGTGTCGAGCCGGGTCGTGTACGATCTCTATGGCCTCCTTCTGCAGTAGGGAAACGATGCTGTCGTGAAGGGGCCGAAGCTGGTGAGGTGAATAAGCGGCTGTTGACGGAGTAGACGTCAGAGGAGGCAGCGCAGACAATGGGAGCCGGTACCCCTGACGGAGGACGTTGGTGACGAACGGGTCCTCCAGTATGGACCAGTTTCTCCAAAACCGGCCTAGTCTCCCACCCACAGGTGTGTCGGTGACCTGAACGGCTGAGGGTGGGAGGTCCCAGTCGTTGAGGTCCCGCCGGTCAACGCTTTGAGGTGGAATCGGCACCCTTGCTGGGGCGACGATCCCTTCAGGGTTGGTAAGTGCCACGGGCTCTACCACGACCACGCCCTGTGGCGAGGTATGTTTGGAGACGACCTCGAGGGAGGAACGGCGTGGTTTATAGTTGCCTTTGGAGGACTTGGCCGCTGATTGGTGTGTTACATGCTCCAAGGCTCTGAGAGCAGTTTCATCCCTGGCGAAGCTGGAGACTCGGGTGTGGGTAGCGGAGATAGCACCATTAAAAAGGGTAGGACCCGACCAAGGTTGTCGTAGTAAGGAACGCTTGAATTCGGAATCCCAGTCCGTGGAAGTCAAGTAACCCAACTGTCGAGTAGTGGTGATCTCCGCAAGCGCAGCTCTCAGGTGATTGCGCATGTGATCGATCTGGCGAAGTTGGAATGTCATAACCGTGCGCAAGTGGTCGATCCTGTTAGCATTGGATTCAGCGAGATCCTGGTCAATGGCTCTGGCAGATGAGGCAAGTGTAGATAGTGGCTTCAAAGTACGGCGCAGTTCTGTTTCCACGAAAGCGAGTCGGGAGTCCGGCATATGTATGGTGACGGACTGGGAAGACCCGGTCATTCGATGTAAGTCCTCGTCAAGGATATGTGCACCGTCGGCCACGTCGAAGGAGTGGACGGGGAAATCTTCCCGCCGGAAACGCGGAGCCTTGAACGACGGCGTGAGGGACAACTTAGCGAAGTCCTCGTCCAACGCCGTAACCAGGTCAGTGAGCATTGGGTCGGGTGGTAGAGAAGTCGGATTAGACCAGATCGTCAACTTTTTATCCACATCGGAGCCCGGGGAGGGAGCGACGGAGGCCAGACAGTCCGCCAACCAATCAGCAACCTGTGAAAGGCCCAAGTGTGTATCAATCTCGGGAGATGGAGGGTCATAATTGGGGCATAATGATCCTTCCGAAGAGGAGGAACGACGTCGTCGTCTATGTACAGGTGAGCGACTACGAGAGCGACTACGAGAGCGACGAAGGGAACGAGCAGACTTGGACGAGTGCCGAGAAACAGTCGGAGGCGACGAGGTGTACAATGTTCGAGACCGAGAAGCACCCGAAGTGGAGGGGGCCGCAGGAATCGAAGTAACAGTAGTCGGGGCCGTTAGTGTCGCCGGCGTCGCAGGAGGCACCGTCGGCGCCGCTGAGGTGGGTTGAGCTTGCGCAAACAATGACTGCATCCAAGCTTGCATCCAAGATGGATCCATGAACCATGACGGAAGGGCATGTCCATAAGTAGGAGGCGCAGCACAAGTCAAAGGCGCCGAAGTAGTCAGAGGCGCCGTATACATCGAAGACATCAGAGGCGCCGGATACATCGGAGGCGCCGGACCAAGAGGTGCCGGATACATCAGAGGCGCCGGACCAAGAAGCGCCGGAGGCGCCGGGTACATCAGAGGCGCCCGACCAAGAGGCGCTGGATACATAGGAGGCGCCGGGTACATCGGAGGCGCCGGACCAAGAGGCGCCGGAGTTGTCGTCGTAGATGGTAGAGGTGACAGGAAACCCGAAACGGGCGATGCTGCAGACGATGATGTCGAAGCAGACGACGGTAAGGGTGGTGTAGGAGACCGTGTACGGTCGGATGTCGTGCCATGGGAGGCAGACTCTACGTTGGATGACATGTTGGAGAGTCGACGCACACGCTGGGTGAATCGTTTCCGAGACACTCTTAGGTAGGCGGTGAAGGAGACTGGCGACAGGGGACTACAATAACTGCAACACGGGGTTGTACAGTCCAGGCAGCAGGGGTGGGGGTCCCGTCCAGATTTATTCCCGCGGCAGCGAGAGCAGCGAGACATACTGGAATTGAAGCAAAAAACATAACGATGTGTAAACACACAACGTGAAACATAATGTAACTCAACATAACTTATTCTTGTTACAAAGTTAATAAGAGCAAACAATTACGCTTCAAACACGCCAAAAACAATCATTAAACTTAATGTAAAACTCCAACCATAGAGCGAATTCAAGACACAAAACACGAAAGTACGTGGACACGTAGTGAATCGCAACAGGGCGGGAAAAAATGGCGGTAAACCAAAATGGCGGGAAACAACAATACGCTCGGAAAAACCGTGACGAGAGTCACAACCCGAGCGAGAAACGTTACCAATTAACAATATAATGAAGGCAAAGGTAATACAGCAGACTTTTGTCGTAGAAAAACGAAAGAAAGTCAGGACCAAGAAAGCTTTAATAATTCCACTGAGGGATACAGTTCACGTCCGATCCATGTGGTTGACAAAGCAGTTATGAGTTTTGACATGACGTCATGTCTTCCGGGTCACGTGCCGACTGTGTGGGAGGGGGCGCTGCTTCCTGGACAGATGGAAACAACTTTCTTCAGCAGCTGGATCTCACACAGTTCGTCTCTCTGTCAAAGACAGCAGTAAATGCAATACGGAGTAATGCAGGATAAGTTAAAAAATTTGGTTTTACGTCGCTTTTAGCAATATTCCAGCAATATCACGGCGGGGGACACCAGAAATGGGCTTCACACATTGTACCCATGTCGGGAATCGAACCCGGGTCTTCAGCGTGACGAGCGAACGCTTTAACCACTAGGCTACCCAACCGCCCTCATCAAGTAGAGAGGCCCAGTTATGTGACATATTACCATGAAATAATACAAAAAAATGGGACATGGACTAACTCTTATTTTAAAATATTTGTTAATTTAACACAATCTAATATCAAGCTTTATCAACATGGCAATGAAAACCTCAGTGGTAAGGTTAACTTGTGGTTGATTGCATGAGCAACAATTCCTGCTGTCAGGTCACAATGACACACAATCAGCCAGGTCACAGTGACACACAACCAGCCAGGTCACAGTGACACACAACCAGCCAGGTCACAGCGACACACAATCAGCCAGGTCACAGTGACACACAACCATCCAGGTCACAGTGACACCACAGTCAGCCAGGTCACAGTGACACTAAATCAGCCAGGTCACAGTGACACACAGTCAGCCAGGTCACAGCGACACACAACCAGCCAGGTCACACGCTGAAACCACCCGACGCTCACCAATCTACACTTTGGATTCTGGGTAGGATACTTACGAGAGTTTTGGACTGCTTCTCAAACATGATGTACGATGTCCGCTGTGTGTCTGTCAACTGCATCAGCTCGCCATGGAAGTCGCTATCTCCCTGAAACAAACACAACTAATTATCAGCGCATACCAAAACACCTAGTTCACAAGCAAGGAGGTCAACCATGCCAACATGTTACACTGCTTACAACTTGGTGTCATCAGTCACATCACAAACCAATCCTTCCAGGTACCCATTTACAGCTTGGCAGACCGAGTTAGTGAGTGAGTACCTTTGAATAATAATTCTATTATATCATGGGCTGTAACATGGGAATCAGAACATGTAGACCAGCAAAAGTAGGCAGCTAAGGGACACAACTCTGCAAGGAACCAGACTTTGAACAATATCTCTTTGAACAGTATTGTCATCTTGATGTGAGAGAAGAGCCTGAAGTGATCCAGGTCTGAGACAGCTACAACTTTGGTGAAACAAGCACAGATTGGGTGCTGACAAACCTAGGAACATAATCAGCACGAATCTGGCATCCCAACCAGTGTCTGAATCTCAGCAGAGTAAACTTAGAGCCTTAAGGGCCAGCACATTTAAAAAAATGTTGGCCCAGTGGAAAAACTGCTGGCCCAGTGGAAAAACTGCAGGCCCAGTGGAAAAACTGTTGGCCCAGTGGAAAAACTGCAGGCCCAGTGGAAAAACTGCTGGCCCAGTGGAAAAACTGTTGGCCCAGTGGAAAAACTGCAGGCCCAGTGGAAAAACTGTAGGCCTAGTTGAAAGACTGCTGGCCCAGTGGAAAAACTGAAGGCCCAGTGGAAAAACTGTTGGCCCAGTGGAAAAACTGAAGGGCCAGTGGAAAAACTGTTGGCCCAGTGGAAAAACTGAAGGCCCAGTGGAAAAACTGCAGGCCCAGTGGAAAAACTGCAGGCCCAGTGGAATAACTGCAGGCCCAGTGGAATAACTGCAGGCCCAGTGGAATAACTGAAGGCCCAAACATTTTAGGTGGAACAGGGAGACATACTCTTGCAACATAAATTACAACACACAACCAGTCAACCAGGAGCTTTACTGCTGTCAAACCAAGGTCTGCGTTGTTGAAAGAGTTAACAATGGAGTACTTTGAAGTTGGACCCCGTTTCACCAAGCAGTCTTAGTGTTATGTTTCATTTACCATGTTTACAGGTTTACAGCTTAAAATTAACTTGCTACCGAATGGGCCTGCTCAAATATCAAACTATCGGCCTGAGAACAAGTCTGCCGGCCTCAGGCCTATTTGGGTCTATTTCGAACACTGATCCCGACCAACATTCATAAATCCTTGAAACACCCACAGGCTGAACTCAGTAGGCCAACTGTAGTGCCTTGGACAACTGGGCGACACTTATATTGAGGCTTGCAATCGTTGAAGTGAGGAGTACATCACCATGTCAATAGTTTCCACATCAACCAAACCTAACCCAGGTCTTCCAGCATCACCTCTCCTGCCATACCTGTTAGTCCGGTCAATATAGTGTCAAATCCTACCAAACCCACCACAAATTGCAACAGAAATGATTTCTCCTGTTTCATGTTCAGAAGGCATCCCCTCACAACATATTTAAAATCTAGGAAAATCTAAGTTGGGGAAAATTGTTTAGTTTGGGTATGATCTTTTGGGGGCAAATCAATGTAAAATACAAAAATAGCCCAAAAACTTCATTTTTCATTTTTCGTTAAACCATATCAAGTTAGTTATCAAATGAAAGCTGGCATCACATGCAGTCCTTTTGTATCTATAGTTTGTATCTATTTTGCATAAAAGTAAAATAATCGGCCTTTGAAACAAAACAAAAAAAACAAAATTGGGGGGAAAACACATACATCCATATTTATTCATAACATCAACGTATCTGCGTATGTGGTTTGGTTGGTTTGTTGTTTTACGCCGCACTCAGCAATATTCCAGCTATATGTCTGCGGTCTGTAAATAATCAAGTCTGGACCAGACAATCCAGTGATTGATATCATGAGCATCGATCCACTAAATTGGGATCGATGACATGCTTCAACCAAGTAAGCGAGCCTGACCACCTGATCCCGTTAGTCGCCTCTTACGACAAGCATAGTCGCCTTTTACGGCAAGCATGGGTTGCTGAAGACCTATTCTACCCCGGGTCTTCACGGGTCCTGAGTATGTGAAAGTGTAGCTTCACCAACCTTGTCTATCGTGACGGAAGGGAATTCATCCAGCTTGAGGTCGTTGTCTTGACAGAAGGTGGTGATGATCTTGATGAACGTGTCTCCGAACCTCTGGACCTTCGCCTCTGGGAAATCCTCAATCTTCAACATGCTCGGCTTGCTTCCCGGTCTAGACACACACAAAAATATGTAGAAAATCCACTGAATAGGAAATCCTATTATTGATAAATGGATCACCTTTTACAACTTGCCAAATTACAAATGAGATATGACCACATTATGTGTCCCCCCAACTTAAACTTTTTTGTCCAATACTATTGCAAATTCCAAGTGAAGACAAGCAATGCTTAAATTGATGAGCATCTTCTTGCCAGCTATACAACCATCTCTGTACTCACCGGATCTTTGCCAGGTCGATGAGCACCTTGTTGCTGGCTAAATACAACCATCACTGAACTCACCGGATCTTTGCCAGGTGGATGAGCACCTTGTTGCTGGCTAAATACAACCATCACTGTACTCACCGGATCTTTGCCAGGTCGATGAGCACCTTGTTGCTGGCAATACAACCATCACTGTACTCACCAGATCTTTGCCAGGTTGATGTGCACCTTGTTGCTGGCAATACAACCATCACTGTACTCACCGGATCTTTGCCAGGTCGATGAGCACCTTGTTGCTGGCAATACAACCATCACTGTACTCACCAGATCTTTGCCAGGTGGATGAGCACCTTGTTGCTGGCTAAATACAACCATCACTGTACTCACCGGATCTTTGCCAGGTCGATGAGCACCTTGTTGCTGGCAATACAACCATCACTGTACTCACCAGATCTTTGCCAGGTGGATGAGCACCTTGTTGCTGGCTAAATACAACCATCACTGTACTCACCAGATCTTTGCCAGGTCGATGAGCACCTTGTTGCTGGCTAAATACAACCATCACTGTACTCACCGGATCTTTGCCAGGTCAATGAGCACCTTGTTGCTGGCTATACAACCATCACTGTACTAACAGGATCTTTGCCAGGTTGATGTGCACCTTGTTGCTGGCTAAATACAACCATCACTGTACTCACCGGATCTTTGCCAGGTCGATGAGCACCTTGTTGCTGGCTAAATACAACCATCACTGTACTAACAGGATCTTTGCCAGGTCGATGAGCACCTTGTTGCTGGCTATACAACCATCACTGTACTCACCAGATCTTTGCCAGGTTGATGAGCACCTTGTTGCTGGCTAAATACAACCATCACTGTACTCACCGGATCTTTGCCAGATCGATGAGCACCTTGTTGCTGGCTATACTATGGGGGGTGAAGCCAGTATCCTGTGCCACTTCGTTACGTCGCTTCATCAGCAGGATGTACAACTCACTCTGTAAACGTAACTGTCTCAATTCAGCTCTCAGTTTATCAGTTCAATTGAGTGAGTGAGTGAGTGAGTGAGTGAGTGAGTGAGTGAGTGAGTGAGTGAGTGAGTATGGTTTTACGCTGCTTTTAGCAATATTCCAGCGATATCACGGGGGGGGGGGGGGGGACGACACCAGGAATGGGCTTCACACATTGTACCCATGTCGAGTGACGAGTGAACGCTTTAACCGCAAGGCTACCCGACCGCCCCTTATCCGTTCAAGGAGAACATGGCATGAAAGCAGCACGAAATGAGTACAATGAGTTTGTAACAAATAGTCATACAGACAGTTAAACAAAGAGAACTCAAACTGTATTAACTCCATTTACACCTTAAGACAATGTCTCTTTTTAGTTCTGGCAGTATCTTTAATGACACTATTACAAGAACTCTTCTTGTCTGGAACTATGAACAACTGATGTATATTCAATTGTCCTCAGGGTGAGTATTCAATGGAGGTCTGAATCTGAGTCACAAATAATGGTGAAGCAGCAGAATCACAATGGGAGCACGTTTGAGTTTTTGTCCAGACAAATACAAACTTAATGAAGTAAATTTTGAAATTATTCATCATAGGGGATCACTTCTAACCCGGAACAACAGTGACATGCAGTTTCTTGTGTACCTGTAGACGAGCTGTACGTTCACACACTGGTGCTGGTTTAGGTGTTGGCTCCGGCATGCGCACAGCAGTACTGGTTGACTGGGGAGGACGGTAGGGAATGCTGGGAAGTCGGACATCAGGTCTGCAGAAAATAATCAATTACCACTTGAAGCATACGATAAATATCTTTGAACCATTGACCATTTTGTTTTATTCTGATTGTTTATTACAGCCATATGAAGGCGGCCTGTAAATAATAATCGAGTTTAGACCAGACAATCCAGTGAACGATATAGTGACCAATGATCCATGCTGTCAGGGTATGATGACACGCAATCAACCAAGTCATAGGGCCTGACCACCCGATCCAGAGGGTCACCTCTTACATCCTGTGTAGGTAGCTCAGTATTTACATTTCGAGACCTATCTTCCTTCAGCTAAAGAAGGACTTATTTGACACTGAGACAACCACCTCCTTTGAACGCGACGTTTAACCCCATTTCACCTCCCCTCACCTCTGCCAAAGAAGAATCTACTTGACACTTAGACACCCATCTCCCTTGATCACGACCCTAAGATCACGACCCTAAACCCCATTTCACCTCACCTCACCTCCGCTAAAGAAGAACTACTTGACACAGAAACATCCATCTCCCTTGATCACGACCCTAAACCCCATTTCACCTCCGCCAAATAAGAATCTACTTGACACTAAGACACCCATCTCCCTTGATTGTAACGTTAAACCCCATTTCACCTCCCTCACCTCCACTAAAGAAGAATCTACTTGACACTGAGACAACTATCTCCCTTGATTGTAACGTTAAACCCCATTTCACCTCCCTCACCTCCGTCTGACACTTAGACACCCATCTTCCTTGATTGTAACGTTAAACCCCATTTCACCTCCCTCACCTCCACTAAAGAAGAATCTACTTGACACTGAGACAACTATCTCCCTTGATTGTAACGTTAAACCCCATTTCACCTCCCCTCACCTCCACTAGAAGAAGAATCAACTTGACACTGAGACACCCATCTCCCTTGATTGTTAAGATTAACCCCATTTCACCTCCGCCAAAGAACCTACGTGACTCTGATGGAGATGGACTTGGTTCTCTCCTCATCCAACATGTCTTGGAGGGGCATGATGGTGAGTGTGTTGCTCGGCGACACTCGGAACTTCTGGAGCCACTCCCGCCCCTGGCGTGACACACTGACTGTTGACCCAAAGCCATGTTCCACGGCCTTCTCTGTCAGATAGCCCTCAAACAGCAGACACTTCCCTACAACACCGCACATCTAGGCTGAAATTCATTCACGAATTCCCTTTGGCAGAAAAGCAGAAGAGAATTTTTGTTATCTCCCCCGTATCACTGACTACAAACAGACGGCAACTGACCATGCTGAGTTATATTTACTTTTGTATCCAACATATAAGACCTGCATTTACAATCAGTGTCAATTACTGTCAAACACTTTAGCTCCCAATATAACTCAAAACATATCGCTATAACGATACATCCCAAAATCGTCTCTTCTACCAAGTAAACTACGACATCTCTGTCAATAGTGAGATTTGGCCTTTCGTCACTGCAGGCATGACACATGTGCGTAATGTCTTCATCTAAACGACATCATTGGTTTCATAGTTAATTACCGCACTCAGCAATATTCCAGCTATATGACGGCAGTGTGCAAACAATGAAGCCTGGGCCAGACAATCCAGTGATTGACATCATGAGTATTGACCTACGCAATTGGGATATAATGACATGCATCAACCAAGTCAGCGAGCCTGACTTCCTAATCCCATAAGCTGTAGTCGCCTTTTACATTTTGTTTTTGTGTTTGTTGTTTAACGGCACGCTCAGCAATATTCCAGCTAAATGACGGTGGTCTGCAAATAATCGTGAGCATCGATCCACACAATTAGGATATGAAACATGCATTAGCCAAGTCACCAAGCCTGACCCTGTTAGCTGTAGTCGCCTCTTACAACAAGCATGGGTTGCTGAAGACCAATTCTAAAGCAGATCTTCACGGGGATACAAGCATGGGTTGCTGAAGACCAATTCTAACCCGGATCTTCATGGGGAGACAAGCATCGGTTGCTGAAGACCAATTCTAACCCAGATTTTCACGGGGAGACAAGCATGGGTTGCTGAAGACCAATTCTAACCCGGATCTTCATGGGGAGACAAGCATCGGTTGCTGAAGACCAATTCTAACCCAGATTTGCACGGGGAGACAAGCATGGGTTGCTGAAGACCAATTCTAACCCGGATCTTCATGGGGAGACAAGCATCGGTTGCTGAAGACCAATTCTAACCCAGATTTTCACGGGGAACAAGCATGGGTTGCTGAAGACCAATTCTAACCCGGATCTTCACGGGGAACAAGCATGGGTTGCTGAAGACCAATTCTAACCCGGATCTTCAAGGGGAGAGAAGCATGGGTTGCTGAAGACCAATTCTAACCCGGATCTTCACGGGGAGACAAGCATCGGTTGCTGAAGACCAATTCTAACCCGGATCTTCAAGGGGAGAGAAGCATGGGTTGCTGAAGACCAATTCTAACCCGGATCTTCACGGGGAACAAGCATAGGTTGGTGAAGACCAATTCTAACCCGGATCTTCAAGGGGAGACAAGCATGGGTTGCTGAAGACCAATTCTAACCCAGATCTTCAAGGGGCTTAAATGACATCATATCACAATGGATACTAACCGGTATTATCATTTGATCCACTTACCAAATCCTTTCCACCACTTTAAGCTTCTGTACCTGTAGAACAAGCAGGTGATGAGTGCAAAATGTGACTTAAACAGATTTGAAAAAAACTGTATCTAGAACTAATTGTCCTTGGCAACATTTGGCAAAAATAGTTATTTTGCTCAAAACAGATTTTGTTTTTTAAAGTTTCGAGGTACTTTAACATTGTATTCAAAGCAACAATGCAAAAGTAAGTATTAAAGCTTCGTTCTCTTAGTGGCCAGTGAAATACAAGTAACCTCTACAAACTATAACATTAGTCATAACAATTTAACTTGAATTGGAAAATCTTAAATTCCAAGTCGGGAATTTTTACTGACATTGACTGCACACTTGAAGCTGTCGTAAGTCTATGTTAAAGTATGGGAGTTACACTTGTCTTAGTACTACGACTGCCGTAAGTCTATGTTAAAGTATGGGAGTAACGCTTGTCTTAGTACTATGACTGCCATAAGTCTATGTTAAGGTATGGGAGTGACGCTTGTCTTAGTACAACGACTGCCGTAAGTCTATGTTAAAGTATGGGAGTTACGCTTGTCTTAGTACTACGACTGCAGTAAGTCTATGTTAAAGTATGGAAGTTACGCTTGTCTTAGTACTAGGACTGCCGTAAGTCTATGTTAAAGTATGGGAGTAACACTTGTCTTAGTACAACGACTGCCGTAAGTCTATGTTAAAGTATGGAAGTTACGCTTGTCTTAGTACTACGACTGCTGTAAGTCTATGTTAAAGTATGGGAGTTACGCTTGTCTTAGTACAACGACTGCAGTAAGTCTATGTTAAAGTATGGAAGTTACGCTTGTCTTAGTACTAGGACTGCCATAAGTCTATGTTAAGGTATGGGAGTTACGCTTGTCTTAGTACTACGACTGTTGTAAGTCTATGTTAAAGTATGGGAGTTACGCTTGTCTTAGTACTAGGACTGCTGTAAGTCTATGTTAAAGTATGGGAGTTATGCTTGTCTTAGTACTACGACTGTTGTAAGTCTATGTTAAAGTATGGGAGTTACGCTTGTCTTAGTACTACGACTGTCGTAAGTCTATGTTAAGGTATGGGAGTGACGCTTGTCTTAGTACTACGACTGTTGTAAGTCTATGTTAAGGTATGGGAGTTACGCTTGTCTTAGTACTACGACTGTTGTAAGTCTATGTTAAAGTATGGGAGTTACGCTTGTCTTAGTACTAGGACTGCTGTAAGTCTATGTTAAAGTATGGGAGTTACGCTTGTCTTAGTACTACGACTGTTGTAAGTCTATGTTAAGGTATGGGAGTTACGCTTGTCTTAGTACTAAGACTGTCGTAAGTCTATGTTAAGGTATGGGAGTTACGCTTTTCTTAGTACTACGACTGTCGTAAGTCTATGTTAAGGTATGGGAGTTACGCTCGCTTAGTACTACGACTGCCGTAAGTCTATGTTAAGGTATGGGAGTTACTCATGTCTTAGTACTACGACTGTCGTAAGTCTATGTTAAGGTATGGGAGTTACGCTTGTCTTAGTACTACGACTGCCGTAAGTCTATGTTAAGGTATGGGAGTTACGCTTGTCTTTGTACTATGACTGTCGTAAGTCTATGTTAAGGTATGAGAACAGGGGCCTGGTGAGCTACTTGTGGCCACCTGGTGGACGTACTTGCCAGATCCCCAGACCTTGTCCTTGGTGAAGCGTTGAATCCTCTGGTTGTTGGACCCCACCAGCAGCTGTATCGGGGACGTGATGCCGAACCTGCCACCCATCGCCTGACGGGAGAGGACAACATTCATGAAAACAGTGTTGACTAGACAAACCATCGTTCATACAAAACATCTAACTTGCTATGCAATCAATGATGTCATCAGCACTGACTGCACAATCCACTTAAGTCGTCTCCTACACCAAGCATAGGTTACAAGTAGGCCTGAAACGGGTAACTCGGATACTCTAGCCGGGTGGGTACTGAGTAGGACCCGGGTACCCTCAGGACTACCCTGACCCGTGGTAAGTCACGTGATATATTGCGTAAAACACAAATTAACTAACACTATGGTTACACTACAAGCCACTAATGCTCACATTTCTTTCTGACCATGCACCCATTCCTTCTCACCTTCATATGTTTGAATGAAGTCAGCTTCAGTGTATGCATGACCAGATCATTTTACACGTGTATCTAAATACATTTTGCCAGGGCTACGGTAAATCTATTCCCAATCAGACATTTTGTATATATCTCTTGAGACCTACAGCGGGTACCCGGGTAGGGTCGGGTAATTGGGGGTTGGGTATCCAGGTAGTAAATTAAGACTCGTCCCAGCCCTAGTTACAAGGGTTCAAAACTGAGGTGGTGTCCCAATATGGTGCAATAGTAAGAATATGCTGTACTTGACAGCATAGAAGGTAGACGGAGACAATTATCATAAGATAATCATTCTAAAACAATCATCATGAGACAATCATGCTAAAACTCAATCATCATGAGACAATCATCCTAAAACTCAATCATCATGAGACAATCATCCTAAAACTCAATCATCATGAGACAATCATCCTAAAACTCAATCATCATGAGACAATCATCCTAAAACTCAATCATCATGAAACACAATCATCATGAGACAGTTACAATGAGACAATCATTCTAAAACTCAATCATCATGAGACAATCATCCTAAAACTCAATCATCATGAGACAATCATCCTAAAACTCAATCATCATGAGACAATCATCCTAAAACTCAATCATCATGAGACAATCATCCTAAAACTCAATCATCATGAAACACAATCATCATGAGACAGTTACAATGAGACAATCATTCTAAAACAATTATCCCTAAACAATCATTATGAGACAATAATTACTATCTGACCCCTGACCTCAATGGCGGTGAAGAGATCCTTGGCCTCCCGTGAGTAGTCCACTGGTTTGTCCGGCGCCACACTCCCAGCATCCATGCCCCAGTTCTTGGAGCTGTAGAAGCCTTGCTTCTTCCCAACCTCAATTCTGCAGAAAACAAGACATTCAAATCTTCCCTGTCAATCAGAAGACAACATCACAGCAGGCCTTTCTGTCCCAATACCCTCCACTGACAGAGGAGGTAGGGTAGATCAGTGGCTCATCACACCGAAGGCCTGGGTTCAATTCCTCACATGGGTACAATGTGTTAAGACCATTTCTGGTGTCCCCTGCCATGATATTGCTGGAATATTGCTAAGTGCAGAATAAAACCACACTTTCACTCTATTCACAGCTGAGACTTTTGATAGGGTAAATCATGCTATGGCAGGATAAGTCGCAGACAAAACCGAATGGAGGTCGCTTACAATGCTAAAATGAAATAGATCTATAGTCTGGAAGGTAATATCTGAAAAACTATCGGACCTACTCCAGTCAAAGTTGGTATAAGATTATCAAACAGTCATACATAACTGGATATTACATTTAAAGACTATCGGTGCATGAATAAAAAATCTGTCTATTTAGCTATCACAATATTTCATCAACAACCAGACCTGTTCGTCACGGGTGGAACGAGCATTCATTGTACAGCCATCTGCATAATGCTACCCCTGCGTCACAGGGCCATATGACACAGTTGAACCAATCAACTCAACTCGAAAAGGTTGCGCGGGAATCACCCACGCACGAATACGGTGTTAGCGTTAGGCGTCTCAACGCACGTGATTCCCGTGCGTGTCAGACAAATAGTTACTTCTTACTTTTTCCGACAGTTGTCGCAGCAGTTTTCAGTACCACCAAGCTCTTGCATCTCCCTCCCCTCGAAGTGAGCCAGCAACACCCTGGCGGGGAACAAAACACTCATGAAAGTGAAACCTCATACTCAATTCAGATTATTTGCAACTGATAATTTCCAAAACAAAAATACATGTAAAACATAAGACAGTGACTGTCAGATGCAGCTCCTATCTCTACCAGTGAGGTCTTTTGCAAGAACTTACAATCAGAGTGAAAATACAAATTGTGAATCAGTGATTTATACAGATTCTCGCCTCAGCAATCCTCAGAGTTTTAAACTCTTTTTTTTTGTCTTGTTTTAATATCAATAGACGCAAGTGTGAGATTTTATCTATTATCTAAAAATCCGACTTCCACCCCCCAGTCTCATGTACCTCCTCCTGCACTGGGCTGTGCTCAGATACTGCATCAACCCCATCACTCCATCCCCCAGTCTCATGTACCTCCTCCTGGACTGGGCTGTGCTCAGATACTGCATCAGCCCCATCACCCCACCCCCCAGTCTCATGTACCTCCTCCTGCACTGGGCTGTGCTCAGATACTGCATCAACCCCCATCACCCCACCCCCCAGTCTCATGTACCTCCTCCTGCACTGGGCTGTGCTCAGATACTGCATCAACCCCATCACTCCATCCCCCAGTCTCATGTACCTCCTCCTGCACTGGGCTGTGCTCAGATACTGCATCAACCCCCACCCCCCAGTCTCATGTACCTTCTCCTGCACTGGGCTGTGCTCAGATACTGCATCAGCCCCCACCCCCCAGTCTCATGTACCTCCTCCTGCACTGGGCTGTGCTCAGATACTGCATCAACCCCCACCCCCCAGTCTCATGTACCTTCTCCTGCACTGGGCTGTGCTCAGATACTGCATCAACCTCCATCACCCCACCCCCCAGTCTCATATACCTCCTCCTGCACTGGGCTGTGCTCAGATACTGCATCAGCCCCCACCCCCCATGTTAATTACCTTTATGGCCCTTTCCACTATTGGCCCTGGTTAGCCCTTCTCTCATTCTCCACACCACTGACAGTTCATGTCAAATCCCCGCCATCCGTAAACACGCTGCTTCCTGTCAACTTTTTCCCATCTCTGCCCCAGCTTCTGCTCACGCATGCGCACACGTAGTCAAGTTCAGAGGTCACTTCCAGTACACTCGAATGTAAATATACCACACAATGTGGTTAGGACTGACATGTTATCAATCTCCCACTTCTTTAAAGTTTGTCTTCAAATGTGATAAGGCTGGAGTGACAAACTTTGCTGGCTGTGTCAAAATTTCATTTGTTAATATGTAAAGCCTTCCCTCAGACTTTCTCGGTAAAAGTAAAAATAAATTTCTTAAAACCAGTCTCTGTACAGTATATCCCAAGAACAGTTTCCAGTCTCTGTACAGTATATCCCAAGAACAGCTTCCAGTCTCTGTACAGTATATCCCAAGAACAGTTTCCAGTCTCTGTACAGTATATCCCAAGAACAGTTTCCAGTCTCTGAACAGTCTCTGTACAGTATATCTCAAGAACAGTTTCTTCACATATAACCTCAAATATTTTTGATTTGTATAAAATAGTTTTATGTAAAAGAAGGATGCAGACTGTTCCAACAAACATATTTTGTTTTTTCTTCTTTAAGATCTTCATAAAAACAGGTTAAAAGATGATGCAGTTTATAATAATATCTTCACAGAGTTCCTTCTTCAAGGACCCGTAGTAACTTCATAGGTGAAGCGCCCTCTTTGGTCAGACAGTCTGCCAACTGGTTATTTGTGTCCACCCATGTCACATCTCCTATCTGTCCAGATTCCACTAACTCCTTGATCCCACTTATTTCCATTCTCAGTCTTTTTTCTTTAACAGGTTTAGTGGATTTTAGAGCATCATACAGTGATTTAGAGTCTGTGATACAGGTCAATGTCATTCTGTTGTGTTTCTCACCACTCAGTTCTCCAAACAACATTGATAGGTACACTCCTGTATCAATACCATCGGTCATCGCCAAAGTTTCACCAGCCAGTGTGCTTCGCACCACCCGACGAATCTTCTTCGAGTTCCAACATAAAGGTGTCACCTTTCCTGTACTGCCTGTGAGGAAAATCATGTGTCCACCCTGTGTGCCTCCATCTGGCAGTTTTCCTAACGAAGCATCACTGAAAACTACAAGTGAAAGTTCCTTTCCTACATTTTGAAATTTCAGGTTGACATGTTCTGACTTAATCTTCCTAATAATCTTGTTTGCTGTCAAAAGATGTTCAACTTTGGCATCCTTCGTACATGCTGCTAGTCGACAAGCATCAAATATAACATCAGGCCGACTCTGTTTAGCTATCCACAGTATTTGTCCTATCTTGGATCTGAGTTCATGCTTCTCAATATTGTTCAGGGGTGAAGATTTCTGAGCGGATCTAGATTTATCAATCTGGACAAAGTTGAGGCTTTCTGCATATTTCTGTTGATGTAAGAAAATGTGTCCGTCCTGGCAAGATAAGTTCATTCCCAAGTATTGAAAAGCTTGGTTTTCTTCTTTTCCAACCTTTAAGTGTGATCTCACAGATTCCATTACATTTGATCTGAATTCTGCAGATCCACCCCAAATAAAGTCATCAACATGACATGCCAATATTCCAACAGTTTCTTGATCTTGTCCTTCCCAGAAAAATACTGCTGGGTCAACTCTCGATACCTTAGCCCCTAGTTCCAACATGACTGACTTGACTTTCTGATACCAATGTAGTGATGCATCACTTAGTCCATAGACACACTTCTGAAGATGCCAGAGTTTTCCAGGTACGTTTGCTTCTTTCGGAGGTCTAATGTAAACGTCTCTCTTCATCCCTTCACCTTGAAGAAATGCAGTTTTAATATCCATTGAATGAGGTTTCCATTTTTTCTGACAAAATACTGCCAAGATAAGTTTCAGCGATTCTTTAGCACATGTTGGGGAATCTTTTTGAAAGTCCGTATTCTCACCTTCTTCGAATCCTCGGGCAACTAACCTTGCCTTAGGTATTATCTTCTCTGGTGTTTCTTTAAGTGTACAGACCCACCTGGTTGACACACATCTTTGCCCATCATCGACAACTTCTTTGTAAACTCCATTTTCCTTCCAATTATCAAGTTCAGTTAGCTTGGGTTTAGTCCATGCAACATCTTCTGTAATCATGACGTTTTCCTCCATGATTTCACAGGGGATTATCCGCAATTCTTCTACCTTGGACAAATCAACTGACTGACTTATACCTTGCATTTCAGAATTCATGAATTCTAAGTTGTACCAGCTCCTGTTTTTGCCTGTTGCTTTTCCTGCTCTGCTAAGAACTTTTGCACAGACTTGATCTCCAGTGTCTTGATGTGCATATGAAATTGTCTGCCCAGACTTTATTTGTGATAATCGTTCCTGTAGATTGTTCAATTCAGAAACTTCTCCTATCTGTGGTTCTTTTGTTTGTATCTCTAGGTCACTGTCTTCCTCGACACTATCATGTCTTTGCACAGTTTCCTCTTGTTCTACTTGCCTCTCATTATGTTCATTGTTATTTTCAGGAATGTCCTTTTCTACACAACGCCTCATTCTACTTCTATGAACCCTCACCACAATTCCTCCATTTCTCATGAAAACCACAGTACCGTCTTGTCCTATCACAGTTCCTGGACCCTTCCATTTAGGATCATCTGACCTCTTGAAGTAGACCTTGTCACCGGTCTCAAAATTTCCAGCAACTGGACGAATCTGCTTTCTGAGGGCTCTTCTCAATCTTTCAGAACTTTCAGCTTCTATGAAAGCCTGTCTTGATGCAAACATTGTATTAATATGTTTTCCCACAGTTGCACTTGTTGTGGTGCCCTCGAGCGATGGTGCCTTGTCAGTCAGAACTGATGGTAAATTTGGGTTTCGTCCAAAAACTACTGGTATGCGCTGTATCCAGAAATGTTACTGAGGCTGTTCTTGGCAATTAATGCCCAACTAAGTGCCGTTTCCCAGTCACAGTTCTTCTCAGATTTCACCTTTCTCATGATATTTGTCAAAGTCTGATTGTGGCGTTCAAGCAATCCATTGCTCCATGGACTCTCAGCTGCTGTGGTCTTTACTTCAATGTTAAAATTCTCACACATGTCTCTCACTTCAGCATTGTTGAATTCTCCTCCATTGTCACTTAAGAGTTTTTGTGGTGCTCCATGAATACTTATCCAATGCTGAATAAAGTTCTGAACAAACACTGATGATTGCTTACTTCTAATAATAGCTCCAGCACTAAATCTGGTAAATTCATCAATAATGTGCAAATACCACATGCCCTTTCCAAGTTCGTGTAAGTCAACAGCCACTGTCTCATTAAAATCTGTAGCCTTAGGAAATCCAACTGCTGGCTTAGTTGGTTGTTTCCTATACCTTTCACATGTTTCACATTTCTCAACTATTTCTGTTAGTGTCTTCAAGATGTCGGGATCTTTATTCCCTGCATTTTGAATAAGCCTCTGTAATCTTTCCGCTGTGGCGTGTCCAAACTGCTTGTGAAGCTTCTCCAGCGCTTTCTTTTGATCCTTTTCACCAATATTTTCTATTATGAAGAGTGCTTCTGAATCTAACTGTTCAACTGTACACTGCTCCAGGCCACGATCTGAAGTTTGTTCAGCAGGAAAATCTCTTTGTCCAACTAGATCAATGCAATAATGTCCAGTTGATGTCAGTTCTAAGTTCACTGGTTTATGAAACATGATAGCTGTGTCATTTGGTAAATCAAGAATTAATCCAGCTTTCTTCAGTGATGGTTTTCCAAGCAAAAGAGGAATGTCCGATTCTACAACTTCTGTGTTTATAGTGCACCGAGTGTCACCAATTACTGCTGGTATCATAACATTGGATGATGAGAAAACTTTCACTCCATCTCCAAATCTAAAGCTCTTATTGCTAGGATTTGAAATAATTTCATCCCTTTCCTGACTACTGAGTGTCTCTATGTATTGGTCCAACCATTGCTGTCCACACACTGTACTTGTACAGGCAGTGTCTAATACTGCACATCCCAATGCTTCTGTTAGTAGAATTTTGTTCTCCGTACTTTGCTCCTTTGTAAACAGTGTCAAGTTACATTGCTCTGTCTGTTCTTCTGTTTCTATCATTTTCACTTCCTCATTGTTTCTTGGTTTCTCTTGGTGTGGGCAATCTTTAGCCCAATGGAAAGTTGACTGACAAATTACACATCGGCTGCGCTTTCCAAACCTGTTAATTGGATTCGTTCCCCTTTCAGGTGTATCATTTCTATTACCACTGTAAGCTGAACTGTATCTGTCACTTGGCTCATTCCTGTACCTTGGACCCGAGTATCTCTGTCCTTGTTGACGTCCTCTATAACCACTCTGGCTATTTCTTGTGTAATATGCTGATTCCTGTTTCACACATATGGCACTGTCAGAATCCTGACTTTTAACATTACCAAATATTCTCTTCAATGCTGATTTCATAGATTCAAAGTTTCTATCGTTAGCTGCTGTCAAAACTAACTGTCTTTCTTTCTGAGTCAATCCTGATGAATCAAGCAACTTGAATGAGAGTACTGAATTTGGCAAAACCATCTGATATTTCTTACACTGGGTATATCGCCGTTCATATTCAATGATAAATTCTGACATTGTCATTTCTTCAGCCTTTGTGAAACTATCAAAATCCCTGTATGCCGTGTATGCTAAGTCAACAGTGTCCCTCTTATAAAGTTCATCAAGTGCTTGGACAAGAATTTTCAAACCCCGTTTGGAATTCAAGTCTTTCACATCAATTGCCATTGCTTTTGCCCTAGCTTGTCCCGTAAGTGATCCCAGTGAGACTGCGAGTGCCTGTTTTTCCTCTACAACCTCGGTCATGTGACACCATATTTCAAGTTCGTTTTTCCACGTCTCATATTCCATCTCATTTGTCAAAGTCGGGGGATTCTTGTAACCATGTGCCATATTGCTAGCCCCGTTTTCCCGAAACCACGCTCTGCTACCAATGTTAATTACCTTTATGGCCCTTTCCACTATTGGCCCTGGTTAGCCCTTCTCTCATTCTCCACACCACTGACAGTTCATGTCAAATCCCCGCCATCCGTAAACACGCTGCTTCCTGTCAACTTTTTCCCATCTCTGCCCCAGCTTCTGCTCACGCATGCGCACACGTAGTCAAGTTCAGAGGTCACTTCCAGTACACTCGAATGTAAATATACCACACAATGTGGTTAGGACTGACATGTTATCACCCAGTCTCATATACCTCCTCCTGCACTGGGCTGTGCTCAGATACTGCATCAACCCACCCCCCCCCCCCCCCCCAGTCTCATGTACCTTCTCCTGTACTGGGCTGTGCTCAGATACTGCATCAACCTCCATCACCCCACCCCCCAGTCTCATGTACCTCCTCCTGCACTGGGCTGTGCTCAGATACTGCATCAGCCCCCACCCCCCAGTCTCATGTACCTTCTCCTGCACTGGGCTGTGCTCAGGTACTGCATCAGCCCCCACCCCCCAGTCTCATATACCTCCTCCTGCACTGGGCTGTGCTCAGATACTGCATCAACCCCCACCCCCCAGTCTCATGTACCTCCTCCTGCACTGGGCTGTGCTCAGATACTGCATCAACCCCATCACCCCACCCCCCAGTCTCATATACCTCCTCCTGCACTGGGCTGTGCTCAGATACTGCATCAACCCCATCACTCCACCCCCCAGTCTCATGTACCTTCTCCTGCACTGGGCTGTGCTCAGATACTGCATCAACCCCCATCACCCCACCCCCTCAGTCTCATGTACCTCCTCCTGCACTGGGCTGTGCTCAGATACTGCATCAACCCCCATCACCCCAACCCCCAGTCTCATGTACCTCCTCCTGCACAGGGCTGTGCTCAGATACTGCATCAACCCCATCACCCCACCCCCCAGTCTCACGTACCTTCTCCTGCACTGGGCTGTGTTTAGGTACTGCACCATTTTTCCCAGCATCTTCAGCTTGTGTTGACGGAATTTCTCATTGTTGATTTCATTGATGAAATGTTTGCTGACGTTGAAATCTGCACTAGAGTAGAAGACGTGACAGGCGCTAGGCAACCCATCTCGCCCAGCACGCCCCACTTCCTGGTAGTACGACTCGATGTCCTTCGGAGCTGAAGACATGAGATAGAGTGAGTTTGTTGTTTAACGCTGCACTCAGTAACATTCCAGCTCTATGTTGGCAGTCTGTACATAATCAAATCTGATCAGACAATCCAGTGATTGACATCATGAGCATCAATCCACACAACTGGGATACAATGACAAGAAGTTAACCAAGTCACTGAGTCTGACCATCCAATCATTTAGTCACCTCTTACGACAAGCAAAGTGAGTGTGAGTAAGTGAGTGAGTGAGTATGGTTTTACGCCGCTTTTAGCAATATTCCAGCAATATCACAGCAGGGGACACCAGAAATGGGCTTCACACATTGTACCCATGTCAGGAATCGAAACTGGGTCTTCGGTGTGACGAGCGAACGATTTAACCACTGGGCTACCCGACCGCCCCTACGACAAGCAAAGGTTGCTGTGGACGAGAATTTGTACCCGGAATCACCACTGGGAGAGTGAGTGAGTGGTTCAAACGCTGCTTTGAAATGTATTCCAGTTACATCAATTTGGTGAAAGCCAAAAGCGTGGATATGGTGCTGACAAACCAAGAATCACAATCAAGGCGAATAGGATATTCAAATATAGGATTTGAACACACGATCCCGAGACAGACACGGCCGGTAGTTTGTTAGTCTGTGACAAGTGAAAATCAAGCAAGGCTAGTTCTATTGTAAAATCTAGTTATTTTATATAAATCACTAGTCTGAAATGAGTTGTGGACTAGTTGGATATTACCAGAGGTATCTGACCCTTGCGACCATAGGATCCCAACATGCCTAAGGGACGCACCCCTGCACAGCGAATCCCATGCCTTTGATGACTGTGAGTTGGTTGAAAAATATTTGGGTAACTGCATTGCGCACCAGGTTAATGTGTCACAAAAAACAAGTGTGGGCGAGGTCCAGATAGATCCAGGATCAAATCAGAGATTCAAAACCAAAGAGAGCGGATCCTGGCATTGCTAAAGGCCAAGAACTCTACACATTTCACCAATGTCCCATACACTGAACTAAAAATGTTAGTGATGACAATATTTTTTTGTTGATATTTTTTGTAGGTAAGAATGAGCACACAATTTTATAAAAATATCCCCACTAATATTGATGATCCCTAACTTTGTTTAGTATATATACCCATTTATTTGGTAGACCAGTTCACGACATTGCTTCGATCTACCGCTCAAAGTCTCACAGTTCCTGTAATACTCACCCCCATAATGGATGACCTTCCTCACGTCAGGCTTGTCAATACCCATTCCAAATGCCACTGTTGCCACGACAACCTGAATTCTGTCATTCACAAATTTATGATGAGCGTCTTTTCTAGCCTTAAGACTCAGTCCTGCATGGTAAGGAAGACACAACACCCCTTGAGCTGGAAACATATGCATAATCCATGATTAGAATCGTCCAACTCAAAAGTAGCAATCTTGATTTTTTCCTTAGTCTGATCTGTGCTATCATATTTTAATATATTAAAAAGGTTTAGTAGTAAATGTATTCAGTCACTAACATAACATAATATTTGCATCACTGGTAAGTGAGGAGAAATTGTGTTTAACGTTGCGTCTAAGATCAATGCACTTATATAGTGATGTGTGCGTGTGGGTCTGCTTGTGCTAGTCCGGACTGATGCCGACTTATAGTGCTAGTCCACTGAGATACCATCCCGCAGCTTAACATGAATACCCCACTCAGACACAGTATACCGACTCCGAGTCGACCAGTCCTTGTTGTAACCCCTTAATGCCGAGCGCCAGACAGAGTAACAACAAGCACCATCTTTTAACGTCTTTTGATATGATATTTGCATCAATGACAGTGAAGATGAGTTTAGTCATCAGTATATATGTATGGATTCTATCACACAAGTCAGTGTGTACAGGATTTCGCCACCGTGATCTAAGTAACAATTTGGGGTCTATCCATCATCGAATAAACAACAGATCATTACTAGACATATCTATTTCCTAAGCCAATGTTAAATTGTTTGTTGTTTCTTAGCTGCAGTCAATATTCAAGTTGATTCAAGCCACACCCAACATGGTCTATATGGATAACAAGCAACAGTCACCTCTGCATCTTTAACATTGACGATGACTTTGGCCATTTATGCAACTTAAAGTAAAAAATTCAATAAGAGAGTGAGTGGTTTAAACGCCAGTTTGAACAGTATTCCAGTTTAATCCAAAATCCATAAGTGATAGTTTTAGATGTTTCACTATGGTCCAAAAGTGATAGTCTTGGATGTTACATTTTGGTCCAATAGGGATAGTTTTAGAGGTTACACATTGGTCCAAAAGTGATAGTCTTGGATGTTACATTTTGGTCCAAAAGTGATAGTTTTAGAGGTTACACTTTGGTCCAAAAGGGATAGTTTTAGAGGTTACATTTTGGTCCAAAAGTGATAGTTTTGGATGTTACATTTTGGTCCAAAAGTGACAGTTTTAGAGGTTACATTTTGGTCCAAAAGTGATAGTCTTGGTGAAAACCATGAGCATGGGTATGCAGCATAATCTGGGATTCAAATCCACATTCACAGGAATCCCAGCCCACCAAAGGGCCGCAACAATGCATGGTTAACAGACGACTGCACCACCACCCCAGCCCCCTGTGTGTATCAACGAAGGGGCCGTGTGAGCCCTTCCTTACTCTTGAGGACACTGGTCACCTCCATGGTGGACTTCTTGGTGGGGCAGTAGATGATGGTCGGCCCGTCAAACTCGAACTTGTTGTCCTTCTTCACCATGTGTTGCTTCAGGTCGTACCACACCTCCGCCTTCGCCGCCACCGACAGGAACAAGTTGGGTCTGAAATACGAGACATCGGATGTCAGAAGTTGTACAATGTAGTCTCCTCACGCTACATTAGCACTGCCTGAACCTCCAGACACACTCTGATACAATACACACAACCATTGACAGGAACAAGTTGGGTCTGAAATACGAGACATCGGATGTCAGAAGTTGTACATTGTACTCTCCTCATGCTACATTACATGATTAGCACTGCGTGAACCTCCAAACACACTCTGATACACTACACCCAACCACCGACAGAAACAAGGTGGTCCAGCATGAGATGACACATTGTACACCCTTCTTGTGACTTATTGGTAGGGTTCTACAAAGCTGTAGTCACAGTACTATACATACTGCAATATCATTTTCATGTCGCGATATGTATTGCAATCACTATTTCAGAAACACGTGGAGATCCGAGTAAGAATTGGTCTTCAGCAACCCATGCTTGCCGTGAAAGGCACCTATGCTTGTCGTAAGAGGCGACTAACAGGATTGGGTGGTCAGGCTCGCTGACTTGGTTGATGCATGTCATCGTATCCCAATTGCGTAGATCGATGATCATGATGTCATTCACTGTATTGTCTGGTCGAGACTTGATTATTTACAGACTGCTGTCATATAGCTGGAGTATTGCTGGGTGCGGCGTTAAACAACAAACAAACTAATTTTTGTGAACGTAATCGAATTCTTAGAATTACAGAGGAATCAAACTACACTGGCAGTATGTATTGAGGTGAAGTGAGGTGATAGGGTGCTTAACATTGTGTTCTAGATTCCTTCACTCATGTAGCGACGTGTATGCATGTGTGTGTGTGGCTGCTTGTGCTAGTCCGTACTAATGCCGGTTTTTATAGTGCTATTCCATTAAGATACCTTACAGTTTAACATGGATACCCCACCAAAACACAGTCCACTGACTTCAAGCTCAGCTTAATGCTGAGTGCCAGGCATTGTGTGTTTATTGGGTAACATCAAGTACAATCTTGAAACGTGTTTTGTAGGGCTGGGACGGTTAACTCGGGTACTCGGGTCGGGTGGGTACTGAGAAGGACCCGGGTACCCACAGAACTACCAGGACCCGTGGTTAGTCACATGATATATTGTTTACTGACAAAAATGATCTTAAACTATATGGTTACACTACAAGTTACTAATGTTCGCATTTCTTTCTGACTATGCACCAAGACGTTTATATGTTTGAATAAAGATAAAACTTCAGTCAACTTCAGTGTATGCATGACCAGATCGATTTATACGTGCATCTCAATACATTTACACTTTGGCTAGGGCTACGGTCAAACTATTCCCAATCGGACATTTTGTACCTATCTCTTGAGACCTACAGCAGGTACCATGGTAGGGTCGGGTAATAGGGGGATGGGTACCCGGGTAGTAAATGTGGACTCGTCCCCGCCCTAGTCTTTATGTATGACGCGATTCATACTGACACAATCAAGAACATCATGTACGCTGTTGAAGGGCAATATTATGCTGCACGATAACCGTCTTGTCTTGTGTGGCTAAAGATCTCCTTAAACAGTACAGGTAAGATTGGGCTGCTACCAAACTCACCTGTCGAAGCCAGTGCATGTGACAACTGGATTCCTCAGCTTCAGAGAGCGACAGATGTCTCGCCTCACGTCCACCGTGGCCGTCGCGGTCAAGGCCATAACAGGAACCTAGAGGAGAATCGGTCAATGATTGGTCAGTGATTATTGGTCAGCATGTTAAGATTTGAGCTCAACTGGATATGAAAACTTCTTTTAGTGGTATTTAGAAGTTGGTTTGATGAAGAAAAACAAGTTCTATGGATGAACAACTTCTTTATTACAATTAGTGCAACGTTTCGGTGTAGATCCTAACAACTTTATCAAGCAAGTGTACCTACTTGTCCCTGGACAACATTTCCACAGACAACTCAAACTGAATTTTCATCTTTGAAGTCGGGTAAGTAAGGCATTGTTTTTCCACACCCCCGACTCAATTGACACTTCTCTATAAGTCTAATATTTGGACCAATCAGCATTAATCAACTGTAACTGAAATTTAAAAACATGACAAATCATATGACACATCTACAAAAAGAATTGTGTTGAAATCTAAAAATATTATCACCTAAAACCAAATATCACACCAATGTCTTTCATCTTCAACCTACATAGTGACAAAGTGACAAAACTTTTGTGAAACCTGGAAAACGGGTGCTGACAAACATAGGATCCTATTCAGGGTTTGTTTGTTGTTTAACGCCGCACTCAGCAATATTGCAGCTATGACGTTGGTCTGTAATTAATCAAGTCTGGACCAGACAATCCAGTAATTGACATCATGAGAATCAAGCCATGCAATTGTGACACAATAACATGCATCAACCAAGTCAGGGAACCTGACCATCCGATCCCGTTAGTCGCCTCTTACGACAAGCATAGTCGCCATTTACGGCAAACATGGGTTGCTGAAGACCTATTCTGACCCGGATCTTATCCGGTCTCATATTCAGGGTAAATATGGGATTAGAACCAGGCATCAATGAATCCTCGCAGGGCTAGGGCAATACATGGCAATACATGACACTTCATGACAACCCATGACACTACATCGTACATGACATGTTCACTTACATCAGGAAACTTGTCCTTGAGAGAGCCGAGACTCCTGTAGGCTGACCGGAAGTCATGGCCCCACTGCGATACGCAGTGAGCCTCGTCAATAGCAATCAGGTCAATACCTGCAAGAGAGCGAGGTCCATGTGGATATTTATTACATAATGCAGAGATTTCTAGAAGCTGTTACTTGAAACACATTTTGTATACTGTCTCTGAGCTGACCAGTTCTTGTTTTAGCCCCTTAATGTTAAGCGCCAGAGAGGGTAACAACAAGAACCATCTTTTAATGACTTTTGGTATGACGCAGCCCGGGGATCGAACACTCTACCACTAGACCACGGAGGCGGTCTGGTGCACCAAGTCCAGGGCCCCTCTGTTCCTAATAATGGAACTGTTTGGATTCCATTGGAATATGTACTGCATACCTATTTTGCTGTTGAGGTCTGTGAGCACGTTACTTCCTGTACTGGCGTACTCCGGAGTGATGTACAAAACACGGTACTGCCCTCTACAACAGACAATGCAGACCTTCAATAACATGCTTGTATGGTTGTAACACCGCGCTCAGCAGTATTCCACCTAGGATCACTGAGTTAGTTCTGTTACATGATGAACCCAGAACGAACTCGTCAATCAGTAGAGATCTAGTCTGGAACTAGTTAATTACAAGAATCTAGTCTGGAAATAGTCAATCACTAGAGATCTAGTCTGGAACAAATCAATCACTAGAAATCTGTTTTTGGACTAGTTAATCATTAGAAATCTAGTCTGGAACTAGTTAATCATTAGAAATCTAGTCTGGAACTAGTTAATCACTAGAAATCTAGTCTGGAACTAGTCAATCACTAGAAATCTAGTCTGGACCTAGTTAATCACAAGAATCTAGTCTGGAAATAGTCAATCACTAGAGATCTAGTCTGGAACTAGTCAATCACTAGAGATCTAGTCTGGAACTAGTCAATCACAAGAGATCTAGTCATGAACTAGTTAATCACTAGAAATCTAGTCTGGAACTAGATAATCACTAGAGATCTAGTCATGAACTAGTTAATCACTAGAGATCTAGTCTGGAACTAGTCAATCACTAGAAATCTAGTGATGAACTAGATAATCACTAGAGATCTAGTCATGAACTAGTTAATCACTAGAGATCTAGTCATGAACTAGTTAATCACTAGAAATCTAGTCTGGAACTAGATAATCATTAGAGATCTCGTCTGGAGCTAGTAAATCACAAGAGATCTAGTCATGAACTAGATAATCACTAGAGATCTAGTCTGGAACTAGTAAATCACAAGAGATCTAGTCATGAACTAGATAATCACTAGAGATCTCGTCTGGAACTAGTTAATCACTAGAGATCTAGTCATGAACTAGTTAAACGCCAGCAAGGTTTACCTCATGAGTTCGCTCATAACCTGACTTGTGTTTTCTTGAGCAGATCCCAGCAAACAGGCCTCGATGTTGGCCGCCCTGGAACACACAAGCATGGCTGTCACTTTGTGGATTACATATATATGCAGACATACACACATAATAAAGGTGTAATCACCAAACTTAGATTTCAAAGTTTTTAAAATCATTGTAAGCTCTACTGAGTAGTGAGTGAGTGATCGCTTCTACCACAGCACCCTGGGCATAATGCAATCAGTCAACAATGTTCAAGCCACTGAGGCTGACCGCCCAACTAATTTTGATTGACTATTTCAAGAAGCAAAACGGACCAGTTCTACCCAGTTCAGCCCATGGTGGAACGCTCCTGAACTGCAGAGAAGCTGACAGAAAATGAATTCCATGAAAGACAAAAACGTCCAGATCAGTTAACAATGTTTAGGAAAACAACTCACTTGAGCCCCAACACTTGGTCCTCCATGAGGGAAATCAAAGGGGAGATAACTACAGTTGTTTTACCAGTAAACACAGAGGGGTACTGGTAGCATAGACTTTTACCATGACCTGAAGAAAACAAAGTAGAGTAAACTAATGAAAATATATATAAGACTGATGGATGTTTCAAATAGTGATTGCTTATATTACATGACGTGGCTCAAAAGACGGAATACCTGTGCTGTTACTTACCTGTGGCCATGATGACACAGTTGTCCTTCTTCTCGTTGACCACTGAGTTTATAATTTTCCACTGCATCCTGAAAAGAGAAAGTTTGTTTGTTTGTTTGTTTGGTTGGTTGGTTAATGCCGTACTCCGCAATATTCCAGCTATATGACGGCGGTCTGTAAATAATCGAGTCAGGACCAGACAATCAAGTGATTGACATCATGAGCATCGATCCATGCAAATGGGATCGATGACATGTATCAACTAAGTCAGCGAGCCTGACCACCCGATCCCGTTAGTCGCCTCTTACGACAAGCATAGTCGCCTTTTACGGCAAGCATGGTTTGCTGAAAATCTATTCTACCCCGGATCTTCAAAATAGAGAGGAGAAAGTCATTCTGCTTTGCATGTGTAGATAATCTCGCCAACACATGTTGAAGTGACTAGAGGCAATAATTTGTTTACTGGAGTTTTGCTTAACACAGCTTTGAACAGTATTTCATTTACTGTAAATCTTGAAATTAACGTGTCGCCAACCTAATGCGACTGCTGACCCCTAGCCAAAAATGGTGAAATTGGGTTTGATGTCGCATCCAAGATTATTGCTCTTATATAGCGACGTGCATGCACATGTGTGTGTGTGGCTGCTTGTATTAGTCCGGACTGATGCCGATTTATAGTGCTAGCACACTGAGATACCCACCATGTCCCACTAAGATAATACTTGACCTAAGATAATACTTGACCTAAGATAATACTTGACCTAAGATAACACTTGACCTAAGATAATACTTGACCTAAGATAATACTTGACCTTAGATAGTATTTGACCTAAGATAATACTTGACCTAAGATAATACTTGACCTAAGATAATACTTGACTTTTTGCTATGAAACTCATATTGCGATTGAGAGCCGCATATCCTTTTGAGTCTTAGGATTTGGCTGTTAGGTCCGTTGAACTTGATGTGACGCGGCTGACAGGAAGTAAATAGTTGATATGAATGTGTATAGGTTTGCAATGTAGGTCAAATTCCAATTTGAAGGTGTTTTGGTCATGGATGACCCACATGACTAAGAATGCCGCCTCGTCCCTTGAAAATTCAGCAGTGAATTTTATGCTGGGATGTGAGACATTGATGTCTGTGATGAAAGATTCCAGTTTAGTTAAACTCATGGTCCAGATTAGGAAGATGTCATCAATGAATCCGATGTATAGGTCGGGTTTCTTAGTGGTTCATTTGAGAAGTTTTTCTTCTAATTCTTCCAGGAATATATTTGCATAAAAGGGGGGTACTTTTGTCCCCATGGCTGTGCGAACGTTACGCTATTAACCAAGTTCTTTTTATGTACATGGTGTTTGTGTTTGTTTGTTGTTTAACGCCACACTCAGCAATATTCCAGATATATGACGGCGGTCTGTAAATAATCGAGTCTGGACCAGACAATTCAGTGACCGACATCATGAGGATCGATCAACGATAATGGGATCGATGACATGCATCAACCAAGTCAGTGAGCCTGACCACCCGATCCCCATAGTCGACTCTTGTGACAAGCATAGTCGCCTTTCATGGCAAGCATGAGATGCTGAAAACCTATTCTACCCCGGTTCTTCACAGGTCGTGTACATGGTGTAAGACAAGTCATAATAAAGAAAGTAGGATGGTCGGGTTTATTGACCAATCAGGTTTGAAGCGTCTTATACCCTGGACTACGGCTCTGAGGCCTTTCGAATTAGGTATGTGTGCTATAGGGATGTGACTTCCACTGTGACAAGAATTATGTCGCAATCTAAGATTGGAACTTTCGAATTCTGAATGAAGTGAGTGGTGTCTGTGATGTAGCTGGGATAAATTCTGACAAACTCTTTTATATGTTCATCTACGAAGCTGCCAATTTGTTCAGTGGAGGTACCATTGCCACTCATGTTGGGGCGGCCTGGTGTTTTACCTGGGGTGAAGCATTTGTGGACTTGGGGCAGAAGGGAAATCTACTGGGTTGTGGTCCTCAGGTACAAGTCTGTAATTACTTGAGTCTGATATCTTCCTTAGTGGAGATTTTAGAGAGGAGTTGTGTAACTTCGTTAGTGAAGTCCATGGTAGGCTCATGGTTTGTGTTGTGATTGAAATTTTCCTCAGTTGGCGTTTGGCCTCAATGATATAGTCTGTTAAGGATGACAACTGCAGATCCTTTATCAGCCATTTTAATAATGACTTCACGGTTCATCCTTTAGATGCGTAAAAGGTTGTTGCGTGTAAATGGGATGTTCATTTCGAGCAGCTGGCATTTCACTGATTTGATGAATGTATCACTAATTTACTGTGCCAATTTGTGAAAACACATCTTCCCACTTCTAGCTTTCAGTGGGCTCATCGAGATTACCCTTGGGTGTTAGCCTAAACCCGTTTCTCATTATAATGCTGCATGTTATCAAACTGTTCTACTCACGGTCTGAATTTTGAGTAGCCAAAATACTGCTTCAAGACATCCAGGAATTTTTTGTCCTCCGGCTGGTTGGCAGCATCTGGATGAAGAAAGCATTCATTACTCCGGACAGAACCTCCTGCAGGACCACCAACGTGTTTGTTTGATTGTTATTAACATAGTTGTTTTTATGTACATGGTGTTTTTGTTTGTTTGTTTGTTGTTTAACATCCCACTCAGCAATATTCCAGCTATAAGATAGCGGTGTGTAAATTATCAGGTTGGACCAGACAATCCAGTGATTGACATCAAAAGCATTGATCTACGCATTTGGGATACGACGACATGCATCAACCAAGTCAGTGAGCCTGACCACCCGATCCCGTCAGTTGCCTCTTACAACAAGAATAGTCGCCTTTCACAGCAAGCATGGGTTGCTGAAGACCTATTCTACCCCGGATCTTCAACCAAGTCAGCAAGTCTGACCATCCGATCCCGTCAGTCACCTCTTATGGCAAGCATGGGTTGCTGAAGACCTATTCTACCCCGGATCTTCAACCAAGTCAGTGAGTCTGACCATCTGATCCCGTCAGTCACCTCTTATGATAAGCATGGGTTGCTGAAGACCAATTATAACCCGGAATCTTCACAGGACACCAGAACACCATGGCTTACTGTCTTCCTCGGAGGAACACAAACATACCATCATCTTCCTCCTTGTCACCAACTTGTTCTTCCTCTATAATACTTCTCTCTGCTTCCTCCAGTAGCTGAAATAAACATATATAGGATTTTTACAGTTTAAGTGGTGAGTATCACTCTGAATGTTCATCGCCAGTATATTTACTTGTGCTTCTTTTCTTTCATTTCTTGTGTCAATCCTTATTGTGCACAAACTACTAATTGTGTAATACATCATTCCACCAGTAGACTTCTGTCCATGAAGGATCAATGTTGTCCTTATTGTGTGCGTGCATATTATCATGATTATTGTCAACATATCATTTTTAAATGCTCTCAATGCTACTCAAAGGGCACCCCCAAATGAAACTCGCCATAACAGTTTAACGAGTAGGCTTTTCGCATCATTTAAGTTACGTGTGATAAGCATCAATGCTCAGCTTGCAAAATATCGAAACTTTCAGTAGTTTATTTCCCTCAAAAAGGAAACATCGCGAGTTAAGAAAGTCTCATTAGACAACTACCAGAAACAGCCATTGTTGACCTTTTGGCACTTCACATTAAAGGCATGTAGTCCGATATTTTCTTTATCATTTTTCACATTTCGATATTTTTTTGTTATCTGATGAAAAGAAAACACTGAAGTTCCTTAACTTCAACTCCACATGCATTGTAATCCCGTAATACTAATACTATTATAATCCTATGTACATATCTAAATTAATTTTCTTGAATCATTTGCACGGATGAATAAATCTTTGATAAAATTATCTCATTTTTATCAAGTTTGCAAATGACTTCATTTGATAAACTTTCGGATGTTGACATGCTGTTGACAAACTAAGTGACAACTTTGGGCGTGGCATAACTCACGATTTTTTTAGTTGAACAAAGTCAACAAACACTGCAAATAACGAAAAATATTGGATGATACACAAAATCTGAACTGATATATATTCTAGGTAAACAAATCAATAGCAAACTAATGCAGGTTATCTTCAATCAGCAATCTTCCAGCTATATGATGCCTGCCTGTAAATAATCAAGTCTGGACCAGACAATCCAGTGATTGATAGCAATTGGGTACAAGGACACGCTATCAACCAAGTCACCGAGTCTGACCATCCCATTCCTTTGGTCGCCAACTACAACCAGCATAGATACTGGGGACCGATTCTAACCCTGCTAGGGCAGACCTTTACACATCTTCCCGAGGTAAGGGCATTAACTGATTATAAAAGTCCAGTTTCCACCCTTGCCGAACTAGGCTGGAATTTCCAGGCTTGATCGTAGGACCACCAGTGGCTATTATGAGTTATGTCCCTTCTATGTCCCGCCTATTGACCAATCAGATTACATCTCTCATATCACATGCATTTGCTTCAGATAAAATGGCTGCACCCATTCAAGACGATCTGATCGATAATCAGGATCTTATATTATAATAAAAAGGGTCCCCCCCCGCGAAGTGCATCAAATCACTTGAGCACCTTGATTAAAACATGAAAAGATTTGCAAAATATCTGTCAACGCCTAGTTGATGGTACACATGCTGTGCAAATCCTGCAGTCAACTGAAATCTGCACGTTGAAATCCATGTTGTTTACAAACCCGATGTCTAGTTCATTATTACACGATTTTGATTGGACTATGCATGAACTCGTTAGTCCAGCCAAAATGTAACTTCGGAATTCCAGTCTAGTTCGGCAAGGGTGGAAACAGGACTTTTATAGTCAGTTAACACCCTTGCCTCAGGAAGATGGCCTTTATATGGATCATGACTGCAATGAATCAGGGACTGAAACCCCCGCCAGCTGATCCTACCTGCATGTCATCCTCATTGAAGTCATCATCAAACTCATCACTAAACTCCTCATCTTCTCCAGCGACATCGTCCCCCTCGTTGTTGTTGTAGTTCTTGATGAGGTTCCGCATGTCATCTTCGTCAAAGGAAGGCTCTCCATCAACCTGGAAATGAGAAATTCCCACAAGTTGTACTGCCAAGCCCGGCTTATCCATGATGACGAATGGTTTGTTCTTTAATGACACAATGAAATATTCCAGCTTATAACGGTGGTCTGTTAATAATCGAGTCTGAACCAGACATTCCAGTATAGACTGACAGATTTGTTCAATCTTGATCCAATATTGTGATTCAACAAGACCCACTATACTCAAAGTGAGATGTTTTGTTTGTTTGTTGTTTAACGCCGCACTCAGCAATATTCCAGCTATATGACGGCAGTCTGTAAATAATCAAGTCTGGACCAGACAATCCAGTGATTGACATCATGTGCATCGATCCACGCAATTGGGATACGATGACATGCATCAACCAAGTCAGCGAGCCTGACCACCCGATCCCGTTAGTCGCCTCTTATGACAAGCATAGACCCCTTTTACGGCAAGCATGGGTTGCTGAAGACCTATTCTATCCCGGCTCTTTACGGTTATATATAGTCTGTATTCATGGTAATGTTCATATGCAGACCCATTTACAAACCTTTATTTGTGCTTTTGTTTGATTGATTTTCGGAGTGTCAGGAATGTTGGAGAAATTATCATCGTCAAAGTTAATGTCATCTAGATCATCAATATCAGCTGCATTGTCGTAATTCAAATCCTCTGTTTTATCAGAATCAAATCCATCTTCAATCTTCTCAGTTTTGATTTGATTACATTGCAAACTTTCTGTAGAAACACAACTTTTTTGGCATGGTTCAATTCCATCTCCTATTCTCTCTGTTTTATTTTGTTTACATTCAGAACTTTCTGAAGAAACAATACATTTTTTGTATGGTTCATGATAACCTTCTTCTTTCTGTGCACACTCAAACGTATTGTTCGATGGGGTAGACGTATGTGGTCCCCACACCACATTCCTGACGCGTTTCACTTGTTCCAGAGCCTTCTCCACCAGCAGGCTGGCTTGGTCATCAGCAGTACTGATGTCATCCACTATCACAGCTGCAAGAAGACTTGTAACCTCATCTTTCAGAGATCTTAACCGTTCTTGTAGTGTCTTGGACATGTTGATCTGAGGTTAGTTTCTCATCTTGGCCTCATGGGTGTTCAACCTTTCTGAGATATCCACACCTGAAATCATAAATACATTACCGTATTTGTTGTAATAAGCGCCCAGGGCGCTCTCAAAATTAGAAACAGGGGGCGCTTATTAGAATATTATTTTGATGGAAAAAACAGAGTTGAAAGATAAATTTCGAAATATATAAATACGACAGATATATTTTTCCAGAATTTTATTGACAATAATTAAGGGTGCATATAACACACGCGTGCGTATTATACACGAATATATAAGTCTTGTGTACATTGATCAATCGGAAGGGGTGCTAATTGGGATTGTTCACTTATATATATCATAATATATATTATCAAATATCACCGTGGGCGCTTATTAGAGAGGGGCGCTTATTACGTTGAATACGGTAATCAGTATTTGCATTGTACTGGTTCAGCTGATGTCCTGGGAACTGAACGTGACAAGAAACTCGGCTTCCGTCTGTAAGGACAGCGTAAATAAACTTTGAGGCAATATGTAAACTCATTTCTGAACACTGATTGGTTCCCTGTGATCTATGATGATTTTGATATTACAAAGGGTGCATGTTAATTAATTTCTTCCACCTAAACAACAGAAAAAAAGAACGGAAGAAGCTCATCAAATGTGGTTATTTGGAAATACCCCTGATGGTGATCATGGTTATAGTTTAATAACAAAAAGTATCCCTGTAGAGAAAGCATTTTCGGATTTCGGGATTGCATGGATAATATGATTACTACTCCATTGCTGTCATCCATGTTTCCTGGAATAACTGTGTATTTGTCGTCATTCACTTGATGCTCAGTTAATGATGTATTATCACAGGTATTGTTAGTGGTAGCACCACTCAGATTACCTGACAAAGGTTCCCGTTTGACATTTCTTGTGTGTCTGAGGTAATTATTCAATCTATATCCAGGTCTGAAGTTTGGTGAAATGTATGTTATGTAATATGCACATGACAGTGCAGCAAGGGAGGAATGATCAGCTGAGTTACACAAAAAACATACATCACAGGATTAACCGAAAAATATAGGATTGATTAATCACTGTTATTGTGCAGCGGATTTGTCAAAAGTAAGTGTTTACTTGTGTAGGATTACTAACATGACTAAAGCAGACGGAATACACCAGTGAAGTGCCAATGTAGAAACAGCATACATCGTTCAACGGATAAACTGAAAAATATGTTGATTCATTGCTCATTGTTATCTACTTCAATGGATTTTTTAAACATGTTAAAGGCCCATTGACACCATAAATATAGTTTGCTGACAAAAAAGAGTGAGTGAGGTTTTACACAGCTTTTAGCAATAGTCCAGCAATATTATGGCCGGGAACACCAGAAATTGGCTTTACACAATGTACACATGTGGGGAATCAAACTCTGGTCTTCGGCGTGACAGGCGAACACCTTAACCACTAGGCTACCCCCAATGTAATCAGTTGAGAAACGAACTCAAGGTATAATATCCAGAAACACTATATATTTGAAAATATTAGATTGTTACAAAGACACGTGACATGGAACAATTTTCCTTGTACAGCTGCAGATGTATGGGACATTGTTCCTTAATGTGATATTTATGGACTCATTCCTCGAACATGGTAACTGCTTGATATTGTACATAAAACTTTGGTCAGTTGTAATTACTAATCACAATTTCTGGGATATCATCTGGGTATCCACAGGGGAAAACTCAGCACAAAGGCAACAACCAGTCCCAGTGAATTGTCAGAAATCTGTACCCCCTTAGTCATATTGTCTGAAATATTCGCCAAATATCCATACCATATCAGGGCAAGCTACTGATTAATTCTGACCTGGCATGTAAGTTAAAGATAGTCATTGATTCATACTATAAGAGGTAACACTTCCGACTAATATCCCCCCCCCCCCCCCCCCCCCCCCCCAAAAAAAAAAAAAAATCACTAAAAGAATTGAGCGGCAATGCATACACATACAACATTAGGAAGGGGGCAGCCGAGAGCTGCGATGGGGTCCAACCTGTCTTGTAGGACCCCATCGTGACTGTCGGCTAGGTGGGGGGATACGGGTGGAAGTCTTTCCGAGTGACCATCTATCAGCTGTAGTCAGAAATTATGATGAGGTCCTTCGTGAAAAATGACACATACTCAAGTATATCTGACGTTTGTCAGCTCAGCTACATTAAGTCTCATACTTTACTCAACCCATGTTATTTTGAGAAGGTACGTTTTCTGTGACCGCCATTGTAGCTATCCGATACCCATTTTTACTCAACTCAACTCTAGATATAGTTCGCACCGTACAGAAAGTGATAAATCATTAGCCAGGCTAAACGGTGATCTCAAAACGTTTTGATATACATTTCGGTCGATGTTGTCCTTGGTTGGCGTGCATATATTTCATGTTAATAACCTTATTGTCTTCTTATGGCAATGATGGCTTAACGGCATGGTAACAGGGTTCTAAATGAAGATATTTTGTCACTCGTATTTTAATGTCTCTTCCGAAAAATATTTGACAAGTACCTTTTCTCATTTAAGCTCTTTCCCGCGGACACAACCGGAAATACCTCAGGTTCTAGACTTATCCGCTGAAGAACACACCAAAGGTAGATAACTCTAAAACAACCGTAAATTGTGCTGCTACATTTGTGAAATATTCGATCGAGTCTTGCCCGTATATATCTGTAGTACCTGTGTCGACAACGACCTCAACTGCGTTAATCATCCAGAGAGCCGTTGCAACTATATTCCTAGCCGAGAGCCGTGATGAGGTTCTACAGTCAAGACATATACCGGGGTATATGTCGGGTGCAGGCTAAAGCGGCACCTCAGCAAAACGGCACCGCATTTGGCGAAACCGCATTTGGCGAAAACGGCTACTATATGTCGGCTGCTATATTACTAAACACGGCAGGGCAGGGAAGCAGGTCAAAATGATCTCATGTCGGAACGGCCTCGACAGGTGAAGTCAAAACAGCCACACACAAAATAAAGAAGACAAACTCAAGCTAGCATTGTCTCACATTAATTGTATTTTATACATTGCATAACAGTTCTTAACACGTACCATAGGCACACAGTTCGTGTTTGTTCTTGTTGTTTAACGCCGCACTCAGCAATATTCCAGCAATATGACGGCGGTCTGTAAATAATCGAGCCTGGACCAGACAATCCAGTGATTGGGATACGGTGACGTGCATCAACTAAGTCGGCAAACCTTACCACTCGATCCAGTTAGTCGCCTCTTACGACAAGCATAGTCGCCTTTTACGGCAAGCCTGGCTTATTTGTAGTTCTTAATTCGGTACTAACTCAACACAAAACAAGTGATTACAAAGTTCGATATGACATATTAATAAATTAATACATTTTAATAAATACATTATGGTCTCTGTGTAGCGGCCATACAATACGAGTCCCGTAAAGAGGTTAACCCCGTCTGCAAGCTGACAAGGTTAGGATGCTGGATGCTACATCTGCACAATTCTACAATTGAAGATACGGGTTAGAATTGATCTTCAGCAACCCATGCGTGTCGCAAGAGGCGACTAACGGGATCGGGTGGTCGTGCAGGCTCGATGACTGGAATATTGCACAGTGCCCAACGAAGAAACAAACAAACTATACAAGGCACTAAAAGTGAGTGAGTGAGTTGGGTTTAACGCAGCTTTTAACAGTATTTCAGTTATATCGCGGCCTGTCAGCTTAATGTGGGAGGAAAGCCAGAAGTGATGCAGGTCTCAGACGTTTACCACTTCGGTGAAACCCACGAGCACGGGTATGGTGCTGACAAACCTAGAAACATAATCGGGGCGAACAGGGATTCGAACCCACAATCATAGGTTTCTGGCGTGCCCAAGGGACGCAACTCTGCACAGCGAATCGCGGCGCCTTAGACGACTGGGCCACCCGTGCCCCCGCACTAAAAGAAAGTGTGGATACGATCTCGTCTGAAGGAAATGGATGTGGGCTATAATGTTTCGCACTTCGTATAACTCCAGATCGCTGACAAGATCTATGTTCTCTTGTTTCAGCATGGTTAAAAAGTAACTTGTGAGGTTTCAGTGTTGTTTTGTGTGTGTTGTTGTTGACTTCTGTTTCCAAAATAGAACCACAAGGCTCTTTGAGTAATATTTTTTATAACTTTTTTTATACCATGGCCGTTTAGATGTTTGGCCGTTTTTTAACATATAAACTTTTCGTTTGGTAAAACTTGAATAAACTTAAGGATCTTCATTTGGTCATTACATTCACGCACAGTTTCAGCTTCTAAGTCTTGTGGGGCGGTCGGGTAGCCTAGTGATTTAAGCGTTCGCTCGTCACACCGAACACCCGGGTTCGAATCCGACATTGGTGCAATGTGTGAAGCCCATTTCTGGTGTCCCCCACCATGATATTGTTGGAATATTGCTTAAAACGGGGTAAAATCAAACTCACTCACTCACTCTTAGTCTTGTAGTTTCCGAGATGTCACAGATGCGGATGGACAACGAGCCGCGACATAAACCCACTTGACTTGAATGGCCATCAGCGAGAACTGCACTTTAGGCATCATGAAAACATTTTTATTAATCATGACTTTTCAAAACAAATATAGGTAGCTGGCATGTTTTTAGTTTTTATTTCGATTTCCCAACCACTCCTTCCAACATTCTATAAATTATACCACAATCATCTCCTAGGCTTTACAATCCTCGGAATGTAAATCAATTTGGAAATAAATTCAGCATGTAAAAACAAATATTCTCTCTCTCTCTCACTCTCTCTCTCTCTCTCTCTCTCTCCACTTTATTATTATAAATACCTCGGGTGTTTGCAAGGGTACAGAGACACGGTCACGGAGCAGCTATCAGTGCTAGGGCATTCGACATTGCGATTACCCTTATGTACTTTTATAGGTAAAATGATGATAAACTTAGAAAGTATTCGTGTGTTGTCATGCATTGGACTTAGAATAAATGTGAACTTTCTGTTTTCGTTCGAATTTGTCTCCCGGAAACTTGTCGATAGGACTCCTTGTGATTGAAATACTTCAAACCACAGGTAGGACGATCGGTAGTTACTCGATATTTTAATAACAACAGTCTGTGAAAAATTACATCCTTTTTTAACAGGCAAAAAAGCAATGTTCCGGCATTTCCGACAGTACTTAATCCATCACACGAGAGGGCATTCGCGCAAGATACATTCCAGTTCAGTCACAATACATATTCCAGAAGGTAAACAACGTAATAAGGTTAACAGAATTGGCCTTCTCTATTTACAGCAGCAGTATGGTAATATCTATGATATACACCCAAGTATGACATTTTCAATTACCAAAGAGACTTGCGGGAATTGCCAATAGTAACAGCATATAGTTAAGATTTAACATAGTACAAGATAGCAATGTTTTTAACCCGAGTGAATAAACAGTTATTGTGAACTTAGTGCCGCCATCTCGAAAGAATTATATAATTTAGTTTGCCCAAAGCATTGATGATAAAAGTGTTCTTGGGTGAAGTTTTGTAAGAATAATAGCTTACCAGTTGCTAGTACGACAGTACATAAGCACGCGTTTTGGTATAACACAATGCGTAATACAGCTGTATGTTTATTAAACGGGTGATCTCTTCACGGGCAAGTAATACATTGTTTTTAATGAAACAATATGTATATTTAGGTACATGTACAGTAAACCGTGTACATTTTAAAATATTCGTTTTCCGATATAAAAGGCGGGTGTGTATTGTGAGGTTCGGACTAAGAAAAATATAAATTCAGTGAGAATATGAAGTATTTCTTTAAAAAAAATATATGGCGCCGTTTGGGTTTTTTAAATATAGGAGACTTTTGTTGCAGTTGCGTTTCCTGATGGTGACTTTAACGTCATCGCATTTACATGTTGTTGTTGGGTTTTTTGTTGGCTAAAACTGGAACGGTACTGTTTACGGTTTGACAGAATTTCAACGCATTTGCCGTAGATTTTGTTTGTTTGAAAATGCAGATTACAATTCCAAGAAAGGAGCATACTACCTCTGAATTATTATGTGATTTGTTTGTTTGTTGCTTACATATTGTAAGCACAGATCCTCATCAGATGGCTCCTGCAAACTAAGGATCTATTCTGTCCCCAAACAATGGAAGGTTGTCTGGAAGATCAACGTCTGTCACCCTTCAAAGTAAATAAACTAACATTTGTCATTTAAAAGGTAGACCCGTGAAGATCCGGGGTAGAATAGGTGTTCGGCAACCAATGCTTGTCGTAAGAGGCGACTAACGGGATCGGGTGGTCAGACTCGCTGACTTAGTTGATACATGTCATCGTATCCCAATTGCGTGGATCGATGCTCATGATGTCAATCACTGGAATGTCTGGTTCAGACTCGATTATTTACAGACCGCCGTCATATAGCTGGAATATTGCTGAGTGCGGCGTTAAACAACAAACAAACATTTAAAAGGTATGTGGATGTTGTCTACAGATGATTGACAGACAAAAACTTTGGCACCTTATCCTCAGGTCAGCTGAAGTAGTTTCATAGTATTGACATGTAATCACACTGACCTTGACTTTCAACAAGTTCAAGGTCAGTAAACCTTTGTTTTGAGAAACAAATAAAGCATTATTGAAGGTAATGTTGCCCAATACTATTCAGGAGAATAAACACTGATAAATTTGTTGCTGTTTCAAGGTTTGATCTTCTTGATTTCTGGTCATATTTTAAATTGAGTGACCTTCACCTTGATCTTTGAAGACATCATTTGCCAAAATGGATAAAATACATTGACATTCATCATGTTCATGTCAAAAGATGTGTTAAGACTCAAAAGATTTGGGCACAGTGTTACATGATACTGTGGAATACTGTTACCTTTAGAGTACAAATATGGTTCTCCATTCATGACAAAGAGTTTAGTCCAGTAAGCAATGATAACACTATTAACTTGAATCTGCCAAAACGAAGAATTTTATTTAATATTTGAGCAATCAAACATTCAAAGGAGTGTGGTATGGAACATAAAATATTCTTCAGGGAATGGTGAAGGCCTGTCAACAGAACAGGGATAACCTTGCTATAAAAGTCATAAATAACACGACCTGTGAAGATTCTGGGGTAGAATAGGTCTTCAGCAACCCATGCTTGTCGTAAAAGGCGACTAACGGGATCGGGTGGTCAGGCTCGCTGACTTGGTTGATGCATGTCATCGATCCCAATTGCGTGGATCGATGCTCATGATATCAATCACTGGATTGTCTGGTCCAGACTCGATTATTTACAGACCGCCGTCATATAGCTGGAATATTGCTGAGTGCGGCGTTAAACAACAAACAAACACTTAAAACTCTTGCTATAAAAGTCATAAATAACATGTAAATAATACTGTTGATGAAGCATGACTAACTCAATATTCAACAAATAAAATCATTTGAACAAAATAACTCAAGAATTTTGTAAAACAGATGACCAAATAAAACTGGGATCCAAATCACAACTGAATTCCATACAGGTTTCACGGTGGAGTTTGTGTCATCCCTTCACAATGTCTCAAGTCTCACTAAATCAGCTTCTTCTCTGATACCATCCCTCTCTGTCTGGAGCTGAGGACATCTTCATTGAAGGTCGTGTCAGGTGAACCCTGAGCGAACTTTGACTGTCCAATCAAAATTAAGGATGTGTGGGTTCTTGAGCCAATCAGCTGTCAGCTTTCTGAAATGATTCGGCTTCATGTTTTTACCACCTCGATTTCAGAATTTCAATTTGTACGAAGGAAAGCCAACACAGAACACGAACATTCCGACAGTGGTACTTCACTTTGTGTGTAGATGCCCAACACTCAGAAATTACTGGATTTATGAAATATCTACAAGAATATAATAGTGCTTTCTACTTTTTACTTTTGGAATTTGTTATTTTTGTTAGTTTTTGAGATACAGAAATCAGATATGCTGGTTTGAATGCTTTGCTCACTTGTCAAGAATTGAGAAGCCTCAGCTCTGATTGGCGGATTACCAAGTTCACCAGATTCGACCTACTGTGGAGGTGACCACAGCCCTTCACGCAGAGAGGCAGAGAGGCATTGCATCGGAGTAAAGGATCTGATTTTAACTACTGACATTTCATTGTCTCCATTCCTTCTCAATATATTTACAGTGAACTGATAAACTCACTTAAATCTAAATCCTTTGTATTCACAACAGCTGTTGTTGATGCCTGGTTGCTGCCATATTGAACCAACTTCGCAACCATGCTCCATTTGTGAGTGTCAAGGTCATATTTATACATGTCCTTGCTTTCCACCGATCGAGACTTGACCAGACCATGACGCCTCGATGACATCCGACGAAAGCCCCCACAGACATAGATGCAGTCATCGAGGAGAGATGCAGTCATTACTTTCCGATCATCGGGAAAATCATCTCCAATTTGAAATTTTAGTGTTTCTGGATCAAATATCTCAATGGCAGTTGTGTTCTGAACTTTCGTACCTCCGCCTAAAATGTAGATCTTGTCTTTATAACTTATTGCCGTGCTTGCGAGTCGCGGGTTAAGTATTTGTGTGTCCAGAATGAACCACGTGTCATTGGGAATGGAGTACTGCAACACTGTTGTGAAGAGTTCCCCGTTGCTGTCCTCACCACCGAATACATACACACTATCCTTGTACACAGTCGCTGTGTGATGTGATAGGCCCGTTGGCATTGGTGCCATCTTTTGCCACAGATCAAAAACAGGATCATACGCCTCCACAAGTTCCATTGGAACTCCTTGCGGATACGACACAGCACCACCAAACACAAATACTCTCTCCTCCACAGCACAAGCGGCAAAAGCAGATCTGGCAGTGTTCATTGGATGACATAGCTTCCATGTTCTGTCTTTCTGCTGGTACTGATACACTGAGTCTTGCGCCATACCTTGTTCTTCAAGATGGTAATCATCATAGAATATGCCACCGATGAAATAAATCTGATTTTGATTGTTGGTAACAAGCTGGTAAAAGTCGACCTTGAACTTGAAGTCAAATGTTGGGTGATGTTTCACACCTAAATAATTCTTCCCAGTCGTTGGATCAAAACAAGAAAAAGCCCTTTGGGCTTCCGATTTACCTCCTCCTGAAAATATCAACATCTGTTTCCGAAACATGCCATGACGACGACAAACACTGAGCTCAAAATCATCGGCTATTTTCTGCTTTTCTTCCTCTGAATCTTGGCTGTTCATTCCAATTCGGCACAACTTTGTCATGGAAACAACTGCACGACAAAATGGATTCCCCTCAACTAATGGGTGTGCGTTAATATGTTCACAAATATATTCCTCATCAACAAGCAGAAGTCGAAGTCTACCAAACAAATCTCCAAAAAACCTCTTCCTTTCATCGATATCATATTCTGTCCATTTCACAAGGAACTGGAAGATTGTTTCCTCTTTATCAACATTTATTTCATTTGACGAGATCAGTTCCTTGATGGCAGCCTTCTCCAGTTGCATCATGCCCCCTTCCTCCACCATTTCACTGAAGTGATCAAGGATGTAGGACTTTGCCGCCTCCTTCAGCGTGTCAAGACACTGATAATCTCCCAGGTTGTACACGTCCAGGCAGTTGTCCACACAAATAGCTCTCATCATGTGATCGACACAGTACGATGCTAAGGTGTCAAGCTGAAACATACTGGACGCTGTCAAAATGGACTGCACGTTGTCATGAGATATTTCAATTGGTAGGCAGTACATGAACTTCACTGCCATTTCCAGAGCGGAGTAGGTGATGCTACTGATGTACACCATTTCCTGGTCCCTTTCGCAGTAATCTCGGAACATGGCTCTGAAAAAAGCAATTTGTAAAATTAAAAGAGAGACCTTCTGATCCGAGGTCACATGCTTTATCCACATGTTAGTTTGTTGTTTAACGCTGCCATTTGCTCAGCAATATTTCATCTATTTGACGACAGTCTGTAAATTATCAAATCTGGACCGACAATCTAGTGATTGATTATAATCATTGATCTACACAACTAGGATACGATGACATGCATCAATCAAGTCAGCAAACCTGACCATCATATCCCATTAGTCGCCTCTTACAACTCATCTCCAGACCAATTACAACATTTCCAACCAAACACAATGTTTCTGATTACAACTATTCTCTTATTTTATTCCATGAGTATGCAGACAATAAATGAGGTGGAGTGCTTACAAATCAAGCATATAGATCAAGATGAATCTGAGATTCAAACCATCGATCAGTAGATCCTGACACATCTAGGGGACACAACTCCCCATAGCAAATGTTGGTGCCATACAAATGTAAGCAACCTGTGTCGCTATAAGTAATCAAAGTTACTGTACTGTAAATCCTGAAATTAATGCATCTCCAAGAGAATGTGACCGCTGGCCCCTAGCCAAAAATGCGACTCGATATGAATGCGACACCCCCCTCCTCTCAAGCATCAGTGGATTTATATCTAAAGGAAATGTCCCCTGTCAGGTTTACAGGAGAATCCTCACCTTTATCCAACCTTACATTAATCCAATCACACACCAAAAAACACCGCATATTAGCGCTGAGTAGAGTACTTCCGCTAAAACAATACAGGCGCGCTGGCTCGTGTTGGCCTTTGACACAGTCGCAAAGCGTAGCTCTAAGTTGATATTTCTGCTACCCAAACTTTATTATTGTTGATATAAATAAGATGTTAAATAATGCGAGCAAAGACCACTCGCATTTTTCGCATTTAATTCACGCTCGCGTAAATTTTAAGATTTACAGTATATGAAAGACAAACTTTAAGTTTAACTCGAGCTAATGAAAACATAGTACACTGAACAAAGATATTCCCTGACTTCTTTTGTTCAGCAAAAATCAAGACAAAGTCTATGATGCCTGGCTACAAAGTGATTTCCTGTGAAGGGTCATGTACCTGAAGTATGGACTGCTGGCAGCAAGGACACTCCTGTGGCAGTGGAGGTCTTTGTCCTCAGCAACAAGAATGACATTCGTCAGTTCTTTACATGTGAAAAGTTCTTGAATTCCCTCCAAGAGATGCTGCTGTTGGCTGTTCATGGTTGATTTCCTGGAACAGTGGTATCAGTCTCTGATAGACATTCTCTGTTCACATACCAGAGGATGGATTACAACTTCTGTATTTACAAAATTCATATTTTGAATATTCTTCCTTCACAAGTGTTTTTTTTTTTTAATTTAGCCATATAATTTGTAGTCATTTCAAAATATGATCACAAATTCTTTTGCTTGCATGATTTTATTCAATCTCAATGTGCTGTAAACAATATTATCCTTTATTATTTTACCGCCTGCATTTTGATAAAATTACACAGAAAATCTGTAAAATAAAAAGGAAAAGTAGAAATATATCACTTTCATGAATGGTGCTCTGACTAATGCTGTCAGTGAGCAGTGAGCAGAAAGGCCTAACGACATTTAGAAATATTATCATTTTTCTGTGCTACCTTCACAATCTGCTCAAGAACAAAACCTTCATAAGTGATGATTTCTTCCTTAATTTGGGAAAATACATTACATGAGTTCTCAGTTTTATATTAAATTGTTTAACGCAAATTAAGAAACTTTGACTTTTTTATTTACAAGAAAAAATAAAATATTGGGGGGAAATTACCATACTTCGCAAATCTCAATAAATTACAGTATCAGTTAAAGAAAAAAATATTAGAATATAAAAAATTAATTGTAGATCTACGTACATCTTTCTTTTTATATTAGGGCTTAAAACTTAATTTCAAACTTATATTATTATACCTTACTTTAAGAATGTCAGAATAAAAGTAATGACAAACACACTTTTTGTGACAGTTTAAACTCTCAAAGGTCTTTTTTTATTTGAGATAACACTTTTGGAGTAATGAAATTACGAGAATCTATAAGCCATAGCGCATAGCCATTTATGGTAAACCTCCTCGCACTTGGATTGAAAGATGAAATATGATACTCTTATGCGTAATTAGTGAAAAGCATATGATTTAACATAAATCAGCTAAATTAAAAATAACTGACATGATAGTTTCAGTTGACGAAATGAATAACTATCGGGTACCTGCTCGCATAGTTTGACCGGAAAATGTCAGCGATGCAATGAAACGCGTAAGCTGCTGCAGATGCATGTAGGCATCGCTTGTTACGATGTGTAGAGTTCTCAATTTTGACGCTGTAAAGAGTCAAACATGTCGCAAACAACATGTAGATTATTTCCTTACACATGTGCTTAAATAACTTTTACTTAATACGAATTAACTGCTTAGTAACTGACACACCAAGTAGTTATTTCATATTGAAACAGAATTTAATAAAAGGCGAAAGAATGATATCATGTATGTTCTTAGGGGCTTTGCCGGAAGTTGAAACTCAACATGGTTGCCAAAGACGTTGTCGAAAAGTCTTGACAGAGAACGTTCGCGTTTATGAAGAGTCAAGAATCGAAATGAACTTTAGAGATGCTTACAATCCAACAAGAGGGGTGAAAGAAGACTTCAGCAAACTTCTTGAGACGTTTTCTACACGAAAGACTGTTCGATATGAGGATTTTGCTGAACTTTGGAGATCAATGAAGTTCTCGTACCTGTATGCTGGGCGTAAAAATGACAGAGAATGTCGAGAAGTATGCACTAAGCATTTTATGAAGAGTAATTTTAAGTGTTAATTGTAAGGTGACATCTCCTGGATCTTGTTTTTCTTTCCAAACCAATTCCTACCGATAGAGAGTTCGTACCTCTAAATTCGGGAGAAGTGCACTTTACCGGGCGCACTTTTTCAGATCCAATTAGCGCTGTGGGGGAACGAACACACTTCGCCGGCTCACTGGCTTGGCTAATTAATGCGTTAATTAGCCGACGATCTACCACTGAACCACGAGCGCTATCACATGTAATCAGTGCTTGTTTAACAGGTCATTAGCACCCCATTAACAAGCATTGCGTAATTCAATAAACAATGAATTGCGCATCTGTGTGACGTCATTGTCCGCTCTCCCATTAATCTTCTTTTGAAACCACACCCGCCATTGTTTATGTCAACACGACCGACCAATCGGATTAACCGGATTAACGCTTGAAAAGGAAAGAAATTATGGCTAACCCTTGCCCAAAGCAAGCTAACCCTAAGGACCGAAAAGGGGTGTTGGATCGTAATGACGTGTAAGTTTCCCTAAGACCAAAAAGGGGTGTTGAATCGTAAAGACGTGTAAGTTTCCCTAAGACCGAAAAGGGGTGTTGGATCGTAAAGACGTGTAAGTTTCCCTAAGACCAAAAAGGGGTGTTGGATCATAAAGACGAGTATGTTTCCCTAAGACCAAAAAGGGGTGTTGGATCGTAAAGACGAGTACGTTTCCCTAAGACTGAAAAGGGGTGTTGGATCGTGAAGCGAGAGTCACTAGAGCATGAGCCATGGTGACAGTATAGCGAGACAGTGGTAGCACTATAGCACAGTAACTGAGTGGATGTTTGAGCTCGGGCTGTGCCCGGTAAACTGCATTGTTGCCGAAAATTCGTGACCCTATTTCTTATTTCTCAATATTCTTCTAGACATTATCGTTCTGACGCGTGACCTGTAATGGGATGTCCTCAGATCTTTGTTAGCGGTAGCGAAAACTAAGATCTGATTTTAATGAGATTGGGACAAATTGTTACACTGGTTCAATTTATCATCATCTCTTAACATGTAATCTTTGATCTGCTACACAATTTTTGTTTTTATTTTTCACAATTTATTATCATCTGTTAATCTTTGATCTGCTACACAATTTTTGTTTTTATTTTTCACAATTTATTATCATCTGTTAATCTTTGATCTGCTACACAATTTTTGTTTTTATTTTTCACAATTTATTATCATCTGTTAATCTTTGATCTGCTACACAATTTTTGTTTTTATTTTTCACAATTTATTATCATCTGTTAATCTTTGATCTGCTACACAATTTTTGTTTTTATTTTTCACTAAACTTTTGGGTCTGGGGACAATTTAGCCATAACCACCAGTGACAACAGTTCACTTTTTGCAGCACTGGCCCCAAAATGGTCAACATGATAACCTCTATCATGTCTCTAAACTGGCGACTATATAGGTGCATATCAATTTGCTCAAGCTAACAGTTTTGTCTTGTCAAAGCAGACCTTATATTTGGAGCATGTTATCATGATTGTACTTATAAATGATTCATCAATAAAATATATTTTTAACATGTTTAACAAAACTGAATTTCATTTATCAGTAACAACAATCTCCTCATTCACTGTTTTACTTTTCTAGTTCTATGAGGAGATTAACCATATTGCCCTTAGTTTTCACCTGCTGCCGTACGACTTCCAAGTGAGGGCCGGGGGCCTGTACATTCTGTATGGCCTCTACTTCACGCAGCCCTGTGTTCCCAAAATACCGGTCAGTAGTCTTATACAGTTGTCACCATTATGTTCTCAAACTGATTGAATATAAGGTCCAGTTCTATTTACTTCCAGAGACTACTTTCATTTTTTAAGGTACATCTATAACCCTGATAACCAATAACCATGGTAACTGTATCAGTAAAATAGTTTTCTTCATCATGTTACCATGGTTACATCATCAGTGTTCCTGTTTACAGGTAATTATCATTTTTTTACCGGTAAAATTAGGCTTGGACCGATAATTCATGTGACTGCCAGTCCCTGTAGACCGGCAAATAAAGTACCTTATAAATCTTTGTTGTTGAACAAAACATAGGCAATATTCATATAAGTATATATTTTTTTTCGAACTAAGTCAGCTTGTCTGTCACCATCAGGGTTTCCCCTTGGCTAATTTTAGTGCAAGGAAATAACATTTCGCTTTTCTTCAAGGTTAAAGATACATTTGTAGCGACTTATATATACATAGACATACATGTATATATAGAAGAAATATTCAAGAAAAAGAGAGAGAATTGTGTCAACTTTGTGTGAATGACGTGTGGATCTAACTAAGTAACTTCAGAGATGATGTCATTGCACTGAACATGATGTTGAAGGAATTAAAACCAGGTAATACCATACATTTTTTTTATTTGTTGAAAGTTGGGACTGGCGAAAATTAGGTGGGACTTGTCATATTTAGAGTTGCCAGTCCACCAGGACAGGCAGTTTCAAATGCTAGCTGGAACACTGATCATGTACATATGTTAGTGATACGTCGGGAAAAATAATACCGTATTCGACATAATAAGCACCCAGGGCGCTCTCAAAATTAGAAATAGGGGGCTCTTATTAAAATATTATTTTGGTGAAAAAAAACAGAGTTGAAAGATAAATTTAGTGGTTTATGCTGACAGCCAGAAATATTTATGTACGGCAGATATATTTTTCCAGAATGTAATTGCCCATAATTAATGGTGCATATAACACAGGAGTGCGTATTATACGAGAATGAATAAGTCTTGTTTTCATTGATCAATTGGAAGGGGTGCTAATTGGGATTGTTCACGTGCCAATATATTAGCAAATATCGCCGTGGGCGCTTATTAGAGCGGGGCACTTATTACGTCGAATACGGTAGGCCTAGATACATGATATATGGATTGTCTATAATACTATGTATGCCACCCAAGGGGATGCTGGGTGAGAATTGGTCCCCAGCAACCCATGCTGGCCATTAGAAGAACTTAATGGATTGGATGGTCATGCTCAGTGACCTTGGTTGATCATGTTGAAGGCATGTCAACATATCCCGACATTGTGGACCATTGCTCATAATATCAACCAGACTTTTTCACAGGCCGTCGTCACATACCTGTAATATTTTTAAGTACTCCATTGAAGAACAAACACGCCTGTTACATGGGTCTGGATATCTTGGATATGGTTGTTGGTTTGTTTGTTTGTTGTTTAACGCCGTACTCAGCAATATTTCAGCTATATGATGGCATTCTGTAAATAATCGAGTCTGAACTTGACAATACAATGGTTGACATCATGAGTATCAACCTATGCAATTGGGATACAATGACCTGCATCAACAATGTCAGTGAGTCTGACCTCCTGATCACGTTGGTTGCCTCATACGACTAGCATGGTTTACTGAAAACCAGTTCTAACCCGGATCTTCACAGGCCTCTAGTTTGAAGTATAAACCTTTAAGCACATGTGAAAACTATTATTGATAGGGATTTGAACGTTAGAGTGAATAAAATCAACCCCGACACCCTGAACTGAGAGTGTTATTCTTACCAGAATAAAGTTATATAACTGTCCATTACTGGTAACATGCATTCTATGATGCATCTTCCCCAGGCAAGAGAGTTAACTGACTATAAAACTCCAGTTTCCATCCTTGTCGAAATAGGCGCGACCCGTTGTTATTATGAGTTATGTCCCTTCTGAGCCTCTCCTATGGACCAGTCCGATTCCATTACATGCATTTGTTTCAAACAAAATGGCGGCACCCAGTCAAGACAATCTGATCGATAATCAAGATCTTTATTGTAATAAAACAGGTCTAACATCGTGAAGTGCATCAAATCACGCCAGCACCTTGATTAAAAATATGAAAAGGTTTGGAAAATATCTGTTGTCAACGAGCTGGCAGTACACATGCTTTGCAAATCCTGCAATCGACCGAAATCTGCACGACAGTTTACGAAACCGGATTTTGATTTTGATTTTGATTGGACTATGCATAGACTCGTTAGTCCAGTCAAAATGTAACTCCATAATACCAGCCTAGTTCGGCAAGGGTGGAAACAGGACTTTACAGTCAGTTGACTCCCTTGCCTCGGGAAGATGTACATATACATGATGATAATATTGACATATTGTTACATAACGGAAATAGTGTTCAGTCCAGTATTAACCCCAACATGACTACTTGGCTGCCTCTAGATTCATGGGTTGCCTCATATGTTTCCAGTTGATGAGAATGAGGAGGAGTCAGTTCACTATCTTGCCTCGGGAAGATGTCTATGATGTGGATTTGTTTAAGTGATTCCCACATCCACCAGCATGCTCTATATTAATTATATACAATATATGTGTCTCCCCTAAAGCCCAGTACACTTCCTCTCTATCGTCCTGTCGCATGTCTACTTGCAGGTATTTCTTTCTTGACCTTAGAGTTGAAGTTATTTGTTAATTTGTTGAATCATTTGTCAGCATAAACATGATTAACAATCCTAATTTAAAGTCAAGTTGTTCTTTTGTTACATGGGCGGTCGGGTAGCCTTGTGGTTAAAACGTTCGCTCATCACGCTGAAGACCCGGGTTCGATTCCTGACATGGGTGCAATGTGTGAAGCCCATTTCTGGTGTCCCCCGCTGTGATATTGCTGGAATATTGCTAAAAGCGGCCTAAAACCAAACTTACTCACTCTTTGGTTACAGATACGAGTGACCCACAAAGCATGGAAACAGATTATGGACTTCCAGCAGAGTGTGCACTCCCAGAAGCATTACGATGTGGAATACGTGTTTCAGAAGCTGTTTATGCAGCATGCCTTTCTATTTGTGGCTACACCAAGAGAGGTATGTACAGGAGCAGCACAGCGTCCTTGTCAGCCAGGCTGTTGTTGCTGGAAGATCTCAGTGTGAGGAATACATCTTTTATTGAACTGCACATTGCTTTACCATGTTGACACTGTTCTGAAAGAGTAAATACAATGATATGTATTTCAGAATGGTCATTAATATATCGCATGTAACTGTTTTCAATGCTGTCTTCATTGCTGGTATCTGTAATATCACGGTTATGGCTGTCATGTTTCATTGAAGTGTTATCACATCACAAAACACTGACGATGTGATACAAGATACTCCATCCCTCATATCCTGTTGTATTGATTCATATTTTACAAGTTATAATTCTGCATAGATTTTCAAAAAGTTAAATTTACGAAGTTTGGGAAAAACCCAGCCTGATACCCAAGCTAGTGTCAGCGTGAATGAGTCTATGACCAGTCATACAAGTCCAACACAAAGTAGTTTTGTTTGTTTGTTGTCACACCTAGCTATATGAAGGCAGTCTGAAAATAATCGACTCAGGACCAGACAATCCAGTGGTTGACATCATAAGCTTTGATCCGCATGATCTAAGCAATTAGGATACAATGACATTCATCAACTAAGTCAGCGAGTCTGACCACCTGATCCCGTTAGTCACCTGTTACGATAAACATGGGTGCTGAAGACCTATTGTGAACTGGATCTTTACAAGATACAGATTTATAGATTGCAACAACCATGCATCAGTGTGGTTGCAGGGAACATCAATACATTCATACAAACAACAGTTAAGCATGTTGAGTATTATGATATGTATCATATCAGGACTGAAGTACAGTTAAAACATATCTAAGGTTATCTAAGGTCTGCAATTAACTGTGCAGAGTAGCATCCCTTGGGCATGCCAGAAACCTATAATCGTAAGTTCGAATTCCGGTTCACTCCAGTTATGTTTCTAGGTTTGTCAGCACCATACCCGTGCTCGTGGGTTTCACCAAACTGGTAAGGGTCTAAGACCTGCATCACTTCGGGCTTTCCTCCCACATTAAACTGACACGCCGCGATATAACTGGAATACTGTTAAAAGCAGCATTAAACACAACTCACTCACTCGCTATTAAGAGCTGGATGGTGAATGGTGTATAGTTGGCATGAAACATTGAAATGATATGATATGCATCACGGTGCACTGTCTTGGGAAAATTGAAAACTTTAACTGTGGCAGATGAATGCGGAAGCTGATCAACACAAGTGCTGATATTGGACTTGGTTTTCAGGTGTACATCAAGTCGAAAGACAAAACCCAGACGGACAAGGTTGTCGACTCTGACAGTCTGACGAAAGACAGCCTGAACATGGAGGACTCCGTGTCGACTGTGTTTACTCCTGATATTCTACAGGTTTGTGAATTCTGACCCATTTAAAATATACAGGACAAATACTTTTCAAAACACTGGTTTTAGAAATCCAGGGGCCAAACTACCCATCTTGTTCCGTGATGAAACATGGTACACTCATGATTCTGTAATGCTGTAAAAACATGTCGCCAATAAAATGTTTTTAAAGAAAAACTTAACATTTTAATCTTCTTTAGATTTCATATGATGCTTTTGGAAAATGTTCATTGTAGTGTGACTTATTTCAGCCAAACATATAATGGAAATTATTATTATTAGGATTTGTTGGTTTCGGTTGTCTTGGTGCTGTACATATCTCAGTAGTGTGGTCCTGATGATAATGATGATCGTATTTGTAACTTTGAGGTTGGCAGAACTGTAAATCAAGTAATATGAAAACAAATGGCTTATATCTGTCTGCGACGTTAGCCACAAGTCCGAAGTAAAATTCTATTTGGTCTGGTAAGCTCAGCTACTAATAGTCTATATGATTACACTAAAATCTACTGCAAATGATGTTAAAGGCCATGTTCGGGCTACTAGATTCAAAAGGGTTTGGAATGTTATATAGCTTGTACTGTTTCCATAGCAACTACGAGCCATCCATATGCAGTACCAGCAGATCAAGTTGGGGATCGCGGGGCCAAACGCCCTCCGCCCAGACCGATCCCTTGACGTTGTCGAAGATGAAATCATGCACAGTATTGATAAGTAAGTGGATTAGTGAGTGATGCAAGATGAGTATCCTGCAGCTCATCAAGGACTAGTGGTGTTTGTAACATAGTCTAGTATCCTGCAGCTCATCGGGGACTAGTGGTGTTTGTAACATAGCCGAGTATCCTGCAGCTCATCGGGGACTAGTGGTGTTTGTAACATAACCGAGTATCCTGCAGCTCATCAGGGACTAGTGGTGTTTGTAACATAGCCGAGTATCCTGCAGCTCATCGGGGACTAGTGGTGTTTGTAACATAACCGAGTATCCTGCAGCTCATCGGGGACTAGTGGTGTTTGTAACATAGCCGAGTATCCTGCAGCTCATCAGGGACTAGTGGTGTTTGTAACATAACCGAGTATCCTGCAGCTCATCAGGGACTAGTGGTGTTTGTAACATAGCCGAGTATCCTGCAGCTCATCAGGGACTAGTGGTGTTTGTAACATAGCCATGTATCCTGCAGCTCATCGGGGACTAGTGGTGTTTGTAACATAGCCGAGTATCCTGCAGCTCATCAGGGACTAGTGGTGTTTGTAACATAGCCATGTATCCTGCAGCTCATCAGGGACTAGTGGTGTTTGTAACATAGCCGAGTATCCTGCAGCTCATCGGGGACTAGTGGTGTTTGTAACATAACCGAGTATCCTGCAGCTCATCAGGGACTAGTGGTGTTTGTAACATAACCGAGTATCCTGCAGCTCATCGGGGACTAGTGGTGTTTGTAACATAACCGAGTATCCTGCAGCTCATCAGGGACTAGTGGTGTTTGTAACATAACTGAGTATCCTGCAGCTCATCAGGGACTAGTGGTGTTTGTAACATAACCGAGTATCCTGCAGCTAATCGGGGACTAGTGGTGTTTGTAACATAGCCGAGTATCCTGCAGCTCATCGGGGACTAGTGGTGTTTGTAACATAGCCGAGTATCCTGCAGCTCATCAGGGTCTAGTGGTGTTTGTAACATAACCGAGTATCCTGCAGCTAATCGGGGACTAGTGGTGTTTGTAACATAGCCGAGTATCCTGCAGCTCATCGGGGACTAGTGGTGTTTGTAACATAGCCGAGTATCCTGCAGCTCATCAGGGACTAGTGGTGTTTGTAACATAACCGAAGATCCTGCAGCTCATCAGGGACTAGTGGTGTTTGTAACATAACCGAGTATCCTGCAGCTCATCAGGGACTAGTGGTGTTTGTAACATAGCCGTTATCACTTATTGTCACTTGATGTTCGGATGAAAAGTGTGGTCCTACCAGATTCTAGTCTTGGGTTGAACAGACTACTGTCTTTTTCTAAACCTTTTATTCCTCAGAAACATTCAGTAACAATCTCCCTTGACCGATTTTTAAGTCAGGCATTCTCCTAAAAGTTGAGCTGTATTATATGTCACTAGAGCTGATATCTTCAGTTCCTTTTCAGCCGTTTGGTGCAACACAAGCAGAGACTTGAGAAGATCCGAAGTTCACAGGTAGGTCAGTTTATCGGGGCATGGGTAGGTCAGGGCAGCTGCTGGAGTTTATCGGGGCATGGGTAGGTCAGGGCAGCTGCTGGAGTTTATCGGGGCATGTGTAGGTCAGGGCAGCTGCTGGAGTTAGTCAGGGCATGGGTAGGTCAGGGCAGCTGCTGGAGTTTGTCAGGGCATGGGTAGGTCAGGGCAGCTGCTGGAGTGAGTCAGGGCAAGGGTAGGTCAGGGCAGCTGCTGGAGTTTGTCAGGGCGAGGGTAGGTCAGGGCAGCTGCTGGAGTTTATCTGGGCATGGGTAGGTCAGGGCAGCTGCTGGAGTTTATCTGGGCATGGGTAGGTCAGGGCAGCTGCTTGAGTTTGTCAGGGCATGGGTAGGTCAGGGCAGCTGCTGGAGTTTGTCAGGGCGAGGGTAGGTCAGGGCAGCTGCTGGAGGGAGTCAGGGCGAGGGTAGGTCAGGGCAGCTGCTGGAGTTTGTCAGGGCATGGGTAGGTCAGGGCAGCTGCTGGAGTAAATAAGGGCATGTGTAGGTCAGGGCAACTGCTGGAGTTTATCCGGGCAAGGGTAGGTCAGGGCAGCTGCTGGAGTTTGTCAGGGGATGGGTAGGTCAGGGCAGCTGCTGGAGTTTATCGGGGCATGTGTAGGTCAGGGCAGCTGGAGTTTGTCAGGGCATGGATAGGTCAGGGCAGCAGGAGTTTGTCAGGGCGAGGGTAGGTCAGGGCAGCTGCTGGAGTTTGTCAGGGCATGTGTAGGTCAGGGCAGCTGCTGGGGTTTGTCAGGGCAGGGGTAGGTCAGGGCAGCTGCTGGAGTTTGTCAGGGCATGGGTAGGTCAGGGCAGCTGGAGTTTGTCAGGGTATGGGTAGATCAGGGCAGCTGCTGGAGATTGTCAGGGCATGGGTAGGTCAGGGCAGCTGGAGTTTGTCAGGGCATGGGTAGGTCAGGGCAGCTGCTGGAGTGAGTCAGGGTGAGGGTAGGTCAGGGCAGCTGCTGGAGTTTATCGGGGCATGTGTAGGTCAGGGCAGCTGCTGGAGTTAGTCAGGGCATGGGTAGGTCAGGGCAGCTGCTGGAGTTTGTCAGGGCATGGGTAGGTCAGGGCAACTGCTGGAGTTTGTCAGGGCATGTGTAGGTCAGGGCAGCTGCTGGAGTTTATCGGGGCATGGGTAGGTCAGGGCAGCTGCTGGAGTGAGTTGGGGCAAGGGTAGGTCAGGGCAGCTGCTGGAGTTTGTCAGGGCATGGGTAGGTCAGGGCAGCTGCTGGAGTTTGTCAGGGCAAGGGTAGGTCAGGGTAATTGCTGGAGTTTATCGGGGCATGGGTAGGTCAGGGCAGCTGCTGGAGTGAGTCAGGGCATCTGCAGGAGTGAGTCAGGGCATGGGTAGGTCAAAGCAGCTGCTGGAGTTTATTGGGGCATGGGTAGGTCAGGGTAACTGCTGGAGTTTATCGGGGCATGGGTAGGTCAGGGCAGCTGCTGGAGTTTGTCAGGGCATGGGTAGGTCAGGGCAACTGCTGGAGTTTGTCAGGGCATGTGTAGGTCAGGGCAGCTGCTGGAGTTTTTTGGGGCAAGGGTAGGTCAGGGCAGCTGCTGGAGTTTGTCAGGGCATGGGTAGGTCAGGGCAGCTGCTGGAGTTTGTCAGGGCAAGGGTAGGTCAGGGTAACTGCTGGAGTTTATCGGGGCATGGGTAGGTCAGGGCAGCTGCTGGAGTGAGTCAGGGCATCTGCAGGAGTGAGTCAGGGCATGGGTAGGTCAAAGCAGCTGCTGGAGTTTATTGGGGCATGGGTAGGTCAGGGTAACTGCTGGAGTTTATCGGGGCATGGGTAGGTCAGGGCAGCTGCTGGAGTTTGTCAGGGCATGGGTAGGTCAGGGCAGCTGCTGGAGTGAGTTGGGGCATGTATAGGTCAGGGCATCTGCAGGAGTGAGTCAGGGCATGTGTAGGTCAGGGCAGCTTACACATGGTAAGGTCACTGGAGTTCATGTCATCGTATCCCAATTGCTTTGATTGGTGCTCATGATGTCAATCACTGTATTGTCTGGTCCAGACTTCATTACTTACAGACCGCCGTCATATAGCTGGAATATTGCTAAGAAGGGCGTTTAACAACGAACAAACAGACAGCCATCAGCATCAGAGTATATTTTTGTGTTTTACATGATTTAATGATATGGTAAAAGAAGATATTTCCATACAACAGCACAAAATCTATGACTTTGTTCAGTGCAATAATGCAACACAAGCCCAGCTCATTCTGTTATCAGCCAATCAGGAAGCAGTTAAGGATCACGCCCTATGTTTTTTTTCAGTTTAGGAAAAATATTGCTTGGTAGCCGATCAAATACCACAAAATCACTTGCTATTTATTTATTTATTTATATAAATGAATCTATATCTATATTTATTTATGAATCTATAATGACTTATGTTCATCAATTGCTTTGGTATTTGTCAAGGATCTGTAGACATTTTTATGGTTATTTCACAGCGAGGACGACAGTGGAAAGCAAAACGAGAGGAACACAATTCTGATGATGGCGAGTCCTCGGACACTGAGGATCCAGATTACGTAAGTTGATGACCAACATCAATCTTACAAGTCTAGCAGAGTCGTGTCGTAGATTTACTGAGGGACTGGTCATATATGATGGTTGTGGTGGTGGGATTGGACTTAGGAACGTATAACAATTTTTCCTGACACCGTCCCACTCTCTACATTAAATTACCAGTCCCGAAATAACGTTCAAGGTTATAAATTATTAATTCTATTATTCCAAAATTGATTAAATTTTGGCGACCCCCTCTTTACCAGATCCATTGATAGTCTGGTCGGCCTGTCAGAGGCTACTAAACTAGCTAAGCCCAGGTGTGTGATGGCTGAGAAATGGAGGATAATATTGTGTCCTGACACCTGTGTGAGTCTGGTCGGCCTGTCAGAGGCTACTAAACTAGCTAAGCCCAGGTGTGTGATCGCTGAGAAATGGAGGATAATATTGTGTCCTGACACCTGTGTGAGTCTGGTCGGCCTGTCAGAGGCTACTAAACTAGCTTAGACCAGGTGTGTGATCGCTGAGAAATGGAGGATAGTATTGTGTCCTGACACCTGTGTGAGTCTGGTCGGCCTGTCAGAGGCTACTAAACTAGCTTAGACCAGGTGTGTGATCGCTGAGAAATGGAGGATAGTATTGTGTCCTGACACCTGTGTGAGTCTGGTCGGCCTGTCAGAGGCTACTAAACTAGCTTAGACCAGGTGTGTGATTGCTGAGAAATGGAGGATAATATTGTGTCCTGACACCTGTGTGAGTCTGGTCGGCCTATCAGAGGCTACTAAACTAGCTTAGACCAGGTGTGTGATTGCTGAGAAATGGAGGATAATATTGTGTCCTGACACCTGTGTGAGTCTGGTCGGCCTATCAGAGGCTACTAAACTAGCTTAGACCAGGTGTGTGATCGCTGAGAAATGGAGGATAGTATTGTGTCCTGACACCTGTGTGAGTCTGGTCGGCCTGTCAGAGGCTACTAAACTAGCTTAGACCAGGTGTGTGATCGCTGAGAAATGGAGGATAATATTGTGTCCTGACACCTGTGTGAGTCTGGTCGGCCTGTCAGAGGCTACTAAACTAGCTTAGACCAGGTGTGTGATCGCTGAGAAATGGAGGATAATATTGTGTCCTGACACCTGTGTGAGTCTGGTCGGCCTGTCAGAGGCTACTAAACTAGCTTAGACCAGGTGTGTGATCGCTGAGAAATGGAGGATAATATTGTGTCCTGACACCTGTGTGAGTCTGGTCGGCCTGTCAGAGGCTACTAAACTAGCTTAGACCAGGTGTGTGATCGCTGAGAAATGGAGGATAATATTGTGTCCTGACACCTGTGTGAGTCTAGTCTGCCTGTCAGAGGCTACTAAACTAGCTTAGACAAGGTGTGTGATCGCTGAGAAATGGAGGATCATATTGTGTCCTGACACCTGTGTGAGTCTGGTCGGCCTGTGTGTGATCGCTGAGAAATGGAGGATAATATTGTGTCCTTACACCTGTGTGAGTCTGGTCGGCCTGTCAGAGGCTACTAAACTAGCTTAGACCAGGTGTGTGATCGCTGAGAAATGGAGGATAATATTGTGTCCTGACACCTGTGTGAGTCTAGTCTGCCTGTCAGAGGCTACTAAACTAGCTTAGACCAGGTGTGTGATCGCTGAGAAATGGAGGATCATATTGTGTCCTGACACCTGTGTGAGTCTGGTCGGCCTGTGTGTGATCGCTGAGAAATGGAGGATCATATTGTGTCCCGACACCTGTGTGAGTCTGGTCGGCCTGTCAGAGGCTACTAAACTAGCTAAGCCCAGGTGTGTGATCGCTGAAAAATGGAGGATAATATTGTGTCCTGACACCTGCGTGAGTCTGGTCGGCCTGTCAGAGGCTACTAAACTAGCTTAGACCAGGTGTGTGATCGCTGAGAAATGGAGGATAATATTGTGTCCTGACACCTGTGTGAGTCTGGTCGGCCTGTCAGAGGCTACTAAACTAGCTTAGACCAGGTGTGTGATCGCTGAGAAATGGAGGATAGTATTGTGTCCTGACACCTGTGTGAGTCTGGTCGGCCTGTCAGAGGCTACTAAACTAGCTTAGACCAGGTGTGTGATCGCTGAGAAATGGAGGATAATATTGTGTCCTGACACCTGTGTGAGTCTGGTCGGCCTGTCAGAGGCTACTAAACTAGCTTAGACCAGGTGTGTGATTGCTGAGAAATGGAGGATAGTATTGTGTCCTGACACCTGTGTGAGTCTGGTCGGCCTGTCAGAGGCTACTAAACTAGCTTAGACCAGGTGTGTGATCGCTGAGAAATGGAGGATAATATTGTGTCCTGACACCTGTGTGAGTCTGGTCGGCCTGTCAGAGGCTACTAAACTAGCTTAGACCAGGTGTGTGATCGCTGAGAAATGGAGGATAGTATTGTGTCCTGACACCTGTGTGAGTCTGGTCGGCCTGTCAGAGGCTACTAAACTAGCTTAGACCAGGTGTGTGATCGCTGAGAAATGGAGGATAATATTGTGTCCTGACACCTGTGTGAGTCTGGTCGGCCTGTCAGAGGCTACTAAACTAGCTTAGACCAGGTGTGTGATCGCTGAGAAATGGAGGATAATATTGTGTCCTGACACCTGTGTGAGTCTAGTCTGCCTGTCAGAGGCTACTAAACTAGCTTAGACCAGGTGTGTGATCGCTGAGAAATGGAGGATCATATTGTGTCCTGACACCTGTGTGAGTCTGGTCGGCCTGTGTGTGATCGCTGAGAAATGGAGGATAATATTGTGTCCTTACACCTGTGTGAGTCTGGTCGGCCTGTCAGAGGCTACTAAACTAGCTTAGACCAGGTGTGTGATCGCTGAGAAATGGAGGATAATATTGTGTCCTGACACCTGTGTGAGTCTAGTCTGCCTGTCAGAGGCTACTAAACTAGCTTAGACCAGGTGTGTGATCGCTGAGAAATGGAGGATCATATTGTGTCCTGACACCTGTGTGAGTCTGGTCAGCCTGTGTGTGATCGCTGAGAAATGGAGGATCATATTGTGTCCCGACACCTGTGTGAGTCTGGTCGGCCTGTGTGTGATCGCTGAGAAATGGAGGATCATATTGTGTCCTGACACCTGTGTGAGTCTGGTCTGCCTGTCAGAGGCTACTAAACTAGCTTAGACCAGGGCCCACTTGCACAAAGCGATCTTAGCGATAAGACTATTGTAAGCCTGTGCTAAAGTATGGGAGTTACGATCATCTTAGCGCTAAGATCGCTTTGTGCAAGTGGACCCTGGTGTGTGATCGCTGAGAAATGGAGGATAGTATTGTGTCCTGACACCTGTGTGAGTCTGGTCGGCCTGTCAGAGGCTACTAAACTAGCTTAGACCAGGTGTGTGATCGCTGAGAAATGGAGGATAGTATTGTGTCCTGACACCTGTGTGAGTCTGGTCGGCCTGTCAGAGGCTACTAAACTAGCTTAGACCAGGTGTGTGATGGCTGAGAAATGGAGGATAATATTGTGTCCTTACACCTGTGTGAGGCTACTAAACTAGCTTAGACCAGGTGTGTGATCGCTGAGAAATGGAGGATAAAATTGTGTCCTGACACCTGTGTGAGTCTGGTCGGCCTGTCAGAGGCTACTAAACTAGCTTAGACCAGGTGTGTGATCGCTGAGAAATGGAGGATCATATTGTGTCCTGACACCTGTGTGAGTCTGGTCGGCCTGTCAGAGGCTACTAAACTAGCTTAGACCAGGTGTGTGATGGCTGAGAAATGGAGGATAATATTGTGTCCTTACACCTGTGTGAGGCTACTAAACTAGCTTAGACCAGGTGTGTGATCGCTGAGAAATGGAGGATAATATTGTGTCCTGACACCTGTGTGAGTCTGGTCGGCCTGTCAGAGGCTACTAAACTAGCTTAGACCAGGTGTGTGATGGCTGAGAAATGGAGGATAGTATTGTGTCCTGACACCTGTGTGAGTCTGGTCGGCCTGTCAGAGGCTACTAAACTAGCTTAGACCAGGTGTGTGATCGCTGAGAAATGGAGGATATTATTGTGTCCTGACACCTGTGTGAGTCTGGTCGGCCTGTCAGAGGCTACTAAACTAGCTTAGACCAGGTGTGTGATCGCTGAGAAATGGAGGATATTATTGTGTCCTGACACCTGTGTGAGTCTGGTCGGCCTGTCAGAGGCTACTAAACTAGCTTAGACCAGGTGTGTGATGGCTGAGAAATGGAGGATAATATTGTGTCCTTACACCTGTGTGAGGCTACTAAACTAGCTTAGACCAGGTGTGTGATCGCTGAGAAATGGAGGATAATATTGTGTCCTGACACCTGTGTGAGTCTGGTCGGCCTGTCAGAGGCTACTAAACTAGCTTAGACCAGGTGTGTGATGGCTGAGAAATGGAGGATAGTATTGTGTCCTGACACCTGTGTGAGTCTGGTCGGCCTGTCAGAGGCTACTAAACTAGCTTAGACCAGGTGTGTGATCGCTGAGAAATGGAGGATATTATTGTGTCCTGAAACCTGTGTGAGTCTGGTCGGCCTGTCAGAGGCTACTAAACTAGCTTAGACCAGGTGTGTGATCGCTGAGAAATGGAGGATAATATTGTGTCCTGACACCTGTGTGAGTCTGGTCGGCCTGTCAGAGGCTACTAAACTAGCTTAGACCAGGTGTGTGATGGCTGAGAAATGGAGGATAATATTGTGTCCTGACACCTGTGTGAGTCTGGTCGGCCTGTCAGAGGCTACTAAACTAGCTTAGCCCAGGTGTGTGATCGCTGAGAAATGGAGGATAATATTGTGTCCTGACACCTGTGTGAGTCTGGTCGGCCTGTCAGAGGCTACTAAACTAGCTTAGACCAGGTGTGTGATCGCTGAGAAATGGAGGATAATATTGTGTCCTGACACCTGTGTGAGTCTGGTCGGCCTGTCAGAGGCTACTAAACTAGCTTAGACCAGGTGTGTGATCGCTGAGAAATGGAGGATAATATTGTGTCCTGACACCTGTGTGAGTCTGGTCGGCCTGTCAGAGGCTACTAAACTAGCTTAGCCCAGGTGTGTGATGGCTGAGAAATGGAGGATAATATTGTGTCCTGACACCTGTGTGAGTCTGATCGGACCAGAATCAAGGAGCCAGGGGTAGCTAGTGTCTGCTTGCTTGACAGGACATTGTTGTCTCCTACTGCGTTGTTGGAATATTATTTTTTTTCTTTTATTGTTTTCAAAAAGAAGTACCTGCTAATGGGCTTCGGCCCAGGGTAGCAGAAAGCCCAAGCACAACTTGTCAGTACATCTTAGGTTTTTTTTACAAAAATAGCATATGTCTCACTCACACATTCACTCTAGCAATACAAACATACTGCATATATGAAGAATGCATAAACTATTAAAGTTTATATATCATATTGCAGTGCCGGAAAGTAGAGTCTTAAGTATGAAACTAAATATGGTTAAAAGTGATGTATCGTCAACCAAAGTCCTCACGTCTCTTTCACTCACTCACACAGACACCGGTCCCCAAGTCCGGCCAAGCGAGGGTCAAGGCCCAGGCATACGCCCAGCAGGCACGGCAGTCCAAAGCTCGGCGCCACAGAAACGTCATCACGCTGGATGCATGTGCCGCCACCCCTGACAAGTCGCTCAGGAAGACGAAATACAAGAGCAAAAAAGGTTTGCAATACACATTTATCAGTTCAAGAGTGTATGTTTATAGACAAGATCATACTCAGTTGTACATCAAGTTATATATCCATTCTGTTACAATAAATACCCTGGACCAATTTGTTTTTGGCTTTGCTCTAAATATGATTCCCAACTCTTTGTTGAATCGTAGTAACAACACTTTTTATAGGAGGTAGAGGCATCTCATTGTTCTACACTCTACAGAGTTGTGTCCCTTTATCATGCCAGGATGTGCTGATCAAGGTGTGCAAATCCTTGCTTTTGATCATTGGTGTGTGAACACCATCATAACCATCATCATTGGTTTCACAAAATTTAAAACCATTACGTCCTTCATCCCTTTCCTTCCATATGCCATCTTCCTGAGGCAAGGGAATTAACTGACTAAAAAAGTCCAGTTTCCACCCTTGCCAAACTAGGTTGGAAATTATGGAGTTCTACTTGGCTGGACTACAGAGTCTATGCATAGTCCAATCAAAATCGCTTAAAAAATTGCAGGACTTGCAAAGCATGTACAAAGCATGTGTACTGACAACTTGGTGTTTACAGATATTTTTCAAATCCTTTCATGTTTTTAATCAAGTTTCTCACATGATTTGATGATTTGATGCATTTCACGATGTTAGACTAGTTTTATTACAATATAGATCTTGATTATCGATCAGATCGACTTCACTGGGCGATGCCATTTTATTTGAAGCAAATGCAAGTGATATGAGAGGTGGAATCTGATTGGTCAATAGGAAGGACATAGAAGGGACATAACTAGTACTAGCCACTGATGATGCTACGGTCAAGCCCAGAAATTCTAGCAAATATTGGTCAGTTAAATCCCTTGCCTCGGGAAGATGTGCATATACATGATGATAATATTGACATATTGTTACATAACGGAAATAGTGTTCAGTCCAGTATTAACCCCAACATGACTACTTGGCTGCCTCTAGATTCATGGGTTGCCTCATATGTTTCCAGTTGATGAGGAGAAGGAGGAGGAGTCACAACTGACCTCTCCCACCGAGGAGTCCAGTGAGCCCCTACCATCACCCGTTGAGTATCTCAGTATGCCCACCATAGACATGGAGGTCACACACACGTCAGGTACTAGGAGTGACCTTCAAGGTCAGTTTCACAATCGTTGCAATAATTTGATAAGTATGTGTACTCTCCTACAAAATACATTTCCTTACATCTTGCTCGCTGCCAGTGGCTGCAAGATTGCTTTGCAGAGTTACACAATAATCACTCACTCACTCACCTTACATCATGCAACATGAAGATCCGTGGTAGAATAGGTCCTCAGCAACCCATGATTGTTGTAAAAGGGGACTATATGCTTGTCGTAAGAGGCGACTAACGCGATCGGGTGTCAGGCTCACTGACTTGGTTGATGTATGTCATCGTATCTCAATTGCGTGGATCGATGCTCATGATATCAATCACTGGATTGTCTGGTCCAAACTCGATTATTTACAGACCGCCGTCATATAGCTGGAATATTGCTGAGTGAGGCGTTAAACAACCAACAAACACAAAAACATCATGTGACATGCTGGCAAAGCTTCGCATGTCTCAGATTCAGCAGATTGCTTTTGGTGAGGTAAGGAAGGTCTCTCTCATTACTATTGTATGTAAAATTATTAATAGATGCATATAATTTTTAACACACTCTGAAGTCTCTCAAGCAACAGGGTTTGAAATCACTGAAATAAAATAAATTCCCAGGCTGCCATCAGGACCCACAGACTTTAGAATCTAAACCTTATCAAACCCTCATTTAAAAAAACTTCAGCATATTGTGACAAATCGATGGTCACATAAATTTACTGCAGGCCATATGGACCCATACAAATTTGAACTTATTGGCCTGACACGAGATCTGCCTGTCATTGGAAGGCGCTTATTATCCCCTGCCACGAAGTGGAAGGGGGATATAGGAATGGGTGCTGTCCGTCCGTCCATCCATCCGTCCGTCACATTTCGTTTCCGGAGCAGATCTTGAAAACCGTACCATATTTCTTCACCAAACTTGGCACATAGATAGATCTAGTGGTGAACTGGTGCCTTTTGATAGTTTGGGATTTTCAAAAAAATTATTTTTCGAGTTTCCATGGCAACGACTTTGATTTAGACTGAAAATGGTGGTAGTCCTTGTTTCTGTAGCAGATCTTGAAAACCGTACCATATTTATTCACCAAACTTGGCACATAGACAGATCAAGTGGTGGACTGGTGCCTTTTGATAGTTTGGGTTTTAAATTTTTTTATTTTTCGAGGAATATAGGAATGGGTGCTATCCGTCCTTGTTTCCGGAGCAGATCTTGAAAACCGTACCATATTTCTTCACCAAACTTGGCACATGGATAGATCTAGTGGTGAACTGGTGCCTTTTGATTGTTTGGGATTTAAAAAAATAATATTTTTCGAGTTTCCATGGCAACGACTTTGATTTAGACTGAAAATAGCGGTAGTCCTTGTTTCCGGAGCAGATCTTGAAAAACGTACTATATTTCTTTACAAAAAGGCCGATTGAACATAGTGCACTGGAGCTTATGCATTGCACACACCCGACATGTCATATTGGCGGGGGATGTGAGTATTTCATGCTTGTTTCGATTTGTAATTGGATTTCCTTGTACTAAGTTCCGAATGAATGAATGAGGACCCACTTGCATAATCGAAACTCCCATACTCTAACATAGACTTAAGATCATTATAGTGCTAAGACAGCTTTGTGCAAGTGGGCCTAATGCCTTAAGCACACACTTAAAACTTACATTTTGTTCTATTAAAACACCCTGTGAAGAGTTTAGTTATATACTACTCAATATTTGATAAGGATCTTCTGAATGTCCAGTGCGGGTAAATCTGACTGGTTGTCTGGAGATGCTGGCATACTAATAGGATGGGATTTGGCTGGATCTGACGCACGATGCATGAGAACGCCTACATATTGATAGCCTTGACACCACTGGACAGAGTTGGTTATAATCTGACACAGAATCACTGCGTGTCACTGATGGTGTATGATGTTGCTCTTCCAGGGGGCGGTCGGGTAGCCTAGTGGTTAAAGCGTTCGCTAGTCACGCTGAAGACCCGGTTTTCGATTCCCGACACGGGTACAATGTGTGAAGCCCATTTCTGGTGTCCCCCGCCGTGATTTTGCTGGAATATTGCTAAAAGCTGCGTAAAACCATATCCACTCACTCTTCCAGGGTGGAATAGGTCTTCAGCAATCCATGCTTGCCGTAAATTGCGATTATGCTTGTCGTAAGAGGCAACTAACAGGATCTGGTCGCCAGGCTCGCTGACTTGATTGAAACATGTCATTGTTTCCAATGCCCATGATGTCAATCACTGGATTGTCTGGTCCAGACTCGATTATTTACACACCGCTGTCATATAGCAGGAATACTGCTGACAAACAAACAAACAAAAAACATGATATCATTCACTTGTTTGTCTGGGCAAGAATTAATCATTTACAGACTGCCATCTTGCTGCTGATATATATCGGACTGCACATTAAACAACAAACGTAGCTTTGATGTAATGCTCAAACATTTCTTTACATTACTAGGGCCAACAACAGAGAGCGATCACTCCACAAGCAAAGATGGACAGTCAAAATCTGGTCCACCAACATTTGAAAATGGTCCATCAACATCCAAAACTAGTCCATCAAAGTCAAGCACTAGTTTTTTGGATGCAGAAACAGATTCCTCGAAAGCAGGAACCACCTCTTCTAAGGTTTCCAAGTCGTCCAAGAAGGCAAAGACATCCCGAACAAAAAGTGTCCTTTCAGAATCACCTGATGCCAAATCTCCAGGAAAGGCCAAGGCAACTCCTAAGGCTAAATCAGGTAGGCTGAAGGGTAAGGGTGCACAGCAGAAGGAACAGGAGAAGAAGAAGAGGAGGCGTCAGTCCGGGGCAGAAGCAGGAGCTGATGGAGCACCTGCTCTGAAAGTTGAGAAGTCTTCTCCCTCAAAGACAACACCCTCAAAGACAACTACTTGTCCTAAGAAAAATTCTGTTCCACCGAAATTAGTTTATAAACCTGTGTAATGTTAAAGATTTGGAAATAAACTTCTTGAAATTTCTTTTTATGTCTTTTTTTAATGAAGCAGACTTTATGATGCAAGACCTGTTTGTCATGGAGGTAGGATTTGGAGCCACTTCAAAAAAAGGGTTCTGATCAACAGTAGGGGGCATGGGTGTCCTAGTTGTCTAAGGCCCTACAATTCACTTTGCAGAGATGCGTCCCTTGGGCATGCCAGAAACCTGAATTCCGGGTCGCTGCGATTATGTTTGTAGGTTTGTCACCTCTAAAACTTCTCAGACCTGCATCACTTCGGGCTTTCCTCCCACATCGAGCTTACACACCATGACACAACTGCAATACTGTTCAAAGCGGGGTCAAACTCAACTCACTTCCCTGAACAACAGGTACAGAAGTTCACCATTATAAGATTATGTTTAACGTGTAAAAACATGATACTGACAAGGATATTAGCTTTATTATCTATGTTAATAGCGAGGTGACCGTACAGCCCTTGTTATTTCCTATACACCACAGGGCCAACAGCTAAATTATCCTTAATGCATTAGGTTTCAGCTCATCCGTCTGGGGGGGGGCATGGGTGGCCCAGTCGTCTAAGGCGCCGCGATTTGCTGTGCAGAGTTGCGTCCCTTGGGCACACCAGAAACCTATGATTGTGGGTTCGAATCCCGGTTCACCTCAATTATGTATCTAGGTTTGTCAGCATCATACCCATGGGTCTTAGACCTGCATTACTTCGGGGTTTCCTCCCACATTAAGCTGACACGCCATGATATAACTGGAATACTGTTAAAAGCGGCGTTAAACCCAACTCACTCACTCACTTATCCGTCTACTGCCTCTGTGTAGATGGTACTTGATGTTACCCTGCCTGGTGCTCGGTATTAAGGGGTTTAAACACGGACTGGTAGACTCCGTTTCATCATATTGTGTATGAATGGGGCATTCATGTTACACTTTGGCATGGTATAACAGTGGGCTAGTACTATAAAACCAGCATAAGGTGCATGCACACCTTTATATAAGGGCAATAATATTGACTGTGACGTAAAACGCAATTTCACCTAACCTCTTTTCATCCTTATTAGAAGCATTAACTTAGTTTGGGAAAAAATCAAGGGAAAACGTTATCTTGGAGCAACCGCAATAAAACCATGAAAGATGATCTAATTATTATGCATAACTAGTCCAGGCCCAACGTTATGAGTGAGTGAGTGAATTTTGCGAGTCCCCGTTTTGCAACGTATTTGCAGCTGCATCTTATCTCATCGTGACTGGGGGCACAGGTGGCCCAGTCGTCAGCTGTGCTTGGGTAGCCAGAAACCTATGATTGTGGGTTCGAATCCCAGTTTGCCCCGATTATGTATCTTGGTTTGTCAGCACCATACCCGTGCTCGTGGGTTTCACCGAAGTGGTAAACGTCTGAGATCTGCATCACTTTGGGCTTTCCTCCCACATTAAGCCGACACGCCGTGATATAACTGGAGTACTGTTCAAAGTTGCGTTTAACTCAGCTCACTCACTCATCGTGCCTGCATCATGTGGGAGGAAACCCACAGCAACGGACATTTCAGACGTTTACAACTTTGGCAAGAACCCAGGATCACATCATGCTCATTGCCGTCCAGTGTAGATGCTATAATTTGATTTCTGTTTTCGCAAATGATGAATCCATAATAGGTTATGTCTCTAAATGCAATATAGATCATATTATCCTGTTATCATATTATAATGCGATTATTGAATAAACTTTCTTACTTTTGGATGTATTGGGCGATGCTGTCATTTCATTAGTACACTTTTCAACTTCTGTTCGTGAGGTAGAGGGGCGGTCGGGTAGCCTGGTGGTTAAAGCGTTCGCTCGTCACGCCGAAGATCCGGGTTTGATTCCCGACATGGCTTCAATGTGTGAGGCCCATTTGTGGTGTCCACCGCCGTGATATTGCTGGAATATTGCTAAAAGTGGCGTAAAACCATACTCACTCACTCGTGAGGTAGATCATGAGTGTTTAACACTACATCAGTGATCTCTCAGATAAAAATGGAATTCATCGCAGAAAGTGGTGGGCACACCAAATTGATGATTGCTTTGCACTGCGTGCGTCGGAAAGTTTACATTTATCATAAGACCCATGAATGAAGACTGGAGCGATAGTATTAGTGAGGTGAGGTGAAATTGGGCTTAACGTCGCGTCCAAGATTATTGCACTTTTATTGCGACGTGCATGCACGTGTGTGTGTGGCCGCTTGTACTAGACCGGACTGATGCCGATTTATAGTGCCAGCCCACTGAGATACCATGCCGCAGTTTAACATGAATACCCCACTCAGACACAGTATACTGACTCCGAGCCGACCAGTCCTTACTTTAACTCCTTAATGCCGAGCGTCAGACAGGGTAACAACAAGTACCATCTTTTAACGTCATTTGGTATGACGCGGCCGGGGATCGAACCGCGGACCTTCCGCTCTCGGGCGGACGCTCTACCACTAGACCACGGAGGCGGTTCGATAGTATTAAACTAACGGCCAAAAGAAACTTTACCATAGTTTTAAATCACTCTTGTAGTTTAAAAGCACAAAAGATAGATGCATAAAGTAAAATGTTTTGAAAAGATCAAAATCTCAACGAAATCAACATTTAAAGTGAAAGTCAAACAGCATCCGATATTGGCACGACAGTTGCCCGAATTGAGGCGGGGGAGCAAAAACAACCTTTCCACGCAATGGACAGAGGACACACACACATCTAAAATCGTTCAAGTTCAGTGACACGTGATATTAATAGCGTGTATGACCACCCCCTGCTACAAGACACGCAAAACACTCCGGCGCTCAGGAAAGGTCATCGTCTGATGACATCAGACGGGGTACGTCGCAATTCGTCTTGGAGGGCCTTGATCAGTTCTTGTCGGCTGGTCGGAGGATGTGGTCGTTGTCGAACACGACGATACATGACATCCCAGATGTGTTCAATGGGGAACATGTCTGGGGAGAGTGCAGGCCACGGTTACACTTTGATGTTGTTGGCTGCAAGGAAGTTCTGTTCGATTCGGGCTGTATGGGTTCTGGCGTTGTCATGCTGATAAAGGACACCACGTGGCAGATTTTGTAGAAATGGTAGGACAATAGGACGAAGAATGTTATCCATGTAACGCAGAGCTGTCCATTTCCGTTAACGATGACCAGTGGTGTTCTCTCACAAATTCCTCTCCACATCATAACACCCCCTCCACCAGCATGCCAGAAACCTATGATTGTGGGTTCGAATCCCGGTTCGCCCCGATTATGTTTCTAGGTTTGTCAGCGCCAAATGCGTGCTCGTGGGTTTCACCGAAGTGGTAAACGTCTGAGACCTGCACCACTTCGGGCTTTCCTCCCACATTAAGCTGGCACTCCGCGATATAACTGGAATACTGTTAAAAGCGGCGTTAAACCAAACTCACTCACTCACTCACTCCACCATACGGGCACGACCATTTAACGCAACATGCCGCTGATCGTTACCCCTTCGGCGATAAACACGTTGTCTTCCATCAGCTCTGAACAGACAGAACCGGCTTTCGTCAGTGCAGACGGCCCTCTGCCAGTCACGTCGCTGCGAACGGCGTTTAGTTCGACCCCCTCTCAATTCTGACGACGATGTTGTGCTGTCAAAAACTGACCTACGTAAGGTCTGTAAGTCCAAATTTCTTGAGCCCTGAGTCGCCTGGCCACTTACTGTCGACTAACTTTAGCTCTTAAGCATTCGTCGCTGATGACGTCACTGTCAGGAATCGATTCCGTAGATGCAGAGTACGCAGTACCGGTCTTCATTGGGTGTAGTTACCCTGGGTCTGATGACTGCCCGGTCTGCCTGTAATGCTACATCAGGTAAGTTACAGCAACACGGGGGCACAACACAACACAACACAAATCTGTAGTTTACCCTGGGCCCACTCGCGTTGTTCGGGTGTCAGTCGTGGCATTTCTGTTGTTTTTGTTGTTGTCTGTTGTCACTTTTTCGCATTTTCCACGAATAACCTGCCGTGACGTGTACAATTTTCTGCATAGAGCATTGTTGTGTTCGGACGATGTGTTTTGCATTAATTTAGTTTGAACTTGTGTTATTAAATTTTTGCAATTTCATTTTTAAAGTTGGTTTGGTTGGTTTGTTGTTTCACGCCGCACTCAGCAATATTCCAGCCATATGACGGCGGTCTGTAAATAATCGAGTCTGGACCAGACAATCCAGTGGTTGACATCATGAGCATCGATCCTCGCAATGCGGGATCTATGACATGCATCAACCAAGTCAGCGAGCCTGACCACCCGATCCCGTTAGTCGCCTTTTACGACAAGCATAGTCGCCTTTTAAGGTAAGCATCAGTTTAGATTTAACACGCCTTGGTGTATTGAACGAGTTGTTTTATATTAAGATATTAGAATGAGAACATATCTGTGTTTATCACCTTGCATTTATGAAAGCCTCACATGTTAAAACTCAAACTATGAGGTTTTTGAAGGCACGATGGCTGCACTTTCGCCATACGTAGTCGATGTTTATGCATAATCGTGGACCATATGTCTTCGTTGCTCATGCGTAGCCGTAATCGCGGTCAATACGGTATCGTTGTTCATGCGTATTTTTGGACCATACGTATTGGGTTTTTTATGCGTTGTCGTGGGCTATACGTATTCGTTGTTCATGCGTGGTCCTGTGCTATACGTATTCGTTGTTCATGCGTAGTCCTTGGCTATACGTATTCGTTGTTCATGCGTAGTCGTGGGCCATACGTATTCGTTGTTCATGCGTAGTCCTGGGCTATACGTATTCGTTCTTCATGCGTAGTCCTGGGCCATACGTATTCGTTGTTCATGCGTGGTCCTGGGCTATACGTATTCGTTGTTCATGCGTAGTCCTGGGCTATACGTATTCGTTGTTCATGCGTAGTCGTGGGCCATACGTATTCGTTGTTCATGCGTGCTCCTGGGCTATACGTATTCATTGTTCATGCGTAGTCGTGGGCCATACGTATTCGTTGTTCATGCGTAGTCCTTGGCCACACGTATTCGTTGTTCATGCGTGGTCCTTGGCTATACGTATTCGTCGTTCATGCGTAGTCCTAGGCTATACGTATTCGTTGTTCATGCGTAGTCGTGGGCTATACGTATTCGTTGTTCATGCGTAGTCCTGGGCCATCGTATTCGTTGTTCATGCGTGGCCCTGGGCTATATGTATTCGTTGTTCATGCGTAGTCGTGGGCCATACGTATTCGTTGTTCATGCGTAGTCCTGGGCAATACGTATTTGTTGTTCATGCGTAGTCCTGGGCAACACGTATTCGTTGTTCATGCGTAGTCCTGGACCATACGTATTCGTTGTTCATGCGTAGTCGTATTACGTTATCCCTACTCACTTACGTGCTACAACGCTTACACATATGCGAGTAACATATAACACCGGGGCCATCAAGTATAGGGTCACACATTGATACATTCACGCATAACCAGCGTCAAAGAACAAAGACCATGTCCTGAGACACATGAACCGATGCATGATTTGCAATTAGAAGAGTTCGACACACATACACATTCATCATCCACGAGGTCCAATATAAGTGAGCTAATCAAAGTCCGCATCACAAAAGCAAAGTGGCGACGAACACCAGCCACAGCCAATCAGAATGCAGGTCACATCCTGTCTGGTGTATAAGGAACGCGATTCCGTCAATGTACCACCATGCCAACTCACTGACGCTCTTCACGTTAAGGCGAGACCACGGCGGTAACAACAGTGACAACCCCACATCCTCAGCAGCATCTATTACAACGACATGGTAAGTGGTAGTGAATGCACCCATGGATAACTTTCATTGTTTGGTAGACATATACTGCAAAACTAAAACTTAAGAGAGTATTAAGCCATGATCATGCCCGGACTACGTAGGATATCCTAACCATACCTATACAACTCAAACGAAATTAAAGAACACCTTTTTTTGCATATGGCTGTAGTTAATCTGTCAAGGCGGGAGGGTATTGCATCACACAACCTTCCCATTGTGGGTGTTCTCTATCTTTTTTTGAGAAGTATAGATACAATTTTTATTTTTTTTATTCAATTAAGTATATGATGTTGCATATTTTCACATAAAGTAACATGACGTAATATACTTATTAGGTGTAGGTTACACACCTATACAGTAGACACCAAATTATTAGCTGGCTAGTCGGAATACAGGTGTACAACATAGTGTCAAGTGGCTAAAAAAAACCTTTACACAGGGCTGCGACCTTTGTGCCACCTTTGAGCGATCAAAAACTGTCCAGGACCAGGAATGGTCGCCTAAACCCAGAAAATCATGTTTCCATGTAACTGTTCCAGCAGTTGTTCAGCAGTAACTGCTCGAGTTGTTCAGCGTCTGCAACCACAATGAAACACTGCAGGTACAAGCCCTCCATTTATAGGCAGGCTGAGGAGGCACTACAGGTAGCTCAGAGGAGGCAGAAAAGAGGCAGAAGCATTGCCATGGTGTCTTAAGGGTTGCCGTTGTCGCCGAATGGAGGCACGGCGGTCGCCACAGTTATCGTTCAATGCACGCTGTTTGTCGCCAAAAAGAGGCACAAGGGGGGCAGAAGCATCGCCTAGATTGACGGGAAAATATTTCAGCAGAAGGCATCTTTTACCTGACGACCATTGGGCGACCCCTGTGCCTTCATTCTGCAACAACGGCAATGCTTGTGCTTCCCTTCTGCCACCTTTGAGCAACCAACCTCCTCGGCGACCTTTGTGCGACTGTTTTGAACATGTTCAAAAATTCACGGCGACCATGGCGATGTCTGAACCTCATGTGTACCACCTTGGAACGACCTAGGCAACCATTCTGCCTCCTTTGAGCCTCCAACGACGACCTGGCAAATGTTACAGTCACACACGGGAGGCACAAAGGTCGCCATCCTGTGTAAAGGCCCCATTACAGCACATTACTGGGAATTTTTCATACTCAAAATAGAGACATATTAACTGGACAGTTCATTTGGCATTTTTTTCCATTTTCTGTCAAACTGTCTTATTGTATTTGTTTTGTGCAATTGATTTCTCTATCCGAAATATATCGATTTAGTGTAGACAGTTGACAAGTACAATCTGCCTCACGACAACCAAGCCAACCAAACCGATCACGACGTAATCCTCTGACGATGAAGAGCTCCGATTGCATGATGCATTACTTGTACTTTTCGCACTGTTGTATGTTCTGTATTAAGGCAATTATTGAGTTAGGTAATCAGTGCGCCGTATATATATCATATTTTCATAATTGCGATAATGAGGCTATTATAGTTGTTGTGTATCCCGCCACTACGTACGACTATGTTTCGTGTGACTGAGAGACGTTTCTGATTGATGTTACTGCTTAAACAATCCGAGGCGTACTTTGTCTTATTTCACTGGTGATTTCCGAATGCAAACATATACGTAAGCCGAACATTGTTGAAACCGTGGCCACCAAAGTACTGCATTCAAAGCAGTCGAAACATATATATTCTGTTGGACAAAAGAAAGTATAAATCCATGTTTGACGGTGGCTAAAAATTATGCAAACAAGAAATGGTTATTCAGTGGTGATGTATTTCATACTGGTATCAAAGTTTTGGATCTAAAGTTTGCAGTGTTTTGGCGAGTTTTCATCCTTTAAGGTTTTAATGACGTTTGTATTTTTTTGTGAAATCCAAATACAAAATTAATATTTTCTTTTCCAGGGCAGTATATATCTATTCAGTTTGTGTTTGTTGTCTAATGAGAACAGGGTCAGTCAAGTCACCAGCGCCCCATGTTTTTCCATCAATGCAGGTTCCGCGGTCACCAGCGCCCCATGTTTTTCCGTCCATGCAGTTTCTGCGGTCGCCAGCGCCCCATGTGTTTTTCTATCCTTGCAGGTTTCGCGGTCATCAGCGCCCCTTGTTTTTCTACCCATACAAGTTCTGCGGTCGCCAGCGCCCCATGTTTTTCTATCCATGCAGGTTCCGCAGTCACCAGCGCCCCATGTTTTTCTATCCATACAGGTTCTGCGGTCACCAGCGCCCAATGTGTTTTTCTATTCATGCAGGTTTCGCGGTCACCAGCGCCCCATGTTTTTCTACCCATACAAGTTCTGCGGTCGCCAGCGCCCCATGTTTTTCTATCCATGCAGGTTCTGCGGTCACCAGCGCCCCATGTTTTTTCTATCCATACAGGTTCCGCTGTCACCAGCGCCCCATGTTTTTCTATCCATACAGGTTCCGCGGTCACCAGCGCCCCATGTGTTTTTCTATCCATGCAGGTTTCGCGGTCACCAGCGCCCCATGTTTTCCTACCCATACAAGTTCTGCGGTCACCAGCGCCCCATGTTTTTCTACCCATACAAGTTCTGCGGTCGCCAGCGCCCCATGTTTTTCTATCCATGCAGGTTCAGCGGTCACCAGCGCCCCTTGTTTTTCTACCCATACAGGTTCCGCTGTCACCAGCGCCCCATGTTTTTCTATCCATGCAGGCTCTGGGGTCACCAGCGCCCCATGCTTTTCCATCCATACAGGTTCCGCGTTCACCAGCGCCACAGGTTTGACTATCCCTGCAGGTTCCTCGGTCACCAGCGCCCCTTGTTTTTCTACCCATACAGGTTCCGCGGTCACCAGCGCCCCTTGTTTTTCTATCCATACAGGTTCCGCTGTCACCAGCGCCCCATGTTTTTTTATCCATACAGGTTCCGCGTTCACCAGCGCCCCATGTGTTTTTCTATCCATGCAGGTTTCGCGGTCACCAGCGCCCCATGTTTTTCTACCCATACAAGTTCTGCGGTCGCCAGCGCCCCATGTTTTTCTATCCATGCAGGTTCCGCGGTCACCAGCGCCCCATGTTTTTCTATCCATGCAGGTTCAGCGGTCACCAGCGCCCCTTGTTTTTCTACCCATACAGGTTCCGCTGTCACCAGCGCCCCATGTTTTTCTATCCATGCAGGCTCTGGGGTCACCAGCGCCCCATGCTTTTCCATCCATACAGGTTCCGCGTTCACCAGCGCCACAGGTTTTACTATCCATGCAGGTTCCTCGGTCACCAGCGCCCCATGCTTTTCTATCCATGCAGGTTTCATCGTAAGCAGCGCCCCATGTTTTTCTATCCATACAGGTTCCGCGGTCACCAGCGCCCCATGTTTTTCCATCCATGCAGGTCCCGCGGTAGCCAGCGCCCCACGTTTTTCTATCCATGCAGGTTCCGCGGTCACCAGCGCCCCATGTTTTTCCGTCCATGCAGTTTCTGCGGTCGCCAGCGCCCCATGTGTTTTTCTATCCTTGCAGGTTTCGCGGTCATCAGCGCCCCTTGTTTTTCTACCCATACAAGTTCTGCGGTCGCCAGCGCCCCATGTTTTTCTATCCATGCAGGTTCCGCAGTCACCAGCGCCCCATGTTTTTCTATCCATACAGGTTCTGCGGTCACCAGCGCCCCATGTGTTTTTCTATTCATGCAGGTTTCGCGGTCACCAGCGCCCCATGTTTTTCTACCCATACAAGTTCTGCGGTCGCCAGCGCCCCATGTTTTTCTATCCATGCAGGTTCTGCGGTCACCAGCGCCCCATGTTTTTTCTATCCATACAGGTTCCGCTGTCACCAGCGCCCCATGTTTTTCTATCCATACAGGTTCCGCGGTCACCAGCGCCCCATGTGTTTTTCTATCCATGCAGGTTTCGCGGTCACCAGCGCCCCATGTTTTTCTACCCATACAAGTTCTGCGGTCGCCAGCGCCCCATGTTTTTCTATCCATGCAGGTTCAGCGGTCACCAGCGCCCCTTATTTTTCTACCCATACAGGTTCCGCTGTCACCAGCGCCCCATGTTTTTCTATCCATGCAGGCTCTGGGGTCACCAGCACCCCATGCTTTTCCATCCATACATGTTCCGCGTTCACCAGCGCCACAGGTTTGACTATCCCTGCAGGTTCCTCGGTCACCAGCGCCCCTTGTTTTTCTACCCATACAGGTTCCGCGGTCACCAGCGCCCCTTGTTTTTCTATCCATACAGGTTCCGCTGTCACCAGCGCCCCATGTTTTTTTATCCATACAGGTTCCGCGTTCACCAGCGCCCCATGTGTTTTTCTATCCATGCAGGTTTCGCGGTCACCAGCGCCCCATGTTTTTCTACCCATACAAGTTCTGCGGTCGCCAGCGCCCCATGTTTTTCTATCCATGCAGGTTCCGCGGTCACCAGCGCCCCATGTTTTTCTATCCATGCAGGTTCAGCGGTCACCAGCGCCCCTTGTTTTTCTACCCATACAGGTTCCGCTGTCACCAGCGCCCCATGTTTTTCTATCCATGCAGGCTCTGGGGTCACCAGCGCCCCATGCTTTTCCATCCATACAGGTTCCGCGTTCACCAGCGCCACAGGTTTTACTATCCATGCAGGTTCCTCGGTCACCAGCGCCCCATGCTTTTCCCTCCATGCAGGTTTCATCGTAAGCAGCGCCCCATGTTTTTCTATCCATACAGGTTCCGCGGTCACCAGCGCCCCATGTTTTTCCATCCATGCAGGTCCCGCGGTAGCCAGCGCCCCACGTTTTTCTATCCATGCAGGTTCCGCGGTCACCAGCGCCCCATGTTTTTCCATTCCATTTCCGGGAGTACCAATGTGCTATGTCTTTGTACCCAGCGCCCTATGTCTGTCTCTTACAACCACCTTATGTTCGTCTCTCCGTTTTAAGATTCATGTTTCCCAATGGTTATTTCAGGGCAAGATATGTCCCCAGTACCCTATGCTAGTCTCTCATGGTGATTTCAGGGCGATATATGCCCTCAGTAACCTATACTGGTCTCTCACGGTGATTTCGGGGCGACATATGTCCCCAGTACCCCATGCTTGTCTCCCATGGTGTTCAGGGCGATATATGTCCCTAGTATCCTATGCTGGTCTCTCATGGTGATTTCGGGGCGATATATGTCCTCAGTACCCTATGCTGGTCTCCCATGGTGATTCCGGGGCGATATATGTCCTCAGTACCCTATGCTTGTCTCCCATGGTGTTCAGGGCGATATATGTCCTCAGTACCCTATGCTTGTCTCCCATGGTGATTTCGGGGCGATAAATGTCCCCAGTACCCCATGCTTGTCTCCCATGGTGTTCAGGGCGATATATGTCCTCAGTACCCTATGCTTGTCTCCCATGGTGATTCCGGGGCGATATATGTCCTCAGTACCCCATGCTGGTCACTCATGGTGATTTTAGGGCGATATATGTCCCTAGTATCCTATGCTGGTCTCCCATGGTGTTCAGGGCGATATATGTCCTCAGTACCCCATGCTGGTCTCTCATGGTGATTTTAGGGCGATATATGTCCCTAGTACCCCATGCTTGTCTCCCATGGTGTTCAGGGCGATATATGTCCCCAGTACCCTATGCTGGTCTCCCAAGGTGATTTCAGGGCAATATATGTCCTCAGTACACCAGGCTGGTCTCCCATGGTGATTTCAGGGCAATATATGTCCTCAGTACACCATGCTGGTCTCCATGGTGATTTCTGGTTTGACATAATAACTGAATACAGTAGCTTATTAACATTCATAACATGTATGCCGTGTCTTTCAGCGTGAATGTATCAGCGTCCACATCGGCCAAGCTGGCGTCCAGATCGGCAATGCATGCTGGGAGTTGTACTGTCTGGAGCACGGCATTCAGCCTGATGGTCAGATGCCCTCAGACAAGACCATCGGGGGTGTGGACGACTCCTTCAACACCTTCTTCAGCGAGACGGGGTCGGGGAAACACGTGCCCAGGGCCTTATTTATCGACACTGATAATTCTTCCGTTGGTGCGTTATAACGAAGTAAATATTCTGCAGCTGGCACAGATAGCCGGTAGCGCATTTATATGTATTATTATAAGAAATAGTAAAGCACTTTCTGCCGTTGAAGGTCGTCGACACATTCGCACCTGCAGCACATTCATTAGTCACGGGATGGTGGCCGATATAATTGTTTTACATAAATCATACTGGTCATACATTTTATTTGTATCCCGGGACCTTATTACCAGCAAAGGTCGCGCTTGTGGCATAGTCGCCAAAGGCGTCACAATTATCTGTGCGGAGTTGCGTCCCTTGGACACACCAGAAACCAATGATCGTCGGTTCGAATCCCAGTTCGACCCGATAATGTTTCTAGGTTTGTCAGCACCATATCCGTGCTCGTGGGTTTCACCGAAGTGGTAAACGCCCGAGACCTGCATCGATTCCGGTGTTCCTCCAACATTAAGCTGACACGTCGAGAAATAACTGGAATACTGTTCAACGAGGCGTTAATAACAACCCACTCACTCACTATTGTCAGCAAACGTCATTTTAACTGAAAATCCGGATATATGAATTTTACTTGTGTTTCCCCTCTTTCTGACGACAATACAAAATAGAGTGAGTGCGTGTGGTTTTACGCCACTTTTAGCAGTATTCCAGCGATATCACGGCGGGGGACACCACAAATGGGCTTCACACATTGTACCCACGTCGGGAATCGAACCCGGGTCTTCGGCGTGACGAGCGAACGCTTGAACCACTAGGCTACCCGATCGCCTCTCAGTGTGAAGACGTTCTCAACGGAAAGTCTCCAAAGTCTAAACTATTGGTGTATCACTATGCTAAATATGTGTGTGATAAAGGGGGCCAGTGTTGTGTTATGTGTACACATGTCTGTAGTTTTTTATATATAACAAGGGGCGGTCGGATAGCCTCGTGGCTAAAGTGTTCTCCCGTCACGCCGAAGGCCCGGGTTCGATTTCCAACATGAGTACAATGTGTGAAGCCCATTTCTGGTGTCCCACGCCGTGAAATTGCTGGAATATTGCTAATAGCGGCATAAAACCATACTCACACACTCACTAGATATAAAAGAATCCGATTTCTGCGTGCTTGTAATAATGAATGAATATGGTTTTACGCCGCTTTTAGCAATATTCCAGCAATATCACGGAAATGGGCTTTACACATTGTACCCATGTCGGGATTCGAACCCAGGTCTTCGGCGTGACGAGCGAACGCTTTAACCACAAGGCTACCCGACCGCCCCGCTTGCAATAAGAAATAACGGTTGTAAATTTCAGATGCGATCAGGAACGGATCCTACCGCCAATTGTTTGACCCCGAACTTCTGGCTAGCGGTAAGACTCACGCAGGAAGCCTTTATCCTAAGGGGTACAATATACTGGGCAGAAAACTTGACCGGATCCGGAAGCTGACTGAGCAGTGTAGTGACCTCCAGGGCTTCCTCCTATTTCACGGCGTCGGGGGCGGCACCGGCTCCGGCTTCACGTCTCTGTTGATGGAGAATCTGTCCGATATCTATGGCACCAAGGCAAAGCTGTCGTTCTCCGTGTACCCAACACCCCAGCTGTCTAACCAAGTCGTGGACCCCTACAACGCCGTTCTGTCCACCCACTCCCTTCTCCAACACTGTGACTGCGCCTTCATGGTCGACAACGAGGCTATATACGACATCTGCCGCCGTAACCTTGACATTGAAAGTCCTAAATTCGCCAACCTGAACAACGTGATTGCTCAGGTAACCAGCTCTGTCACTGCCCCTCTCCGATTCCACGGGGCCCTGAACGTGGATCTGAAAGCGATCCAAACCAACCTGGTTCCCCATCCACGAATCCGCTTCCCCATGGCGAGCTATGCGCCGATCACTAAGAAGGGCGGTGTCGGAACGGCCTCTGTGTCCGACATGACGAGCGCCTGTTTTAATCCCGACAACCAGATGGTCAGATGTGATCCGAGTCGCGCCAAGTACATGGCCTGCTGCCTCCAGTACCGCGGAGACTTCGCTTCCAATGAAGTAAACAGTGCTATACAGTCTGTCAAGGCGAAGGGGACAGCCAGGTTCGCCGATTGGTGTCCTACAGACTTCAAGGTCGGAATTCACGCGCAGGCGCCATCTACTTCCGCCGGAAGTGACCTTGCCAAGGTGGAGAGAGCTGTTTGCATGCTGAGCAACAACTCCGGTATCGCCAAGGCATGGGGTCGTCTCAGCCGCAAGTTTGATTTGATGTATGCCAAGCGTGCCTACCTCCACTTCTACGAGAGTGAGGCGATGGACATGAAACAATTTGGGGAGGCCCGTGAAGACTTGGCCTCCCTGGAGAATGATTACAAAAATATTGATTCCGGTTCATTTGACCCTAAGTTATAAACTGGAAAAAACAATCATAAAAATAAATAAATCATTTTATCCTACAGTAGGTGTGTAGTATCTTATAGGATGTTTATTTAACTATGCCCTTTCTATCGAGAAATTGTGTGAATTGTGTCAATAATTGAAATTGCTTGTGTAAATTGTCGCCTCAACAAGTTGTGTTTCTGGGTGTTTATATACGGATGCTTCTCTGAGAACAGAGATTCATAACAATAAATCTTAGCCTCTTTGAAACTCGAAAGCTTCTGTTTTAAATGTTTGTTGCTAAGATTGTGTGAGAGAGTGAGTGTTAGTTGGTTGGTTTGTTGTTTAACGCCGCACTCACCAATATTCCAGCTACATGACGGCGGTCGGTAAATAATCGAGTCTGGACCAGACAATCCAGTGATTGATATCATTTGATATCACGCAATTGGGATCAATGACATGCACCAACCACGTCAGCGAGCCTGACCATCCGATCCAATTTTTCGCCTCTTACGACAAGCATAGTCACCTAATGTGAATGAGTTTGGTTTAACGCCGCTATGAAATAGATTATCAGAACATCAATGGACAAAATACTTTCATGACATTTCCAAGCATCAGAATGTTTCTTGACAAATGCAGCAACGCTTACACCTTGAGGCGGTGGGATAGCCTAGTTGTTAGAGCATTCGCTCATTACGACGAAGTTCCGGGTTCGATTCCCCTCTTATGGGAACAATTGTGTGAAGCCCATTTCCGCAGTCCCAGCCGTGATATTACTGGAATATTGCTAAAAACAGCCTAAAACCAGACTCCCTCACTCCCTTACACAGTATGTGTCATTAACATGACCGAGAATAGGTCTTCAGCAACCCATGCTTGCCGTAAAAGGTGAGTATGCTTGTCGTAAAAGGCGACTAACGGGATCGGGTGGTCAGGCTCGCTGACTTGGTTGATGCATGTCATCGATCCCAAATGCGAGGATTGATGTTCATGGTATCAATCACTGGATTGTCTGGTCTAGACTCGATTATTTACAGACCGCCGTCATATAGCTGGAATATTGCTGAGTGCGGCGTTAAACAACAAACAAACAAACCAACCATTAACATGGCCGGGTGTGATTCAAGTCGTATTCAAGTTTGTCAGCTAACTCAAACGTTGAATCATCTTGCAGTTACTGGTAACCCCTAGCTTCACAGACGATGCCTCCATTTCCGACATGACAGTAATATCAGCGTCACACTTGATTGTTGTTCACCGATACCACAACCTTTCCATGACTCATGCTTATCTACATGTGGAGACTAAGATGAAACAGATAAAAGCAGATGCAATATCTTGAATGAACCGTGTTAGATGTGACGAATCGTCACATGGCGCTGGCCTGTTGCAGAGGTACTATGCTGGCCGCATGGAGATTTGGGTAGGAGAGTGCGTTGATACGTTACTCGTTCTTCAGTCGAATGCAAACCTGTTACGCATGACAAGCCCCTCGATACCTACCTGCTATTTCAGCGATTGTATCATGAGCAAGTATTTATGCAATAAAACTTAAATAAACCAAAAAATCATTATCTACTCTTCTTTTCTTATTCCGTTTATCGTCTTTTACCGTAGTTGATGTAGTGGAGGTCAAGTCACTTAGTCACTCGCTCGTTAAAAACGTCTTGAACAACTCGCGTAGTAATTTTTATTTCATATCGGTCACCATTCTGTACAAATTATCCTATCCAATGCTGTTACCAGTGTGTTCTGTCGAGCGTGTGTTTCGATTGACGTGATTTCTTCATCATGTGCCTGATGGCCACAGTCAGATATGTGATGCAAGCATGGTGACCTAGTCTGAATTGGACACAGTCAGATATGTGAAACAAGCATGGTGACCAAGTCTGATGGACACAGTCAGATATGTGATGCAAGCATGGTGACCAAGTCTGATGGACACAGTCAGATATGTGATGCAAGCATGGTGACCAAGTCTGATGTACACAGTCAGATATGTGATGCAAGCATGGTGACCAAGTCTGATGGACACAGTCAGATATGTGATGCAAGCATGGTGACCAAGTCTGATGTACACAGTCAGATATGTGATGCAAGCATGATGACCAAGTCTGATGGACACAGTCAGATATGTGATGCAAGAATGGTGACCAAGTCTGATGGACACAGTCAGATATGTGATGCAAGCATGGTGACCAAGTCTGATGGACACAGTCAGATATGTGATGCAAGCATGATGACCAAGTCTGATGGCCACAGTCAGATATGTGATGCAAGCATGGTGACCAAGTCTGATGTACACAGTCAGATATGGGATGCAAGCATGGTGACCAAGTCTGATGGCCACAGTCAGATATGTGATGCAAGCATGGTGACCAAGTCTGATGGCCACAGTCAGATATGTGATGCAAGCATGGTGACCAAGTCTGATGGACACAGTCAGATATGTGATGCAAGCATGGTGACCAAGTCTGATGGACACAGTCAGATATGTGATGCAAGCATGGTGACCAAGTCTGATGGACACAGTCAGATATGTGATGCAAGCATGGTGACCAAGTCTGATGGCCACAGTCAGATATGTGATGCAAGCATGGTGACCAAGTCTGATGGCCACAGTCAGATATGTGATGCAAGCATGGTAACCAAGTCTGATGGCCACAGTCAGATATGTGATGCAAGCATGGTGACCAAGTCTGATGGCCACAGTCAGATATGTGATGCAAGCATGATGACCAAGTCTGATGGCCACAGTCAGATATGTGATGCAAGCATGGTGACCAAGTCTGATGGCCACAGTCAGCTATGTGAGGCAAGCATGGTGACCAAGTCTGATGGCCACAGTCAGATATGTGATGCAAGCATGATGACCAAGTCTGATGGCCACAGTCAGATATGTGATGCAAGCATGGTGACCAAGTCTGATGGACACAGTCAGCTATGTGAGGCAAGCATGGTGACCAAGTCTGATGGCCACAGTCAGATATGTGATGCAAGCATGGTGACCAAGTCTGATGGACACAGTCAGATATGTGATGCAAGCATGGTGACCAAGTCTGATGGCCACAGTCAGATATGGGATGCAAGCATGATGACCAAGTCTGATGGCCACAGTCAGATATGGGATGCAAGCATGGTAACCAAGTATGATGGACACAGTCAGATATGGGATGCAAGCATGGTAACCTAGTCTGACGGCCACAGTCAGATATGTGATGCAAGCATGATGACCAAGTATGATGGACACAGTCAGATATGGGATGCAAGCATGATGACCAAGTATGATGGACACAGTCAGATATGGGATGCAAGCATGGTAACCTAGTCTGACGGCCACAGTCAGATATGTGATGCAAGCATGATGACCAAGTATGATGGACACAGTCAGATATGGGATGCAAGCATGGTAACCTAGTCTGACGGCCACAGTCAGATATGTGATGCAAGCATGGTGACCAAGTCTGATGGACACAGTCAGATATGTGATGCAAGCATGGTGACCAAGTCTGATGGCCACAGTCAGATATGTGATGCAAGCATGATGACCAAGTATGATGGACACAGTCAGATATGGGATGCAAGCATGGTGACCAAGTCTGATGGACACAGTCAGATATGTGATGCAAGCATGGTGACCAAGTCTGATGGACACAGTCAGATATGTGATGCAAGCATGGTGACCAAGTATGATGGACACAGTCAGATATGGGATGCAAGCATGGTAACCTAGTCTGACGGCCACAGTCAGATATGTGATGCAAGCATGGTGACCAAGTCTGATGGACACAGTCAGATATGGGATGCAAGCATGGTGACCAAGTATGATGGACACAGTCAGATATGGGATGCAAGCATGGTAACCTAGTCTGACGGCCACAGTCAGATATGTGATGCAAGCATGGTGACCAAGTCTGATGGCCACAGTCAGATATGTGATGCAAGCATGGTGACCAAGTCTGATGGCCACAGTCAGATATGGGATGCAAGCATGATGACCAAGTATGATGGACACAGTCAGATATGGGATGCAAGCATGGTAACCTAGTCTGACGGCCACAGTCAGATATGTGATGCAAGCATGGTGACCAAGTCTGATGGCCACAGTCAGATATGTGATGCAAGCATGGTGACCAAGTCTGATGGCCACAGTCAGATATGGGATGCAAGCATGATGACCAAGTCTGATGGATACAGTCAGCTATGTGATGCAAGCATGGTGACCAAGTCAAATGGACACAGTCAGATATGCGATGCAAGCATGGTGACCTAGCCTGAAGGACACGGTCAGATATGTGATGCAAGCATGGTGACCAAGTCAAATGGACACAGTCAGATATGCGATGCAAGCATGGTGACCAAGTCTGATGGACACAGTCAGATATGTGATGCAAGAATGGTGACCAAGTCTGATGGACACAGTCAGATATGTGATGCAAGCATGGTGACCAAGTCTGATGGACACAGTCAGATATGTGATGCAAGAATGGTGACCAAGTCTGATGGACACAGTCAGATATGTGATGCAAGAATGGTGACCAAGTCTGATGACCACAGTCAGATATGTGATGCAAGCATGGTGACCAAGTCTGATGGCCACAGTCAGATATGTGATGCAAGCATGGTGACCAAGTCTGATGGACACAGTCAGATATGTGATGCAAGAATGGTGACCAAGTCTGATGGACACAGTCAGATATGTGATGCAAGCATGGTGACCAAGTCTGATGGACACAGTCAGATATGTGATGCAAGCATGGTGACCAAGTCTGATGACCACAGTCAGATATGTGATGCAAGCATGGTGACCAAGTCTGATGGCCACAGTCAGATATGTGATGCAAGCATGGTGACCAAGTCTGATGGACACAGTCAGATATGGGATGCAAGCATGGTGACCAAGTCTGATGGACACAGTCAGATATGTGATGCAAGAATGGTGACCAAGTCTGATGGACACAGTCAGATATGTGATGCAAGCATGGTGACCAAGTCTGATGACCACAGTCAGATATGTGATGCAAGCATGGTGACCAAGTCTGATGGCCACAGTCAGATATGTGATGCAAGCATGGTGACCAAGTCTGATGGACACAGTCAGATATGTGATGCAAGCATGGTGACCAAGTCTGATGGACACAGTCAGATATGTGATGCAAGAATGGTGACCAAGTCTGATGGACACAGTCAGATATGTGATGCAAGCATGGTGACCAAGTCTGATGGACACAGTCAGATATGTGATGCAAGCATGGTGACCAAGTCTGATGACCACAGTCAGATATGTGATGCAAGCATGGTGACCAAGTCTGATGGCCACAGTCAGATATGTGATGCAAGCATGGTGACCAAGTCTGATGGACACAGTCAGATATGTGATGCAAGCATGGTGACCAAGTCTGATGGCCACAGTCAGATATGTGATGCAAGCATGGTGACCAAGTCTGATGGACACAGTCAGATATGTGATGCAAGCATGGTGACCAAGTCTGATGGACACAGTCAGATATGGGATGCAAGCATGGTGACCAAGTCTGATGGACACAGTCAGATATGTGATGCAAGCATGGTGACCAAGTCTGATGGCCACAGTCAGATATGGGATGCAAGCATGGTAACCTAGTCTGACGGCCACAGTCAGATATGTGATGCAAGCATGGTGACCAAGTCTGATGGCCACAGTCAGATATGTGATGCAAGCATGGTGACCAAGTCTGATGGACACGGTCAGATATGTGATGCGAGCATGGTGACCAAGTCTGATGGACACAGTCAGATATGTGATGCAAGCATGGTGACCAAGTCTGATGGCCACAGTCAGATATGGGATGCGAGCATGGTGACCAAGTCTGATGGCCACAGTCAGATATGTGATGCAAGCATGGTAACCTAGTCTGATGGCCACAGTCAGATATGTGATGCAAGCATGATGACCAAGTCTGATGGCCACAGTCAGATATGTGATGCAAGCATGGTGACCAACTCTGATGGCCACAGTCAGATATGTGATGCAAGCATGGTGACCAAGTCTGATGGCCACAGTCAGCTATGTGATGCCAGCATGGTGACCAAGTATTGATGGACTCATTAAGATATGGGATGCAAGCACGATGACCAAGTATTGATTGACACAGTCAGATATGTGATGCAAGTATCATGATCACGTCTGATATACACAGTCAGATATGTTATGCAAGCATGATGATCACGTCAAACAGTCAGATATGTGATAAATGCAAGATATGTCACAGGGATCCTGTGTGTTGTCGTGTGTTGTCGTGGACATTGTAGTTTGAAACATATAAAAGATATTTCTGCTACATAATACTTATGATGATGATGCTGCTACTACTACATATTAAGCATATATGATTCAACACAGTGCTCAAATCGCATGAAATCGGGTCTATTCAAATTCATTCTCAGCTCCCTGAGGAGAATCCTGCTGTTCCTGGCGAAAGGTGTTTTCATATTAACCACGCACCTGTATCACACTTTAAAGGCGGACCACGACAGAGTAAATCGGCCGCCCCAGCAAGTTTGATTCATTCCCTCAAAGACAGTCTAATGTGTGTGTGCACGTGTGTCAACACTAAATGTACCTTTCACACTGTCGGGTGCCATGTGACATCACGTGCACTGACCTAGGTCGAGTTTTAACCCCCTTGCCAGTGTTAGCGTGAAAGCAATTATATGCACATAGCTCATAAAGTCTGAATTTTCACATGTCCATCGCCTATTCCGATATGATATATCCAAGTATGTACATGTATTTCTCAGCCCCATGCCTTTGTAGCCTATTGAACAGTGTGTTACGAGTGAGTAATTGTGTAATACTATGGATTTATACCACTTTTATCAATATTCCGGAAAATTACGACGGGGACACCGGAAAATGGGCTTCGCACATTGTACCCATGTGGGGAATCGAAACTGGATCTTCCACTTGACGAGCGAAGCTTGAACCATTACCCAAGTGTGTTATTAAAAGTGTTTGACTACATTGCTGACACACCACAGTACTATTTGTTTGTTTGTTTGTTTGTTGTTTAACGCCGCAGTCAGAAATATTCCAGCTATATGGCGGCGGTCTGTAAATAATCGAGTCTGGAGCAGACTGACATGATGAAGATCGATCCACGCAATTGGGACACCATGACATGCATCAATCAAGTCAGCGAGCCTGACCACCCGATCCCGTTAGTCGCCTTTTACGACATGCAAAGTCTCCTTTTACGGTAAGCATGGGTTGCTGAAGACCTATTCTACCCCACCACAACACTACATTGGCTTCCAGACTATAGGCTGGATATATGGACACCTCAACGTTGAGTAGACCCCTGTGAGACTAATCAACACTGATGAATGTTCGTGTCTTACTTGAAAAAAATAAAATCTACACATGTTATGTTTATCAATGACAGTGTTTTCCCATAACAAATCGTCAACCGATGGAAATGGTCGCCGCGCATGACTCAGATGTTTTCTGCTGGTAAATCTTGCAAAACCCCAGCAGCCGCTGAATTAACTCTTCACATTGACGTTCACGCTGTGCGTTTGTTTTATGCGTTAGAGAATATTTAACCAAGGGGCTGCCAACATCGAGAAGTTAAAAATTCGACAATATTCCAAACATTTTGAACAACACACTCCCTCCACCAAGCCAGACGCCGATGACAAATATCGCGGTCTGCGAGTACTACAGCTAACAACCAATCAAAACACTCGTTACATTTAGCTCGCGGTGACCTATTTCCGAGGTGTATAAAACTTGACGTCAATGGCTAGGCTTTCATTTTCGTCAGACCTGCCGACTCACTGAAGATCTTTATGTCTGTGTGAGAACAGGTTATCTGCACCGGTTTAAATATCCTCTCCAAGGATTTCTCTTTAAATCTGCAATATGGTGAGTAGTGATTTTAGTCGATATAATATTTTGCGCATTGTCTCCAATAGATCCGCTCTGTGTCTATGCTTGTAACATCATCAGTATAATTTATTGCAGAAGAATCGTACCATGCTCACATATAGACATCTGTTGATGTTTAGGACAAAGTCGTTGATGATCCAAACGGTTGGCAATGTGATAAAGCAAGGATAAATATATTTTCAATTTTAGTTTTGGAAATACACGTATTTGAAAATATTTTACATCTATTTCAATAATATATGAAAAAGCATCCATGTCCCGTTTGACCCGCGCCTGGTCCTGTCACATACTCGATGTTCCCTTTGAGTGGAAGTGCGAATTTTGGTTTAGGCGTTAACACGTACTCTCGTTTAATACGTTCACAATATGTCTCCAATTTTATAGAAATTCAAAGGTATCGACAGGTATTTTATACGTTATGATGCTGCAAGATAATGTATGTGCATATAATACCACCATACACTTATCACGGTATTATTCCTGTCTTACATATATTATTAATAAAACAAACATAACTACCTTCATTTTAAACGCGGTAATGTTTATGAAACAATTTATGACGTCATTGTCTAGACAATTTGCAATAGCTTCAACAGACGGACAGTTCTGAACTATGACATGACGATGATGATGCGTATAGCCGTATGTAGATGGTTTGAGGATCACTGAAAGTCCTTTTTCAAATGTTAGAGGGGGCACGGGTGGCCCAGTCGTCTAAGGCGCCGCGATTCGCTGTGCAGAATTGCGTCCCTTGGGCACGCCAGAAACCTCTGATTGTGGGTTCGAATCCCGGTTCGCCCCGATTATGTTTCTAGGTTTGTCAGCACCATACCCGTGCTCGTGGGTTTCACCGAAGTGGTACACGTCTGAGACCTGCATCACTTCGGGCTTTCCTCCCACATTAAGCTGACACGCCGCGATATAACTGGAATATTGTTAAAAGCGGCGTTAAACCCAACTCACTCACTCACTCCAAATGTTAGACCGTTGATGTCGTGTGTGGTTGAATGAATATGCGCGGAACTCGGCAATTCCAAGAACCAATTACAGGTACAGGTGGCCCAAATCGTCTAAAGCGCTGCAATTCGATACCTTCTAAGTTGCTTCCTAAAGCCGTCTAGCAATTTGTGATCGTGGTTTCGAAGCCCGGTTCGTCCTGGTCGTGTTTTAAGGTGGGTCAGCACCATGTCCGTGCTCGTGGGCTTGACCAAAGTGGTGCACGTCTTAGACATGATTCACGGGCTTTCATACCGCGACAAACTTGATATAACTGAAATACTGTTCAAACAACGATAAACCAAACGTTCACAGCAAAGATCTGTCCATAAACGGTTTTTCAATTTGAGCAACTTAGCACAAAGTATGTACCAAGGATGTTACTTCCGTATCGCCATATTGGACCCGTGAAGATCCGGGGTAGAATAGGTCTTCAGCAACCCATGCTTGCCGTAAAAGGCGACTATGCTTGTCGTAAAAGGCGATTAAAGGGATCGGGTGGTCAGGCTTCAGGCTTCAGGCTCTCCTCCCACATCAAGCTGACACACCATGATATAACTGGAATACTGTTAAAAGCGGCGTTAATCCCAACTCACTCACTGTCCGATGTCCCTATTTGTGAAGTATCCCTGGGAGGAATCGGTTTGAACAGGTTTCAAGCAATCGATGCGGGTTGTGCAAGATAACTTAACGAATCACGTTGACTCAATGAATGGCATGTCATCATACCCCAGCAGCATGGGTCGTCGCTCGGGTCATTACAGATTTGGCTGGTACAAATGGTCTTCCGCAACACAACACGTGTGATCAGGTGGTCAGGCTCAGCGACTTGGTTCATGCATGTCACCGTATCCCAATTGCGTGGTTGCCGTAAAAGGTGACTATGCTTGTCGTGAAAGGCGACTAACGGGATCGGGTGGTCAGGCTCGCTGACTTGGTTGATGCATGTCATCGATCCCAATTGCGTGGATCGATGCTCATGATGTAAATCACTGGATTGTCAGACCGCCATCATATAGCTTGAATATTGCTGGGTGCGGCGTAAAACAACAAACAAACAAACAAACTGCCATATTGTTTTACAACTCGCTCCCTCAAGGACTCGCCCATGACGTTGTTGACAACAAAGTGACACAGTTCCTTGCTTTTCTCGTCAATGAATAATAGATAAATAGTTGTCTTTAATTATGTGTGATTCAAGAGGTTGAATCGTTGAATTAGAAATAATTGCAGGAATACCTGTCAAACAATCGCAATAGGACACATGTAGAAGCAATCTGGCATGTGGTTGGTTCTGTTTACTGGAAGTATGAATTGGCTACCAAGATGGTTACTTTATATTGGTTTGTGGAACATGTTGCGAGTTGTCCCCCAAGCGGAAGGGCGACATCAGACTTTTTGTTGGTTGGTTTGTTGTTTAACGCCGCACTCAGCAATATTCCAGCTATATGACGGCGGTCTGTAAATAATCGAGTCTGGACCAGACAATCCAGTGATTGACAACATGAGCATCGATCCACGCAATTGGGACCGATGACATGCATCAACCAAGTCAGCGAGCCTGACCACCCGATCCCGTTAGTCGCCTTTTACCACAAGCATAGTCACGGACTATAAGTAAAAATGTCTGAACCGTCAGGTGAAGGACGATTAAACTTTACACCTAACTAATTTCCTGGCTTACACAACTGAACCACGGCCAGCAGAACGCATGATGTTTGATGGTGGCTACGATGAAATATACAAGAATTGTATACAGTAAACTACGGCTAAAACGAACACGCTTATAACGAACTGACGGATATAAGGAACTTACTTTTTTGGTCCCGACTATTTGCTGTAGTTATGCTGTATATATGCTTATAACGAACTACGGTTATAACGAACTAAAATTAGCAGTCCCTTTGAGTTCGTTATAACCGTACTTTACTGTATTTGATAGTGGTGTATTTGATACGCGTATCATAGTTATGTAGTGGACCTTAAATCCTTCATCGACTGTTTTTGACCTAGTAACGATTTGATAAAGTTTGTATTTTTGTGTTCAAATCCAATTTTCAAGTATATACTTTCTTTTGCCTAGCAGTTTATATTCGTATTCTTTATTAAACTAACGTTACAGCATCCTTCATTACCATGTCTCACGAGTGCACTGTTATATTCATAAATCAATTATACAACCCCATCGGACTATTGGCATAACACGTTGTTTCAAGAACACCACAAAACCAGATGCACTCACACACTGCATTGCTTATTTCTCAATTTATGGTTACCATGGCAACCCGCAGTCGTAAGTGGTGGAACCAGACTCTCTTGAGCTAAAGGTTACAACACCGTGAACACGTCCGCCAAACCAGGAGACGGAATTTCAAATAAAAGAATTTCATTAGCCCTAAAATAAACAAATTCAGTTTATGAAGATGTCCTCAACATGCATTGTTCCGTCCATCAGTGAATTACGACGCCGGTAAACGAACTGCGAACTCCACCACTTTCACTCGGGAGGCTGCTGGAGCTAGCGGCGGATCGATACCGGGAGAAGCGGTCGCTCTGTCCTCCTGGTAGAAGACTTAACAGCATCCGCGTAATTAGTCCCCGTCCTATGAACCAAGAGTGAGTGAGTGAGTGGGTTGGATTTAACAACGCTTTAAACAGTATTCCAGTTACATCACGGCGTGTCAGCTTGGAGGAAAGACCAAAGTGATTCATGATCAGGTCTTAGACGTTTACTACTTTGGTGAAACCTACGAGCACGGGTATGGTGTTGACCAACCAAGAAACATAACCGGGGCGAACTGGGATTCGAACCCACACTCATAGGTTTCTGGCTACCCAAGCACAGCTGACCACTGGGCCCCCTGTGCTGTTTTTAGACGTTTACCGCTTTTGTGAAAACCACGTGCACGATTCAGGATCAGACAAACGTGTTGTCCTCGCCACTTTCAAATAGAATCACGAAATATCGCGATGAATAATTGAGGAAGATAGCTGTATATGATCAAAATACTTATATAGTGAAAACAATCTATTCCGCCGGTAAGGAATATTACATACAGTATTGGCAAACACATCGAAACTTTGTCGGGGCGACCGGACTTCGAGCCCACATCATAGGTGTCTGGCGTGCCCAAGGGTACGCAACTCTGCACGACGCATTGTGGCGCCTTTGACGACCGGGCCACCCCCGGGAGACCATGAACACAGTAAGGTTTGGTTTAAAAACCTACCAAGAAATATCGATTTAGAAAGTTAAAACAAACTTGACCGAACGTGCAGAATGCGTTTGCACGTAAGAGATGAGATGTGTATATTTGATTATATGACTGCTTCCCTGAAGACAAAGTTAAGGGTAAGAAATTCAATCAGTAGCTGGTGAGAAATGTAATAACTGAATTACCATAATTCTAAACAGTTCCACATGTCTCAGCCAGTCACAGTTAATAATTAAACGATGACCTCCAAAGTTAGTTATGCAAATTGTGTGAGTGGCGCGTTCTACCGGTAGAGTGGGACATGCATACCCTTTTCGCGAACACCTGGTGTCGTTACAGATAGGCAGTGATCCATTCATATATGACCCATTCATATAACTCCCACAACTATTTTGGACTGTACGCCCAGTTGGATCTGTTTCGTCGGATAGTCGAAACAAACTAGTTTTATATTTACGAAAAAACAAACAGAAAGCCATAGCCATTTCATTGGGGCCCAAAGAGATTTGTTTGTTGTTTAACACCCCACTCAGCAATATTTCAGCTGTATGACGCGGTCTGTAAATAAATTATCTGGACCAGGCACACCAGTGATTGACATCATGAGCATCAATCTACGCAACTGGGATACGATGACATGCATCAACCAAGCCTGAGCCTGACAACTAGATCCCGTTAAAGAATTGTTTTCTGAAGACCAATCATAACCCTAATTTTCAGAGGGAAGTCCAAAAATGAAAATCCATAGGTGTTTCCATATATAACGCAGATATGCAGCTTGTCTAAAGGTGCGTATTCCAAATTCGGTCGCTCTCAACAATGTGGTGTCTTTAACTGTGGCAAGCAAATTTGTTTTTAAAATTCAAATATTTTTTGTCGTTTTAGCGTGAATGTATCAGCGTCCACATCGGCCAAGCTGGCGTCCAGATCGGCAATGCATGCTGGGAGTTGTACTGTCTGGAGCACGGCATCCAGCCTGATGGTCAGATGCCCTCAGACAAGACCATCGGGGGTGTGGACGACTCCTTCAACACCTTCTTCAGCGAGACGGGGTCGGGGAAACACGTCCCTCGGGCCGTCTTCGTTGATCTGGAGCCAACGGTTGTAGGTGAGTTTGAACTGAGTTAAATACCGTGACAGAGAATGTGAGTCTCAGATACGTCATTCCTTTGGGGAGCTTCTGTACCTTGGATACTTGGATCCTCTTTCTAAAACAGTGTGGAAGACACAAATGACCACACGCACCCACAGACGCAGACACACGCACTCACACACAAAGAGACACAAACACAGACATACACACGCGCGCACACACACACGCCTACACACACACACACACACACGCCTACACACACACAAACACAGACATACACACGCACACGCACGCACACACACGCACGCACACACAAACGCACTCACACACAAAGAGACACAAACACAGACATACACACGCCTACACACACACACACGCGCGCACACACGTCTACACACACACACACACACACACACACACACACATACAGTGACACTTACACTCATGGACACACAACACACACAAACACACAAAACACACAGAACCACATACACACACAGACACGCTCAACACACACAGAGACACTTACACTCATAGACACACAACACACACATACACACAGAGAACCATATACACACACAGACACGCTCAACACATACATAGACACTTACACTCATAGACACACAACACACACAAACACACAGAGAACCATATACACACACAGACACGCTCAGCACATACATAGACACTTACACTCATAGACACACATACACACACAACACACAGAGAACCATATACACACACAGACACGCTCAACACATACATAGACACTTACACTCATAGACACACATACACACACATACACACAGAGAACCATATACACACACAGACACGCTCAACACATACATAGACACTTACACTCATAGACACACAACACACACAACACACAGAGAACCATATACACACACGCACACACACACACACACACACACACACACACACACACACACACACACACACACACACACACACACACAGAGTGGTCGCACAGTATCAGTAAAACACTTATTGGAGAGCGCACAAGGAACCAGTAACGCATGGGTGACACACTGATATGATAATTTCAGCTCTCCAGATAACATATTTACAAAAATATGCTCTATTTTTTATCTGAATTATTAACAGCTGCAAATCCCTCTGTCAGATTTAAGCTCGTTTAGCTTATGTGCTGAGCACACTACGAAACGATGCCAGCAGACTAGACCAGTAGGGCTGGCGACGCCAGAATGGAGTTTCGCGTCTATATCGATCACAATGACCAATAATCGTTTCGGTTTGAGAACTTCGGCGATCCTTGACGATATCAATTCCTACTTAAGAACACACATTGCTGAGATTAGAAGCTGAGTTCTCTCAACGTGAGATATTCCCCCGAGAACAGGGTGAGCTGTGACACCCAATAAAGGAACAAATGTCGTGTAATTAGGTGTACACTCATGAATATTTAAACGATTCTCAACAAATACGGAAATACTGACGACCGTAACCTTCATAATTTGATAACTGAATATTTACTTTGGAAAACGCAGTTAAGCCTGCTCCACAAGGTGGAGTGTGTTTTCCTGTGTGACTGCCGTGGTGAACGTGCCCCCCTAGTTTGGTGCCAGGGTGTTCAAGATTCGGTCGTAATAAATTCTTGCTGGAATGTTGGGGATATTCAATTCTCCGCTGAATCGATTTGTTTGTTTGTTTGTTGTTTAACGCCGCACTCACAATATTCCAGCTATATGGCGGCGGTCTGCAAATAATCGAATCTAGACCAGACAATCCAGTGATTGATATCATGAGCATCGATCTACCTAATTGGGATACGATGATAAACAACAACCGCTTAAACGAGCCTGACCACCCGATCCCGTTAGTTGCCTCTTACAGCAAGCATAGGTTACTGAAAACCAATTCGAACTTGGTTTTGAATCGGTAATAACTGAATCACTTCAGATGCGATTAACGGGATCGGGTGGTCAGGCTCGCTGACTTGGTTGATGCATGTCATCGATCCCAATTGCGTGGGTCGATGTTCATGATGTCAATCACTGGATTATCTGGTCAAGACTCGATTATTTACAGACCGCCGTCATATAGCTGGATTATTGCTGAGTGCGGCGTTAAACAACAAATAAACAAACACAGTCGCAGTAGAAGGGTGATTCTGCAATAGACTTGATACAGTCTGTTTGCCGAATGCCAAAATTAAATCAAAGCTGTGCAACTGCTGACAATTTCTCAGAATAAAATACACCTGGCTGCCCAGTTTTTACATTGTATGTTACCACATTGAGTGAGTGAGTGAGTTTGGTTTTACGCCGCTTTTAGCAATACTCAAGCAATATCACGGCGGGGGACACCAGAAAAGGGCTTCACACATTTTACCCATGTCGGGAATCGAACCCGGGTCTTCGACTTGACGAGCGAACGCTTTAACCACTAGGCTACCCAACCGCCCCTACCACATTGAAAATCCGCTGGCGGGCACAATATACATGTATACTACTCAAACAAGTTAAGGAACGCCCGATTCTTTCATATCACTGTGGTTAATCTGTCTTTACCTTGGAGAAGTAGCGATCAATATTTCACCGAGAACCAGTACTTGTAATACTAAATTTGTAACCTGTGTCAGGATCGGGGTGTTATATGGCAAACTAGATACGTCACAACCTTATCAAACATTTAATATTCACCCGCCCCTCCCTCTAGTGTGGACCAACAAGAGTGCTTGAGTATGGTTTTACGCCGCTTTCAGCAATATCACGGCGGGGGACACCGGAAATGGGCTTCACACATTGTACCGATGTGGGGAATCGAACCCGGGTCTTTGGCGTGACGAGCGAACACTTTAAACCACCCCCCCCACCCCCCACCCCCCCCCCCCACCCCCCACCCCCCCACACATACACACCACCCACCCACCCACCCACCCGACCCCCCACCTGCGCTTTACATATTATATTGCATAATGCCTCGATGACAGCATGTGGAGCCGTATAACATTGTCATCAAGGGATAAATACAAAATAGGAAATAGTTGTTCACGCTTTAGGACATTTTCTCATTTAAAGGTAACCATTTTATGACATTTTTTATCTAAATGTGAAGACATTTAATATTTAAAACTGACGAGAACATGTGTAATTTGTTGAATGGACTGTGTCAGATGTGACGAATATCGCTGGACTGTGTCAGAGGTACAAGGTTGACCGCAAGGAACTCTGGGTAGGAGTATGAGCTTAATTGCGTAAAGTAATTCAGAAAATAATTATCTCCAGTGTCAAGTGTTTGTGTATTACAGATGAGGTCCGTTCCGGCTCCTACCGACAACTGTTCCACCCCGAGCAGCTCATCACCGGCAAGGAGGACGCCGCCAACAACTACGCTCGTGGACACTACACCATCGGCAAAGAGATCGTCGACCTCGTCCTTGACCGCATCAGGAAGTTGGCTGACCAGTGCACCGGTCTCCAGGGCTTCCTGCTGTTCCATAGCTTCGGTGGCGGCACTGGCTCCGGCTTCACCTCTCTGTTGATGGAGAGACTGTCCGTCGACTACGGCAAGAAGTCCAAGTTGGAGTTCTCAGTCTACCCCGCTCCTCAGATCTCCACCGCCGTCGTGGAGCCCTACAACTCCATCCTGACAACCCACACCACCCTGGAACACTCCGACTGCGCCTTCATGGTCGACAACGAGGCCATCTTCGACATCTGCAAGCGTAACCTCGACATTGAGCGCCCAAGCTATACTAACCTGAACCGTCTGATTGGCCAGATTGTCAGCTCCATCACTGCGTCTCTCCGTTTCGACGGTGCACTGAACGTGGATCTGACTGAGTTCCAGACCAACTTGGTGCCATACCCACGTATCCACTTCCCTCTGGCTACCTACGCCCCGGTAATTTCTGCAGAAAAGGCCTACCACGAGCAACTGTCTGTGCCCGAAATCACTAATGCTTGTTTCGAGCCCGCCAACCAGATGGTCAAGTGTGACCCTCGTCACGGCAAGTACATGGCCTGCTGTCTTCTGTACCGCGGTGATGTTGTCCCCAAGGACGTCAACGCTGCTATCGCTACCATCAAGACCAAGAGAAGCATCCAGTTCGTCGACTGGTGTCCCACTGGGTTCAAGGTCGGCATCAACTACCAGCCACCCACTGTTGTCCCCGGCGGTGACTTGGCCAAGGTCCAGAGAGCTGTCTGCATGTTGAGCAACACCACGGCCATCGCCGAGGCATGGGCTCGTCTTGACCACAAGTTCGACCTGATGTACGCCAAGCGTGCCTTCGTCCACTGGTACGTGGGTGAGGGTATGGAGGAAGGAGAGTTCTCCGAGGCCCGTGAGGACTTGGCTGCTCTGGAGAAGGACTACGAGGAGGTTGGAGTCGACTCAATAGAAGGCGAAGGAGAAGGAGGGGATGAATACTAAATGTTGGAAAAGGTTGTGACGTATCTATTCTTCCATATTACAATGCGGGGTGACCCACAGTATACGTCCGAACAGGTTGACCAAGAAGTGGGCCAATCCATCCTCGATTGTCCTGGGTATGATATCTCTATTCCGGTAGGGTATAAACCCTGGACTAATTCGCCACGTTAGTTTCACACTGAGGCCGGTTTGAATGACACGACTCTGCACCAACCAAATTACACTGTTTATCCGTAATTTATACAACCAACGGTATAAACAGTTGATTATGATGTTAATCACTGGATTGTCAACGTCGCTATATAAGTGCAATAATCTTGGACGCGACGTTAAACCCAATTTAACGATACCATGACATCGAATGTAGATGTATTTTGATTGTTGTTCATTACAAACTCATTGGCGAGAGAACTTCTCTGCTAAGTGAGTGATAAGACGAACAAGGCTATGGTGGCGTATGATCCAGGAAATTGATAACAGAGTGGAGATACAATACGCTGGATAATCGAGGGTGGAGCCAACCAGAAATTGCTCAAAATTCGATTGCTTCATGCTTCATGCTTCATACAGATCATGGTACTGTTTATATTCGGAAAACATTAAATCCGTGTTTCTTAAAGCTCTAAACACGTGCGCATTAGTCCCTGATTTCCGTCAGTCACGGTAGCAACACGTGTCTCCCCGACATTCGTAAGTCACGAAGGGACTTCCCTATTGGTCAGAACATAATTGTGTGTCTTGGGTATCGTCGCTTATTTTATTGAAGTAGTGACGGAGTTCATTGGTATTCTCAACAACAGCTCAAAACTAAAACCAAAGCAGCAAAAGATATTTAAAACAAAAACGACTAAAAGGTGTGGTCACTAATCGAGTATTCAACCGAACCGGTTGATCGCTAGATAAGAGCCGGAAATAAGGTCGGGTCAATTGTCTTGACCCGGAAGTAGTATGCATTGTCAAGGTCACGTATACTGGGGTCAGCCCTGCACTTGCTTCTTTGCAACCAAAGGATCAAAATAACTTAAGTTAAAGCACCATGTGTGTCAACGCTTTACACTGTTTGTTTTGTCAGATTATTTATCAAAGCAAATGTTCTAGTTTTAGTTTTTTTTATAGTGTTGCAATATGACGTATTTTACCTCCACATTTACGGTATTTGAATACAAGTCTTTTGATGGAATAAAGGAGTTGGTTGTTTTTTCAACACCCGATCCACAAACCGGAGCTTCGCACTGGACAGTGTAACCTCGTTCGATGGATTTTTCGAAACATTTCGAGTCATTCATGGTTCGAGACAAGCGAAGTACCTATATTGCACGTAAAATCCTGTACACCCTGCTAGCGACGCATGTAACACACGTTACATATTCTCGTTAAAATCAGATCGTAGTGCTCGCTACCGCTAAACAAAGATGTTAAGACATCCTATTAATACAGGTCAGCCAAAACGACCGTCAGCGAATTTTGACCAAGTGAGACAACAGCTTTCTCGAGCTACACGGGTCTAGTTTCAAACTGGGTACTTCCATTCCAGACAATGCGCTTCCAAAATATGTTGACAAAGTTCTCGACTCAAAATTTGAAAGCTGAATATAAGAAAATTGTGGAATGTCTAATATATAATCTCATCTATCGATGTGACTCCCGACATCTTCCCGAGGCAAGGGAGTTAACTGACTTTAAAGTCCAGTTTCATCCCTTGCCGAACTAGGCTGGAATTCCTGGGCTCTATCGTAGCGCCACCAGTGGCTATTACGAGTGATGTCCTTTCTATGCCTCTCCTTTAGACCAATCAGATTCCACCTCTCGTATCACTTGCATTTGCTTGAAACAAAACAGTGGCGCCCAGTCAAGACGATCTGATCGATAATCAAGGTCTATGTTTTGATAAAACGGGTCTTACATCGCGCAATGCATGAGCATCTTGATTAAAAACATGAAAAGACTTGGAAAATATCTGTTGACAACGAGTTGGCGGTGCACATGCTTTGCAAATCCTGCAATTGACCGAAATCTGCAGGACAGTTTACGAACCGGATTTCGATTTCGATGCACGATTATGATTGGACTATGCATAGACTCGTTAGTTCAGCCAAAATGTAACTCCATAATACCAGCCTAGTTCGGCAAGGGTGGAAACTAAAACATTTTTAGTCAGTTAACTCACTTGCCTCGGGAAGATGGCTCCCGAGTGCTGTCATCATTCACGACGAAGCAGCAACTGTTCGTTTGGACCCCCCGGCAAATAACAGTTTCACCAAACGCAGCGTCTACATTTTGTATTTGATGGTAAATACACAGCTTATGGATTCAAAAAGGAATGGTATCATGACAAACCACACGCCCGTTTCTACAAGTCAACACAATAAACGAGGAATTCTGGCAATAAGCAAAAGTGTGCAAAGCGTCTGTAAAATCTCTGAAAAGGACAGTATTGTTGATACTTTTGCGACAGGAGGGGCGTTCAGCACAGTTGGGCCAAGTCTGCCCTACAAATAAGTACTGCTATTACTGCTACAACGGCTACTCCTACTACTGCTGCAACTCCTACTGCTACTTCTGCTGCTGCTACTACCACCACCAAAACTACTACTCCTGCTACTACTATTGGAGTGGGTGCCACATCGACTTAGGCAAGAGTTGCTTTCGTTGTGCTTGCAAGGTCCAATGATGTGGGTTCGAATCCCAGCTTCCCCATGGATCTTTATCTTAGTTTGTCAGCGCTGCTCATGTGATTTGGGTTTCTTCACATCTCTGTATTGTCCTCCGACATTAAGATGACATTCATATAAATGAAGAGAATGTTCCAAGTGCGTTAAACCAAACTCACTCACTCACTCACTCACCCACCCACCCACCCACTCACTCACTCACACACTCACTCACTCACCCACCCACCCACTCACTCACTCACTCACTCACTCACTCACTCACCCACTCACTAACCCAACCACTCACTCACTCACTCACCCATTCACCCACTCACTCACACCCACACTCACTCACTCACTCACTCACTCACTCACTCACTCACCCATTCACCCACTCTCTGCGGTCTGGTGATAAATAATGCCTTCCCGGGCTGTGTCGTCTTGCGTTTGTTTGTAGCGAGCAATATTCCAGTGTGTGAATATTCGAGTCTGGACCAGACAATCCTGTGATTGACATTATGAGCATCGATCCACACAATTGGGATACGATGACAAGCATCAACCAAGTCAGCGAGCCTGACCACCTGATCCCATTAGTCACCTCTTACAAGCATAGTCGCCTTTTACAGCAAGCATGCGTTGCTGAAGACCTATTCTTCCCGATCTTCACGAGTTGGTCGTCTTGTGACAGTGGGACAATGTCCGGGGACTCGATCACCCCGTTACGATGCTAGGTAACCGCTTATCTCGTAATAATATAAACATCATCTGTTATCTTACAGACTGCGATACAGGACAGGCGAACGTGACATTATTGAGCTCGTGTCTACTTTCTTCAGTGACTCAACAACTTCTTTGCTGCGTCATTGTGGGTCTGAGGCAGTATTTTCTGGGGGGTTGGGCATGTAGAACTCTTCGGTGCGACAGGTGTGAGTAGGTGATGGGTGAGAACATAGGGAGAACAGATAGATAGTGTCATCATACATTTACTTAAATACATTTCAAGCGTAGTGCAAAAAGGAGGGGGGGGGGGGGGGGGTCCCTCTGTCTCCTCACACAGAACACTGTCTATGAACAAGGTCTGTTTGTTTGGTCACAGCTATTTAAGCTTCAATCAATCACGTTGGTTTTAATATGACATATTAATTTTCAAATTTTTTCGTTAGCATCCTCAAGCAGACTGTTGCCTAGTCTAGTGTCGGTCTAGAGTGTGTCTTTCGTGAAGTTTTCATGTATGGTTATGGTATCTATTAGCAGTTAGATTGATATATACTCAACATCATTATTGAAGCGTCACCTAGGTTTGTAGGCTGCCAACCAAGCTTCAGTAGGTCTGAGTATGTTGACAATGTGATTGCCAGTTAAAGGACGTGTTGTTTATGCCTATGTCATGCTGACTGGATTCTTTTATGAAACTGAAAAATGGACAGACTATTAAAAACAACGAAACGTGCAAGAATAGTGATTGACAAAGCACAAAACACACGCCAAAATGCAGCCAGTGGTTTAGCCAATACATACCAAGTAACAGTCAATGTGGTATAAAGCGGTTCATTCCAGATGCAACTAAACTGTACTCTTGCGACGTATTTTCGAAAACTTTTATCTACTTATTATCTGCGTGACCCCTTGATAAGGCGTTTATATATATAATAAAATGTGACATCGCAAAAACACGAATGAGTGAGTTGGTTTTAACGCCACTATGAACGCAGGAAAGAGACGTGGTGTTTGATTGACTTGAAACAAACTTGCTAGGGCAAACAAACTTGCCCGAGCCTTCTCCGCCTTTAATGCAGCCTATTCAACCTTTAATGCAGCCTATACCGCCTTTAATTGTCGTAAGAGGCGACTAAAGGGATCGGGTGGTCAGGCTCGCTGACTTGGTAGATGCGTGTCATCGATCCCAATTGCGTTGATCGATGCTCATGATGTCAATCACTGGATTATCTGGTCCAGACTCGATTATTTACAGACCGCCGTCTTATAGCTGATATATTGCTGAGTGCGGCGTAAAACAACAAACCAACCAACCAACCAACTTTAATTGTGTGACTGGCTTTGGGTTTCCCAATGGTCCCTTCAGCAGCTACCTACGTATCGATTCCCGAGCCATATCTCTAAATTCCGCAGCGTCCTGTCTCCATCTTTTCAAAATTCAGTAACATTTTACAGAAAAGCAAATACCGCATCGAAGATAGACGCCATTTTGGACCTCCATTTTGGACCTCCATCTTGTATGAATTTTCAAGGTTTTTAGAATGTATGTTTACCTTGAAACGATATTGACGGTATGATCCACTTACATAATCGACCCGTCCGTGAAGATTCCGGGGTAGAATAGGTCTTCAGCGACCCATGCTTGCCGTAAAAGGTGACTATGCTTGTCGTAAAAGGCGACTAACGGGATCGGGTGGTCAGGCTCGCTGACTTGGTTGATGCATGTCATCAATCCCAATTGCATGGATTGATGCTCATGATATTAATCACTGGATTGTCTGGTCCAGACTCGATTATTTACAGACCGCCGTCATATAGCTGGAATATTGCTGAGTGCGGCGTTAAACAACAAACCGACCAACCAACCAGCCAACTACATAATCGACCCAGTCCACTGGTTGTATGTACTATACGGAAGTTGTGCCGGTAAGACTTCCTCTCTCTGTTTTGTTTCGTGTAGGGGAATTTTAATAGTTTACTGCATAATGTAAGTTCCTTCTTCTGTGTCGTCATGGGGACAAATTCGTGAAAAACGTGAAACCTCGGTTATCCAGACGGTACCGTCCCAATAAAACAGTAAGACAATCCGTACAGAGTAATGTCCCTTTATGTTGACAGACAATAGTATATGTTTCCGAAAAACAGGTTTCGCAGGATATGTTGGCCTATTTATGTGGTTATAAGTATCATTATCTTGCTCCCAGCATTTCATGGTTGCACG